CAATGTTAACTACTTGCTGACTGTATTGTCACAATTTATCTCTCTATTAATACATTTACCCCCCAAATGCCCTGGTACGGCTGAGAGTGAGGAGAGTTCGCTCTCCCTCTCCAAATGCTCTCACATGATCACACGTATATAGCCTCTGACACGGAAGTCCTACTCACTGCTTTCTCGTGGCATGACTGTTGTTTACGAAATTGAGAGGACGAAAAGCGAATGTCAGGCGCTTTAACCGGGTTGGTGGACACGGAAAGTCCACTTAGGGGAGCTGGAAAACTCTGATTCCAAACCAATGGTGCACATGGGCTGACTCCAGCATCCTGAGGGATCAAATGGCGTATGAACCAATTGTTAGTCACTGGCTACGATGGAACTGCATCTCCTCACGATGCTCCACTGCCTTGTGGATCAGATCTTTAGGTCAAAAGCTCCGGGTGTGGCCCCCTAATTAAACCACCTGATTCAGTTTGTGCACCTGAGCAGTATCACAGCCCTCGCGCAAAGTGTGGCACATAGATATATCTGGTACCTCCTTGCACCAATATTTATATGTTTAAATTAATTAATTATACACGAAAAGCTGAATCATGATTAATGTTCATTATTATGACTAAATTTACTTTTTTTTCAAAATAGATGGATTATGTCTAGCACTAACTATGCCTGTAGTTTTTCTAGAATTACTGCCGGTCTCGGGATGTAGATAACAATGTCTTGTATGACAGACTAATAAGGGTACTTTAAAATAGATTTTATGCAGCTAAACTTAGCTTGTCATTTTTTAATCAAGCAGTTGTATCTCCCCAAACGAAAAATAAGTTACTTAATTTCAAATAAAAATTCAGATGTTCCTGTGGAGAAAGTTATACCGGATGAACTATCAAGTAATTCAACCAACAACTGAATAAACAACTCTATCTCTCGGTCCGGTTTAAGCAAGAGTCAAATGACTACTAATTGGTTCAATTTTTATCACACTTAGTCAACAGTGGTTATTGAGTAGAAAAAATTATTCATTCCAAATGACTAAGCTGTCATGGTAGAACGAATATTGTAGAATTTGGGACTGATTTTTCGAATTATGATTATTATTCTATTAAGATTACAAACTGATCAATGTAAGACAACCACTGAAAACCTTAGAACATAGTAAGGCCATCTCATCACCTTATGGGACTCTTCGGCAATGTGCTTCCGCTATCCTACACGCAGGAATTGAATCCAAGACCTATGTAATCGCGCACAATCACTTAGCCGGCATCCATCAGTGTTATTGTACAACTTCAACCAACCCATGATATGCGCGATCCTCTTCTATTGCCTTCGGTAGGTAACTGCCTCACACCCGGAAATCATCAAACTGAACCGCAAGGAAAGCCCTAACTTGGGGTCCTGAAGGCAAAAGGAAAAAATAGGGCTAAAGAACATAATGTGATGGAAATTGCAGGCAAACATCAAAGGAATGGATATCATTTGGAAGTAAGTGGAAAAGACTCCAGGAAAGAGTTGGTTGGAGAATCTTGTTCAGTGATCTATGCTCAACGAGAGGTAACGGGTGAAGGTAAGTTGGTAACTATTCCAAACCACTTTTAGGTTTCTTTATGTATAACTGTTATTTTCTATTATATGGTGTGAGACAGTCCAGTTTATTCGTACATAATTCACGTTTGTTTGAAGTATAAACTTAGTGGAGGTTGGTTGATACCCCTGGACTCAAGGCAGGGCATAGAGACGATCTTTCAAATAACGGACCAATAGAAGTTTAGCTATCGGCCAATGGTCGGTAATACTGGTTCGGCAGAGACTGGTCAAACCGAAGACACTGGGCTGTCAAGGTTAATAGTAAACGCCAAATCCATAAAATTAGAGTTGTTCACCTTGCAAGTGATATTGCCCAGTGTGTCCTAAAACATGACACTACCATAAATCATTACCATTTCTAAAGACGGTTCGATTTTATCTCCGACATTTACAGCAGTTGTCATTCACTAGATAGCCAGCCATCTTTTTCATTCAACTAGCATAACAGTATTAAGTTAACCCATAAATTACTTTATACGAATGTGATTGTTTAAACTAATTAAAGGTGAAAGGATTAAATGGACATTTCTTTTGATTAGTTTAATTAATTGTTTTTAGTGACAAATTTATCGATAAAACTCCTGAAATAAATGATCTACAATTCGTTATCCACCATCAATGATCATATGCTCACTAGTGACTGGCTTCAGGAGGTATTTCCTTGAGTTCCAGTGAAAAGCCGTGACTAGTGGAGTTCAACCGGGTCAATTGTCAAATAGTAACTTACTAAAAACAATGGTGGACGGTGGATCAGTTTTGCGGATTGGTTGAAGTTAGACATTAACACCACTGGATGCAGGCTCAGTCATCTAGAAGTTAAGCGTTCGCACGCGAGACCGATAGGTCCTGGATCCTTCATATCTACCAATCTGGTTCAAGCTCCGAGCATTTGCTTTGCATCCTCTCAGTTTCCTAAAAATACCCCCGTTGCGAGTAGGCAGTGAATTAGACTTCTCTGGTAGTAGTTGTATACGCGTGGCCATGTGACAGCATTTGGAGAAGAAAAGCTGACTGACCCCACCCTCGACAGTACCAAGGCATTGGGGGGCATACTGAGTATAAAACTAAACTATAGGATCGGGTTCACTGGTCTCAATGCTATATTTCATTTCTGTATGTGCATCATTTTTTAATTAATCAGAAGTTAAATGTTGGATTACAGAATAATAATTGTTTGGTGTATTTATTATGTGGCTAACAGTGATATCTAGGACACGAGTTTCATCATATTCAAGCCTCATCAAATGGATGTACATTAATAACCATATTAGTATTCACACTGATTCTCGATTCTCATACTTTTCGTTTCAAACATCCAATTCATTATCTCCTGAGTCCAGATGGCTGCTAACTTTTTCAACGTGTATGAAAGAATTAGAACAGATTAATAATTTACCCTTCTTGATATTCAAAAGTCACCGAATAATTCTATTCTTGAAAACTAACAATGTGAGAGTCATAAATCTTCAGTATTTACTTCATTCTATTTGAACAAGCTAGTGACTACCTAAACTCAATAGCTCAATATACATGTGGTGTATGCTATCTATGATTTTAGATATAAGTAGTATGTGGCAACTATCAAAAATGAAACGCTTAACCAGTAAAAGATTAACATAAAAAGAAAAACAAAGAAGTCGAACTAACAACATAATCAGAGATATAATGGAATACGTAAAAGACAATGTAAAGTAAATATACAAATAATGTATTTAATGTAATCTTATATTGAACAATAAACCAATTTGCCCTACATAATGTATTTGTAAACAAACTAGATATAAAAACAAACTATAGTAAAGTTTCATAAGCAAAGATGGATAGTGGTTAACAGTGGAATCCAGAACGCGCGTTTTGACCTATTTGGGACTCGTCAACTGGATGTACCTGCATCGCCGAGTTGATCTTCACTATGGGAGTCGAATACCGCATTATGATTATATTTTAATATAAACATAAAAATATTGATACAAGGAGGCACCAGATATACATGCGCCACACAAATCAAATGAGATTTGTGTGAGAGCTGTGTTACTGCCCAAGTGCCATTCACATTATGTTTAATGATAAAATTTTATTATTTTATTCAATTAATGCAACAATTTATAAAATTATGTCATAAATTCCTGTTATCATCATTTCATGTGGATCATGAAATAGCTCAACGTTTAATACGTTATTGTTTATTTTATGGTAAGTTTTGTGTTTATTTAAACACATAAATATTGATACAAAGAGGCACCAGATATATGTGCGCCACACAAATCTCATTTGATATGTGTAAGCGATGTGATACTGCCCAGATGCCCAAACCGAAGCAGGTGGTCTTCTTAGTGGACCACACGCGGAGCTGTTGAATTGAAGGTCTGATTCAAAAGGGAGTGGAGCATCGTGAGCAAATGCAGTCCCAGTAGCCGGTAGCCGGTGACCAACGGTTGATTCATATGTTATTTGTTCCCTCAGGATGCTGGAGTCAGCCCATGTGCACCATTGGTTTGAAATCAGGGTTTTCCAACTCCCCTAGATGGACTTTCCGTGTCCACCAACCCGGTTAGAGCGCCGGACATTCGCTTTTCGTCCTCTCAATTTCGTAAACAATACCCGTATTGTGAGAAGGCAGTGAGTAGGACTTTCCTGGCAGAGGCTATATATACGTGGCCATGTGAGAGCATTTGGAGGCAAAGTGGCTACCACCTCCGGGTGGGCTCAAATCACCAAACTTTCGGTTAACAGCCGAACGCGCTAACCGGTTGCGTCACTTTCACTTCAAATGCTATAACGTTATCCACTTAACTACTGAGTCCTGATAGCCACTTGCTTGTGCAATGAAGTGAATTGAAGCTATATCGAGGCAATATACACATAATGTATATATACGAATAAGAGACTAATCAATTGCAGTCCTGGTTACTAAGGGGGAAGATTCAACCAACCAAACAATACCAAGAACAGTATATGACTTATTATTACAAATAATTAATAACATATAAATCTATGTATATATGTACATTATCAAAATTATTCATTTCACGAGAAGTACATACCAAATGGAAAAGAAAGAAACAAAACCAAAAAGACTCAAACCCAGTACCTTTCGCTTCAAACGCTACCGTGTTATCCACTTATCTACTATGTTCTGATAGGAACTTGTTTGTGCAATGGAGTGAATGAAGACTATATCAAGGCAATATGTACATATACCATTAAGAGTCTAAACAATTACGGTCAAGGTCACCAAGGAGAAAATTCAAGCAAGTAAATAGTATAAAGTACAGTATATGACCTATTAATATATAATTCTATATATATATATATATGTACATTATCAAAATCATTCATTTCATTATAAATACAAACAAAAGAAAAAAGAAAAGAAAAACAAAAAAAGAAAAGAAAATAAGAGAGAAAAAAATCAATTAACACTTTTTTCTATTTTTTTCTTTTTCAATATTTTCTTTCCATTTATGAAATGTTCGTATAAATAATAATTCAAATTCATTAATTGGTATATAACTTGTATCTAATTGTTTATTATCATTATATGATAAACCATAATATGCATTATAATTTATATGACGTAATTCAGTAAATTTAATAAAATGTTTATTCCCTTGACAACAATAATAAGGGAATAATTCTATAAGACTAGATGTATTAGGTAATAATAAAGTGTATGTTAAACCAGCACCATGCATACCAATTAATATATTAGTATTTATTATTAATTTAAATTGTTCATTAATTGATAAATTAATTAAATCAATAATAAATGAATTATAAAAACCTAATTGTTTTAATTTATTTAATAATTGTAATTCATTATTAATTTTTCTATTAATTATACCTTTTATATTACGTGGATGGGAATAATAATTATTACGACTTATGATTATAATTTGTATTGATTTATAATTATTATTATTATTAATAATATTATTATTATTATTACTATTATTATTATTACCATTATTATTATTATTATTACCATTATTATTATTACCATTATTATTACTATTATTATCATTATTATTACTATTATTATCATTATTATTACCATTATTATTACTATTATTATCATTATTATTACTATTATTATCATTATTATTACTATTATTATCATTATTATTACCATTATTATTACTATTATTATCATTATTATTACTATTATTATCATTATTATTACTATTATTATCATTATTATTACCATTATTATTATTACCATTATTATTATTATTACATATATTATAAGTATCATGTAAATTATAACTACTTAATAGAAACTGTTTAAATTCTTCAATATACATATTATTATTATTATTATTATTATTATTATTAGTATTATTAATAATAATATCTTTATCAACATATAAAGGACTTGCATAACCATATGGTACTATAACTAATTTATTAATATATAATAAATGATCTTCATTATTGATAGGTAGTAAGGGTATTACATTATTATTATTATTATTATTATTATTATTATTATTATCAGTAGTATATCGATATGATCCAATTCTTGTTATAGAATTTTTAAATAATTTATACCATAATTCATCTAAATTACCTAATGGATGTCCATCAACTATAATGATATGTATATTATTAATAGTTAAATTTAATAATTTAATAGTTATAAATGTATTATATAAATCAGTCATTGTATGATATAAATTAGCATATTCAACTCGAGTTACCAAGAGGACAATTTTTTCCTGGGGGAAATAAAAAAAAAAGAATAAAAAAATTATCGAAAAAAATTAATCAATAAAAATAATGTTTTAAATTAAGTAATATTTAATAAAGTTTATAGGTTGAATTCATGAATCAATTAAAGGTAGACCACCTGGAAGCACTGGACGACCGTTTCGTCCTATTATGGGACTCATCAGTAGTGCACATTCATGATTCCCACTTGTGAGATTCGAACCCAGGACTTATTAGTTTCATGTACTATCATTTAACCGATAGACCACTGAGGTGACAATATTTATGTGTTGAAATAAATAAATAAATCTAACTAGTGGTATTTCTTTTTTTTTCTTCTAAATAATATGAGAATGTAAATTATAGTATACTTGAACATTATAAACACACAGCTATACACACAGACACACACACTCAAATGGACGGCACAACTCACTATACATAATGAAAATGAAGTATATATACGACTAATGGAGAATAGTATACCAATAACAAAAGTATGAATAGTAAGTATTTAAGAATACCATGGTAATTAAAGTAAAATCATGAGTTTATTAATAAGCATGACCTAAACGATGGACCATCTAACTCAAGATGACTGAACTCTAACACTATGATGACTACTCAGTAAGTATAAACTTCATATGATATAAAAAAAATTTCAGTTTTTTGTTATTCTTGTAGTTTGATTTTAAGATTCCATTGTTTGAAATAAAGAATAGTTGGACTAATTAGGTCAAATCATTATGAATACAATAATAATAATTAATAATAATAATAATAATAATAATCATCATCATCATAGAAATTATACACATCATCGTTCTTAATCAATTTTTTTCAAGTTAAGAAAATGGTTGGATTCATATTATGCTATTTACTAAGATAAAATATCAGAAGGGTTTTTTTATGGAGATGAAAAACCTGGAAGCACTGGACGGCCGTTTCGTCATATGCTCACTAGTGACTGACTTCAAGAAGTACATCCAGGAGTTCTAGTGAGAAGCAGTGACCAGTGGAGTTTAAACCACATCTGTTGTGAGATAGGAACTCATTGAAGACAATAGGTGAATAGTTGTTCAATTTCGTGAATCAGTTGAAGTTGGACATTAACACCGTTGGATGCCGGCTTAGTGGTCTATCGGTTAAAGGCTCTGGCTCAAGACTGATAGGTCCTGGGTTCGAATCTCGCTCGCGAGGCGGGATCGTAGGTGCACACTGCTGAAGAGTCCCATAATAGGACGAAACGGCCCTCCAGTGCTTCCAGGTTTTCTATGGTGGTCTAGCTTCAATGGACTCATAATTTCAACTATAAGATAAAATAGATTTGAATATGTTCGATATTCGTTTTTATTGACCAGTTATATTTTTAGTAAGGTTAGACAGTGACTAGTAGTGCAATAAATGAATTATGTTACGATCGACTTGGGATTGATCAGCTGGATCCATCTACTAAAATCCATTGTTAATTTTACGCTGAGACTGGAATATGGTAAGAGTCACTTCAAAAACCCAACGTGCTGTTGATTGAGTTACTGAGTTCACAATACCACTAGTTTGTAGAATATGTATGAATGTAATCAGTAAGGGTTTTTATTTTTTAATTGTTTATGTTCATCATATCTCTTAAACAGGTTAGTAGCTATGTATATTCAGTAGCTGAATTGATAATGCGTTAAGCGTTTGATGAGAAAGATAATGGGTTCGAGTACAAGTATGAACATCGATACTAGGATGTGTCAGATACATTCAGTTGATAGACCCTGTATATATGACGAAATACGCGTGCTGAATTTTACTATTAACCACGATCTAACCTTCATCGAAGCTTGTAACTGCAGTAAAACCGAGGTAATCGATCAGGACACATATATGTCAAAACAGATCAATCAATTATAAACCTTAATCTATTTTGGTGAAAAAGATTGTTAATATTTTATTATTATCATTCCTTAAAAAACTTATTACCTTATAGTAATGTTTTGTTTTCCAGTCCACGGAATCAAGTACCTCCAACGATTCAAGAAACTTAATTACATTAGTTTCATACGAATGTAATTGTTCTCTACAAATAAATGCATCAAACGATAATCAGGCAAATTTAACAGTTATTTACTTAGCATAATAATAAGAATGATTATCGAATCAAGAAATAAAAACCATGTTGAATGAGAGACAGTTACCCATGAGGAGTTGGTTGACATATATCAGGAATCAATTGAAGTTAAAGATGTGAACCAGTAGAAAATACACAGCTATTGACCAATCCCGAGAGACTTAAAGACCCTAGGTTCAATCCCTGTTAATCAAGAGTTCCATACTAGGATGAAACGGATAGTCAGTGTTTCCCGCTTTTCAATGGATATCCAAATAAGATGAGTCTGAGATCTAAACTATAATAAATTAAATTGATTGTTATTATCAATTGTTTAATCTCTTGAGGAGTCTAATTACACGATTGAGATACACACGAAACGGAAGTTTATAAAACAACGATTTGCCTGAAAAGCGGTTCTTTATTACGTAATATACGTAAATTAGCTACAGACCTCAACTCTTGAAGTATCTGTAGCGCTTAGCGCATCTGTAATTCTGAAAGAAAAATGGCTTCCTGAAGTAATACCACAAAGAATTCTTATGACATACGATGATGCGAATGACAATTGATAACTATGTCTGTTCTTGATAACAGTTTATCAACAAGCAAAGCGGAAAGCAGAAGCAAACAAACATGGAAATCGTTGCAACTGAACAAAGATCAGCGCTTCTCTTATCACACCTCTTCGTTATTCGACTTGAAAATGGCCTAAATTTTGTTCTAATTCATAACAGCTTAATTATTAACATTTAAGGGTTGGAAAACAAAGATCGATAATGGTTAGCAGTGGAATGCAGGAACAGCGTTTCATCCTATTCGGGACTCGTCAACTGGAAGAAACACGCACCCTGCATTCCACTGCTAGCCACTATCCATATTTGCCTATAAAAGCTTATGACCTAAGACAATAGCAAAGTAGTCCTCACAGAATACACATATGCCAACAAGGGACTAATCAATTGCAGTCCTAAATAACAATGCGAAGATATAAGTAAACAATACCAAGTGATTTTAAGCGTTGGTGTCATAAACTAAATTCACCCATTCATTCATTATTTGATTGTATTTAAATAGATTTCATTTAACTAGTTTATAAATAATACCATAATCGATAGTTACTCCTTTGTTCAGTTAGAAAATACAGCTATAAAGAGAAAATTAACATTAACGTTCAGCTGGTGATTCTATTAAGATATACTAGATATTCAACATTATTGGAGTTAAATGTATATGTACACAGATACTGTGTTCATTCTTCTTATAAATAAATGTGCACAGTTGAAGAGTTCCATACTAGGACGAAACGGCTATCTATTGCTTCCAGGTTTTCTATGGTGGTCTAGTTTTATTCAACTCATAAATTTAACTATTAAATTACTACAAACTCCAACAAATCCCCTTTCTGATAATATGCATTAAAGATCAGTCAAATGTCCCAGTACGGTCGAGGGTGGGGACAGTCTGCTTTCTTTATCCAAATGCTCTCATACGGCCACGTGTATACAACCGCTGTCAGGGAAGTTACAGTCATTGTCTTCTCACACCAGGGGTGTTATTTACAACATTCAGAGGACGAAAAGTGAATGTCCGGAGCTTTAAGCGGTTGGTAGACACAGAAAGTCCACCTAGGGGAGTTGGAAAACCCTGATTCCAAACTTATGGTACACATGGGATCCAGGATCCTGAAGGAACAAATGGCGTATGAACCTATTGTTGGTCACCGACTACCATGGGACCGCATCTCCTAACGTTGCTCCACTGCTTTGTGGATCAGATCTTTAGGTCAAAGACTCCGAGCGTAGTCCCCTGAAAAAACCACCTGCTTATATCTGGGCATCCGGTCAGAATCCCAGCCCACACACAAATGAAGTGTCTTGTGTGGCGCATATGTATTTGGTGCCCCTTTGTATCAATATTTATGTGTTCAAAGAAATAAATAAATCAGCTGTTTGTTCAGTCTTTTGCAAATTATTTGTTTGAATCTTCCCATTGATGTGTTAGGACTGCAACTGGTCAGTCTCTAATTGTAATATGTGCATACTGTGCGTATTGCCTCGATATAGCCTTAATTCACAAGCAATTGTAAGCAAAGATTGATAGTGGCTAGCAGTGGAATCCAGGACTGCCTAGTTGCAGTCCTAACAAATCAATGGGAAGATTCAAACAAACAATACTAAATGAATTTAATTATATCATAAGTTATTTCGAATAGATAGATTGTAGCTAACAGTTGAAATCAGGATATACATTTAATTCTATTTAGGATTTGTCGGTTAACATAAACCTGGATTCTAGTAGTTATATTGATATTTGATAATTTAGTGGATAACGTATTGGTGATTGAAATAAAAAGTACTGGGTTCGTGTCTCGGAGTGAACATGAATGTAGGTACATTTAGTCAACAACTCCTAAATAGAAATAAACGTGTGTTCTGGATTCCATTACTAGTAACAAGCTATTCATATCTCACAACTTATTAGGTAATGAGTACTTTCAGATGTGTTTAAAATTTTATTCTCAGCTGAATGTACCCATCTTAGTTTGGTAATAAATAATCAGGTTTTCAAACAGTAATTATCATCTTTACTTTAATTTTCATAGTCAATTGAAGATAGACCACCATGGAAAACTTGATTAAAGTAAGACATTAACACCGTTAGATGCCGGCTCAGTGGTCTATCGGTTACGGGCTCTGGCTCGAGACTGGTAGGTCCTGGGTTTGAAACTCACTAGCGCGAGTTCGTGGATGCGCACTGCTGAGGAGTTTCATAATAGGACGAAACGGCCGTCCAGGTTTTCCATGGTGGTCTAGCTTCAATTGGCTAACGCTTTCAACTATAAAAAATGGCTTGTAATCAGTGTTAGTCGGCATCAACTCCGACAAACAGCTGATCTAACTGATGTGTACTAGATCGAACAAATTAGACATAAAAACTCTGTTACTAAACACAATCTATCTATTTCATATAAACTTGGTAAACATGGTAACATTTATGCCATTCAGCTCTCTTTTGACTTTTTAGGCAAAAAAAATAGTTTAGATAAAACACCTATGATCTATTGCCCTACAACAGAATGTTCTAATTTTTTATAATAACATGTACCACTATACAATGTAAACAATAATGATAAAGATGGTAAAACAGTGAATAACGCCCTAACAGTGATAGTAACAATATTATTAGCGATGTTTACTATGGAGTCATTATTGTTGAATGTATGCAAAACAATGATATAATAACTAGCCTACATGAGGTCAACTTACAATAGTAATAATAATAATAATAAAATACTAAGATTAATAGTGGTTTTATTTTGGTTGTTTATTTAACTTTAGTTGAAAGCGTGCGTCAATTGAAGCTAGACTAACATGGAAAACCTGAAAACATTGGACAGCCGTTTCGTCCTACTGTGGGAATCCTCAGAAGTGCACATCCATGATCCCGCCTCATGAGACTCGAACCCGGGGCCTAACAGTTTCGCGCGTGAGCACTTAACCGACAGACCACCGAGCCGGCATCCAACGGAGTCCCGCAATAGGCCATTCAGTGCTTCCAGGTTTTCCATGGTGGTCTAGCTTCAATTAACTCATGCTTTCAACTATGAAAATACTAAATCTCCAAAAAAACCCTTCTGATTATTTAACTTAAGTTCTAGTGAATAAATTCAATTATTTAACAAATACGATCAAACGGAAAATGTTAGTTATCAGTGAAGGGTAGGGGTTTGTGAGGATTGTCGAATTCTTGTTGTTTGCATCACGCTTTGGTTTTATTTAGATAACTGTCAAAAATTCAGAAGCAACAGATGGACCTTCGATCCTAGGGTGAGATACCTTAGTGATGGGGCTCATGCACAACCCATTGACAGAAGATAAAGTCTAGGACTTTTTTGTTTCATAAAGGATTTTCAAAATTTTAGGTCTTTGAGTCTTCATCCAATCGTTTAGTTGACCAGTACTTCCTGGTTTTTAACGGTTATGTAAGTAAGAATCGTCTATGATTTTGATTATGAAAATAATTTTGATATGGTAAGGAAGCATTTAATTTACTGGATTGTGACTGACCTGCGATTTTTCCAATCACTTATTATGTGGATGGGTACATAGACAGGTAGATTGGTCGAGTTTTTTTCTCTGAGTTGAGTGGCTTAATCACGGATGGTATTGGATTCTCCACAAACAAATCATCTGGTTCAGAGAAAAAACCATGCTAAAATAATCTATATGAGCTATAAATCTACTTCCCTATCTCAAGTGTATAAGTTAACTAATACTGTCATCTTTATGATGATGACAGTATTAGGTCGACTGAATTTTCAGGAATTGATCTTTTACCGGGAGGTTCACTTATCGACTTAGAATATGCAGATGACATAGTCCTGTTTGGTGAAGACGCTGACAAAATGCAGAGTCTTCTGTTAGAACTGAGTAATAATGCCAGGATGTTTGGGATGCGTTTCTCCCCATCCAAATGTAAATTGTTACTCCAGGACTGGCCTGCGTCAACACCTGAACTAAGGATAGGAAGTGAAGTAGTCGAACGCGTCGACAACTTCACTTATCTCGGAAGTCTGATCAGTCCTAATGGGTTGGTGTCTGACGAAATCTCAGCACGGATTCAAAAAGCTCGTTTGGCTTTTGCCAACTTACGTCACCTATGGCGAACACCAGTTATCCGTCTATCAATTAAGGGACGAGTATACTGCACAGCAGTTCGTTCTGTTCTACTTTACGGCTGCGAAACATGGACATTAAGAGTAGAAGATACTCGTAGGTTACTAGTATTTGACCACAGATGCCTTAGAAATATTGCTCGCATCTGCTGGGATCACCGGGTAAGTAATAGTGAGGTTAGACACAGGGTATTAGGAAATGATGGTAAATCAGTTGATGAGGTCATGAATCTTCATCGACTGAGATGGTTGGCTCACGTGTTACGTATGCCTGAACACCGATTACCATGAAGCGCTATGTTAAATAGTATTGCCGACGGTTGCAAGAGAGTTAGGGAAGGCCAAACCAAAACATGGCATCAGTGCTTGAAGTCACTAACTTCTAGTCTGAGCCATGTTGACAGATGCAGACTACATGGTTGGGGTCCGCGTGACTATCGTAACCAATGGTTGGAGACTCTAGGTGACATGGCTCAGATTCGATCACAATGGTGTAGGTGTATACACTCTTTATCTTCCCTTAAACCTTGAGATTAAAATTGCTTCATATCTGTCTTTGTTCCTGTATATACAACCTATAATTTATATACTACCACCACCACTAAATCAACTACTATGAATCCGGTGTTGATCTTGTTGTGCTAAGGAGGTATGACAACTTGGACTGATGCATAAATGTTCCTGGTCCTACGTTGTAACTGACTGACTGACTGTCATCATAAAGCCTTACTGGCGTCTTGTGCTCAAAATAGAAATTTCATTATCACAAGGGTTTTTTGTGAAATCATGGGTCAATTGAAGTTAGATCACCATGGAAAACCTGAAAGCAGTGGACAGCCGTTTCGTCCTACTGTGGGACTTTTCAGCAGTGCATATCCACGATCCCACCTCGTGAGATTGGAACCCAGGACTCACGATTTCAACTATAAAATTACTAAAATCTTCACAAAAACCCCCTTCTGATAATGATTATATGCTCACTAGTGACTGGCTCCAAGAGATACTTCCTGGAGTTCTAGTGAGAAACAGTAACCAATGGAGTTCAACCGGGTCTGTTGTGAGATAGTAATTTACTGAAGACAATGGTGGATGTGTCGCTCAATTTCGCGGATTAGTTGAAGTTAGACATTAACACCGTTGGATGCCAGCTGGCTCAGTGGTATAGAGGTTAGGCGTACGCACGCAAGACTGATAGGTCCTGGGTTAGAATCTCGGTAGGCGGGATCGTGAATGTGCACTGCTGAAGAGTTCCATAGTAGGATGGAACGGCCGTCCGGTGCTTCCAGGTTTACTAGGGTGGTCTAGCTTCAATTGACTCATAATTTCAATCACAAAAATACTCATTATTCCTTGAAATGATTGACAGTAATAGAAATTCTTGTTAAGGTAGCAGTAGTAAGCACATCTCTTAGATGATTATAATATATCTAAGTACAAAATGACAATAAATAAATTTTAAGAAAACATTTCTTGGTGTACTTCATAAACTCAAACATAATTGCAAAGTGAATTATGGCAATATTCCAATCTTAAGGGCTATTATGAAAGAATAAGGAGAAATTTTAAGTTCTGATTATCTAGCTCCTTAGCATACATTCTAAATGCATCGGAGATCAAACCAAACTTATCTGAGACATATTAAAATTTCCCGTTCCATTTAAGTCTATAAATGACGATATAGGATGTAAGACAGTACAAACCCTATTTTAAAACATTGAGTCTCTAAAGTTATACATTAAGGTTTATGCAATTGTAACAGTGAATAGAAGTTGATGTTAATCATATCAAACTACCATTCTAGTTCCAACCTACTGCATCATAGTGTTTTGAAAAAAATTGCTGTAACATAACAAACACATGTCTTCTTATAGCCGATTAAAAATGTAGACCATATATTCAACTCATCATCAACTTAGAAATAAATAAAGAAGGTTTAAAAATCCGAAAATGCTGATACCATCATTAGCTAACGATATTTACACTAGAATTTTGTTCATTGATAGACATTTAATATCAAAAATTATAAGTTGATAAGTACACTGATTAAATAAACAAATCTACAACTTTAAGTATTAGAATAAACTAAAACAATGCCTTGACTTACTTTTTTATATTTGGTTTAACACCAGTTTTTATAAATCCATATTCAAAATTCAAAAGTTCATACGATTCTGGTTGATTAGGAACTTTCAAAGGATCTTCTCCTCCAATTGCACCGACGACTTTAGATGGATCAATGCGAACATTTTTTAATACAACAATATTAATACCAAAATTATAAAGTTCTGTGCTTGGTTCTTCTACATCAATTTCATTATGATGGTTTTTATTTTGATTTGTGACATAAATACTGATTAACATAAAACAAGCAAGTATTAGGATAATAGTAAATTTAGAAATAGTTCGAAGGCGGAAAGTATAAAATATTTTTCTTCGGAAGTTCATGATAAGGTTTGTTTTCTATATTTACTTGGACAACTTTCATCAAAACTACAAATAGAAAATGTGAAACGTTTTATTACTTTACAGATGACGACTGAGGAGTTGATATTTATGTTAAATTCACTTTTTGAGTAAATTTAAAGTATTTTCAAAATGAAAACATGCCACTTAATTCGTTTTCTGCTATGAAATTTGAGATTATTCTCAGCAATTAGATTATCCTACCTTGAACGAGGAAAATACATTAAACGTTTTTAGCCTTTTATGTTTCCGAACTTGGCAAACCAACGCCTACATTTTCTTTAAAATGGATATTGCACCTAGTTGTCTCCAACAAACCTACAGGATAAACACAGCTACATTGATAAAAACGTGGATAGTCCCGAGCTTGGTTTTAAGAACTTTTAAACAGTAAAGGCAGACAAAAATAGCAGAGATGAAGGGTGAGGAGGTGACGCTCCTAACCTTATATTTTAGGTAAATAATTTCTGCTGATAGCTTCTATGATGAAAGTGGAACATGTGGGATAAGATGTCACACTATTTAGTATGTCTAAAAGGAGGTGTTCAACCATCAACCTAACTTTCCAAACTCACCTAAGATATCCTCTTTAGGTAACGAATTACCCTTGTTTTTGATAATTCCTAATTAAAATTTTTCCTTGCAATTTAGTCTGGTTTGTTTCTGTGATCATTATCACCTCACGATTTGTTAAAAGGCAGGAAACCACGAAAATGTTCGTAGACCTTATAAGGATTCCGAAGTAGGACTGGATACAAACCAACCATCCACCAAAATCCACGCCTCGTAGTTTCATAGTAATTAAAACGCCTTTGAATCACTTAGCCGAAATCTAATAGTGTATCTTTCCATTCTTAATCACAGACATCGTCTAATATCTTTAGTTAACAACTTCGCCGTTGTCTGAGACAATTTTGAAAGTTTGCACCACATAATGTCTAAGTTGTCCTTTAACCCGCAGTAGAATAGGGTGAAAGGATTCGATTTGAAGAATTGAGAGGAACTTAAGACTTCATATATTACTTCGCATCCATGCTTCAGATTTGATTATTGAGGACAGAAGGTGTACAGTCTGTGTTAGTCCTTTTCTATTAAGTTTCTGAGAGTGTCTAGTATTCTTTTGAATGGGTCAGTTGAAGAGATAGATACAATTTCTTTGCATAACAGGTTCCAAGAACTGATGATTCGGTATGAAAATCTGTATGGTACTGTAATATCATTGTGATGTATTACCATAAACCCGCTACTTAACATATTATCACTGACAAACAAGATTCTTAGTCCACTTACTTAGGCAGGCTTACGAAGTGGGGATAATAAATAAGTTTGGGTTCACTAATTACATTTTTTGATCCAATAACTCGTTTATGCAGAAACTCAAAGACGATATCAAGAAGTCTTAAATTAATCAATGGTCTCAAATAAGAATAAAATATACACTGACGAACGACAATCTGTGCCTCTGAAAAAGGTTTTTAGAGTTTGAAACTTAGTGCTACGCGCAATTTTCTGACTTATTTGTAAACCACTGACAAATATATGACGGCAAATAAATACCTGAGATAGCCAGTCCTGTAAAACGTCGACATATTTTTTGACCTCATAAATTTTACTGGACACGTCCTAGCTGAAGTCACCCAGCCACGCGTCCACACCAGTTCTCAACTGGAAACGCCATGTTACGCAACCTTTGCAACTTCTAGGCGGGTTAGATCGAACGCTTCTCAACCTATCGACACACTTCCAAATATATCTTCGAACTAATTCACTTCTAGCTTTTGATATGAATGAGTCGTCATTCTTTGATTATGAAGGTGTTACGTGTAGAGATGTCGTAAAACTACGAATATCTGTGGTATATTTAAATGATTTACTGTGGTGTTTAAATAAATCAATGACTTCTTCGTATTGATGACTGTTGTAATTTTGAATTCCAAATACAATACATTCGTTCGAGTTCATCTGATACTTCTTGATTAAATTGCGTTATTCCTGGGATTACTAGTTCATACTACAATTCAAATACTTCTAATTATCATATTGGCGTCGCGACTGAGCCTGTGATGGAACGGTTAAATATAAATTCAGATTTTAATGCTTTTGAGGAGTACATGGAAAGGTTCGAAATCTGGGCTATGACCAAGGAAGATGATGAGGATTTTAATATTGTGGCCCATTTCCTTACATTCATCGGGAAAGAAGCATACAGCCTTATAAAGATTTTGGCACTTCCAGACAAACCGATTTCACTCCCCTATGCAACTCTCAAGCAACTTCTGTTGGATCATGTAAAGTATACAAATTCCGAATGCGGTAAGAAAGGAAAATCCGATAAAATGACTCGTCAGAACATCAGGAATTCCACTTATTCAAACAGTCGTCGTAGTTCGATGCGTAATCAAATTTATTCAGATAATACTTCATTGAGTTGTGAAACAGTCCATGATGATGAGCACAAGTTTAGTAAATGCATGTTCTGCGGCAAGTTTCGCCCATGTAATTCATGTATATTTCGTAATTCTAAATGCTTTAAATGTGGTATAACTGGACATATTCAGTCAGTTTGTAATACCATGGTTCATTTCGCTGAAAGTAATGCTAAGATGGATGCTTCTAATGATCAGTTATCTTTATCTAGAAGAGGTATAACGTTATATAACAGTCCAGAGTTGAATGAAACCCAGAGTCATTGGGAGGCGAAAATTCTCAACCAATCAACTTATCAGATTTCTCATGTTATTGTGCCAGATATGGTTTGTCGTAATAATTCACATACTTCTGATGTAATTTCTTACAACTCTGAGAATAGAATGTTAAATGAGTTAAATCATGATCAAAAACCAAATTCAGTCATGGTAGATGTTGAATTCCCTGATGATCCATTACCTAATGAAACTCTTAATCAATTTGAGGAAAATATTTCAGAAGAATCGAATTCTGATATCATATCAAGTGTCAGTGGTCCTCATAATGAATTTATCTCTAATGATATTCCTCATGAATGTGAAAAATATGTTTCTTATGAGTTGAATTCTAGTCATATTTCTGATGTTATTGTGTCATATGTTGGATACTCTCACGAACAATGTATGTTGAATAGAATCCCTAGTCAGGGGTATAATGATACAGAGGGGATAGCAAAATTTTCCGAAGCAACCAGAGAACCAGTTTGCCCAGAAGTGAAGTTTGCACAGACAGAGAATCCAAATCAAGTCCAAGATTATCCTAATGAAGATGAGGCAGATGAATGTTTTCTATCCGATTGTTTCGCAGGTAAATCAAGCCTAATTGAATCACGTGTGTTAATTACATATATCAATGTATATCCATCTGTGTATTCTAATATGAATAACAAAAAGAATATGTATCATGATTTTTATTCAAGTCAAAGTCACATGATGGAATACCTCAAATTATATATCAGTGTTTATTCCCAAATACTCACATACAGTAGTCGGTGCGTAAGATTTGAGATAATGCAAATTGGGAACGTCATATTGGCTAAAACATTGCGAATCAAGGACCCAACATTATTTCGTGGGGGAGGATATTGTTGGAAAGTCCATGATGCAAATTCTAAATATCAATGGTTTCACTACACAACCGACATGCTGATTGTATACAATTCCAGAACCCAGGTGAGTCTGTTCCAATTTTGGTTGTTAATTCTAATACTAATGAGTGCATTCTAGATAATACAGAGTCTGCATCCAATACACTTTCGGACCGATGTAAGATGGATTTAAGAAGACGAACAATCGATTACAGACACTTACACTCCAATTCGAGCTGTGGCGGTTGTGGTGTTTAAATAAATCAATGACTTCTTCGTATTGATGACTGTTGTAATTTTGAATTCCAAATACAATACATTCGTTCGAGTTCATCTGATACTTCTTGATTAAATTGCGTTATTCCTGGGATTACTAGTTCATACTACAATTCAAATACTTCTAATTATCATATTTACACACCTAAAATTATTACCTTTAGAAAATATATTTTGTGACTGCCTATTGATGAGAATAAATTCAGAGACACATTTCCTTCATGTGTGTCACAAATGAGCAATTTATACGGTTATTCTATGAATACTAGTTGAGTTGATATATTTATAACATTAATGTTATAAATATAACAACTTATATATATATAAATATATCAACTGCAAATTTGAAGTAATTTCAATATTAAGACCCTTAACGGAGAAAAAATAAACCAAAATATTACTTGGTCATTAAATTAACGAGTCAAGTTAGCATTAATAGTAACTGAGATATGTTGAGCTATAGTTAAATCGTAAGTAATAAGGACGTTAACATGTAATATAACTTAAATCCAGAACCTTGACAAGGTCGTTTTATTTAAAGTTCAATGAACATTCTCAGTAATACTATTAACGAACTACTGTAAGTCAATTAATTTATTCACTCTAGATTCTTAGCATTACAACGCAGTTTCAAGCTTTTATATTATTCAGAGTAAGTAGTTCAGTTGTTCAACTGCATTAGTCCTAGTTAATTTAACAGTTATTAGATGCTGTGGCATCCTATGCAAACTAAACACAATATATGCGTGAATTTACTTCACGTACGCATAGCTGTTTTTGCTAGGTATTCACATGCTTACTTTGAGCCCACTTTGCAAATTTATCAATGTGTTCATGTATCTAAATGTATTTACGGAACAATTGATTGTCTATCTACTCACCGTATGCAGTCAATTTTCATAAATATGATGAATTACCTCGATTAAAATCAGTTGGCTGACGTCGCAACTTCATTCGGATCAGCACATCCTGGGTTACTCGATTATTTCTTCATTATCGAAGGCATGAAACGTATTCTTAATAAATATTGTGTAGCCGCTTATTTGATTCAACGTTGTGTACCGGTATTAAAAACCATTACATGCGACATTACTAATGCGAGTTTGTTTTTCTCATTGCAGAGCGACAAAGAGTAAACGTACTGGTAGAAGAGGGAGGAGCATTACTTATGCTGAACTATCAGAGTAATGAATAAAACTATTATGTGATGAGTTTCCCGTTTTGTTCTCAAACCGCGTCTTCCAATTTTAAAGCATATTTATTGTGCCAGTATGCTGCGTTCTTACTTCAGAGGCATCTACTGATCCTGACCGTTGTGTTTTTGTTTCAGATCGCTCTTGTGAACGCCGATGTGTAACATGCTACAGTTGTACTAACATTGAAGATACCATCAGTACTGTAGTTTGATAAAACTTTACCTGTAACACCTATAATCGAATCGCGCCCATCCAATGAAATCAAAAGCCAGAAGCGAGGATGTTGGAAGATATATTTAATGAGTTATCAATATATCGAGGAGTGACTGATCTAATCTTGCTGATGATCGTAGGAGAGGTTTCCCACACCGTTCTGTAACGTGATCTGGTACGGATGCATGACCAAGCGCCTTCAGCCAAACGAGTACACTAAAGCTAATGTGGACAGCATCCAATGTCGAACACTTAAATAGCTATTGATTTTGGGGAATTATTTACAGCTACAGATCACTTCCTTCGTAGTGAGGTAATGATGCTTCTACGACGTAGTCAGCCAGAAGTTCAAACACAACGAGTTTGTCGTTGATAAACACTCTTCTGATAGCTTGCTATATTTAGCAGCGTCTGGTCGTCTTTCCTTACTTTAAAGAGCCATGAAATACAGTATAGAAATCGTAAAACAAAGTACAACCGAAATCTCGGTTATTCACAAACTTCATCTTTCTATTCCAGTCGTCCTGGAAAAGAAAAAAGAGAAGGTGTAAGTGCATGTCGAAACACACTCATACTTGCGTAAAGACACTAGGTGAGCGGAAAAAAAGGTAAATAAACTAATATGCTTGCGACAGCGTAAAAAAATTCCAAAAATTGTTTTTTTGTTTTGTTTTTTATAAAAATATATATATACGCTTATTAGTAAAAGAAAATTTCTTTTTTGAAATAAATATATAAGTATGAGCATATTCAATTTTTTAAAAATATATAATGCTAAGGAAATTCGAGATGAAGCTTGTGTCTTACGTGCAATAGTCGTTTAAATGATCTGGAAATCCTACTCTTCTCCCAGAACACGTTGTCTTTGTTTATTTTCGGACGCTGATGACTTATCAACGTGCGTGTCGGCTGTCGGATGGGGTACTACGAGTGTAGGAGCAGTGTCGTTCGATTGCACCAAAGGAAAATTGATGTGAATAGGATTTTCCTCTAAATACACTGCTTTGATACGGTCGATGCTGATGCTATCGTTAGAGCTGTTCTTATCGAATGTATAGTACTTAGGTTCACGCTGAAGAACTTTAAAGGGCCCTTCGTATGCTTATTCGGGAAGTCATCGATGTGAGTCTCGATGAACGAAGCACATGTACCATATCGTAAGTCAGGTTGAACGAAAGCATCAGTTGATTGCGATGGAGTGGAAACAGGTTTAACTGAACGCCTGCTCGTATAGGAGTTCAGATCCATGTTCATTGAGGAAGATGAGGGATCCACGAATTCTCCTCGAAGTCGGAGTGTCGTTCCATAAAGCAGTTGTGCTGCAGTGTATCCAATGTCAGCTTTCACTGCATTGCGAATACCTAGTAAGACGAGTGGAAGAGCGTCTGTCCACTGTGAAAGGTTTGCAGCTGGTAGAGAAGCTTTTAGTTGTCGGTGAAAATGTTCTACCATGTTCTAACGTTTGCTTGTGGGTGGTAGGTGGTCTTTCGGAAGCGAGTGATTCCTAATTTTTTGTTTGTATCAGGCTCTTTATAGATGAGAACAAGTCAATAGATCTGTGATATTAAGATTGTTCACCTACTCACCATTAAGACTCATGTTTCTAATTTTTGTGCTGGATTAACTATTCTACTAAGATAACCTTTAACATGCTAACTCGGACTTTTACATGAACACTGTGTGGCAGGCGTCGGATGAGAAAAGAAAAAAAACTGACTGTAAAGGATATGGTTGCTATTTTACTTAACACTACTCTCTATATGCACTCTCTGTTCTTCCTCATCCCAACCTTGACTTCCCTCCTTCATTGGAACCTACTCCACATTCATAAATATCACAACTCATTGTTCTTTATTACTGCCTTCTCTCTTCTGGAGCCCCTAATCGCAGTTTACTCTTGCAACATGAGCTAGTATCAATTTAATCTAATAATTTATCATACCTCCATCTGTTCCACTAATAAATGTTAAGCATTGATTATCGCTCATATCCAAATGCCTTGCTGCTCCTCGGTTTCTCTTTTATTTTTTCTCTTCAGAATCTTGCTCTGAGGGTGAAGCTATGTAACTTCGGACATCTGGAACAAGCTTGACGAACGCGCTTTCCCAAGGTCATAGCTCGAACCAGGCGCTCCACAAGCCTACTTTATAACAACTATAAACTTAAAAAGCTGCATTACATAAATACTTAGCACTACCGAAACCCTATTACACTTTTTGTCGAGATTGGATCTGGTATATAACGTGGACGCTATGCCCCTTTGGAAACTATTCTTATGAAAACACATTATATCTGAACGAATGAACTGCTATCAACTTTTATAGATTATAATTACTAAACAAGCTTGCTTGGGATGCATACTGTGAACCGGTATATGTTGTAAATTGTAGATCATGCCTGTAAAAATGGCGTGTACCTGCTAATGCAGAAATATATTATTATTATTAATAGTGTGGTCAAACAACGGCAAATTCCAGATTCGAACTGGCATCCGCGGTCTGTAGTGATCGTGGAAGGGCAGCCGAAATTTGCTACTCATCGTTCGACGAAAGCGCGAGCCGTCGTTTCGGCAGCAATGTCCTTAATAGATACTACTTCTGGCCATCGAGTGAAACGGTCTACGCATGTTAAGAGATATGAGTATCCGTTGGAATCGGGTACGGGTCTTACCAAATCTAGGTGAACGTGGTCGAAACGAGCGTCAGGGGTTTTGAAAGAGTCTAAGGGACGTTTGTTGTGTCTTATGACCTTAGATTTCTGGCAGCGTACACAGGAACGTGCCCACTACCTCACGTCTTTATTCATGCCAGCCCAGCAAAACCGTTCGGCTATAAGCTTGATTGTCGCAGGAACACCTGGACGAGAAAGATTGTGCAACGTATTGAAGACGTTGCGTCGATAATGTTTTCGTACAATTGGACGATCCCTACCTGTAGATGTGTCACAGAGTAGGGTTTCCTTACCTGTTCCCATCTGCTTAATACTTAGTTTAAGAGTTGTCGAGGATAACTCATGCTGAGGATCTATGTCTTCTTTTTGAAGCTGAGCGAGTTTAAGGTCGATTCCTTGGAAACTGTTCAAGGAACTTATTCGAGACAAGGCGTCTGCGACTATACTGTTTGCTCCAGAAATGTGTTGTATATCTGAAGTAAACTGCGAAATGTAGTCCAGCTGTCGGGACTCTCTGGGTGAGTACTTGTCTGAAGATGAACTTAAAGAGAAGGTAAGAGGTTTGTGATCGGTGAAAAGTGTGAATTCATTTCCCTCGATGAAATGTTGGAAACACCGTACAGCACAATACATAGCCAGGAGTTCCCTACCGTAAGTCCTATACCTCGATTCAATGTCTAACAACCGCCTTGAGAAAAATCCTAAAGGTTTCCAAGAGTGGTTAACCCATTTTGTAAAACTCCTCCGATTGCTGAGTTAGATGCGCTTGAGTGTCCTGATGTGCCAGTACGGTTGACTTTGCGACAAGTTCCTTAACTGCGGAGAATGCATTTCGAGCGTTGTCGTCCAGATTAATGGATCTCGCATTTCCACAAAGTTGGTCGGTGAGCGATTTGATGAGGGACTCGCAGTTTGGTGTAAACCGTCCGCTTAATAGTGGTCTTTTCTGGGTAATACAGAATGGCCGCCACTTTGCTTTCAAGAGGTCGGATGGCTTGAGCATCAATAGTGTGTCCTAGGAAATCTAAAGAGTTGGTTCCGATTCGGCATTTCTAAATGTTTGCAGTAATGCCATGCTCTCTGGGTCGTTCGAACACAATGTCCAGATGCTGGAGTAGGGATTCTCTATCCGGACTTGCTATCAGACAGTCATCAACGTGCGTATGTACGAAGTTGAGACCTCAGGAAACATCACCTGTGAATATTTGGAAGGTTTAGGCAACATTTCTTGAGCCGAAAGGAATTCTCTATATTTCGTAGAGTCCGAAGGGAGTGATGATAGCGGTTTTTGGATTATCTTCACTAGCCATAGGAATTTGGTTATAAGCTTTAACTAGGTCGACTTTTGAAAAGACAGTTGTACCTTTCAAGGTGGCTGTCAAATCGTGAATGTGAAGCAGTGGGTAACGATCGGGGAAGGATTTAGCATTCAGACACCGATAATCACCAGTTGTTAGATCCATTTTCAAAGTGAAAATCCCTCCATGCATACATTTGTGATTTCTTTATTTGCATATATTGTTAACTTTTTTGATGCTAATTAAGTCTGTAACGTTTTCATTTTTCTTGGTTTTCTTATCGTTTTTATTGAGTCTCTATGTTCCTTACTGAACTGTATTTAGTTTGTTTTAATTGTTATTATTCTGGCGGCTGCCATATTGGCTGCTCGCTTTTTGATTGTGCGGTCTGATTTTGACTGGGATCGTGCATTTTTGGTTGCAATTTGGAGCACTTTCCCAGAAATTGAAACACTTTGTGTTATAAAACAGCCGCTCAAACGGAATCTTACTTGATCTATCCAGAAAGGATAGAATAACACTCACTTTTTGGTGTTTTTTGGTAATTTTCATATATTTCTTACCACTTTGCTATTCGTTGTAATTTAGATTGAATATTTTGGTATCAATTGTTGGTTGAATAACTGGGTGGTAATATTTGTTTAGGTAAATTTGCACATTTGTATATATGATGAAATTTAGAACCGTTATTACCTCCAAAACACCTTGTTTTGATTTCGATCGGGGTCGCGCGTCTCTTATTTTACTCGTCACTTATTCAACAAATCAAACCCAGTTGGAAACAAGGTTTGGATCTTACACCAGTTGGACGCCAGTCGTTGCTGTCTTTTTTAGGAACTATGTGCAAAGGAGACGACCATGGGCTACTTGACGGTCGAATGATTCCCAAGTCTATCATGTGATCGAATTCGTTTTTAGCCAACCTCAGCTTTCGGGAGCCAGTCGGCGTGCTTTCAAGAATACAGGTGGTCCTGTGGTCGTGATGTGATGTGTAACATTGCTGACTACACACGGTTGTGATTGTTATATCGCAGAGTACTTATGGAGTAATGGTCGATATAAAGTGTCTATGGTGTGCCAAGTTGTGGTAATTTGCAACCAGAAAAAGGAGCTACGCAAATAGATAACTTAGTGCTTCGGTGAACTAGCCTCCGTTCGCGTGTATCAGTGAGTAGATTGTGGTGTTGTGGGAGGTCTGTACCAGTGATTGGCATAGAAACATCTGCAACCACGAAAATCCAGTGAATGGGATTGCGTAAACCCATGTTAACATAAACGTACCTTTCACCATATGTGGGTATTGGCTTTCCATTTGCCGCCTGCAAGCTCAAAACAGATTCGTGAAGCCAATCGTCAGATTCGGAGGGAAGAATACTAACTTCTGCGCCAGTGTCGACGAGGTAGCGAACTTTGGTGATCGAATCTGTGACGTATAAAAGGCGGCAACGTTCGCCGGTTACGGTTGCCGTTAACGGAAGTTTCCCGAATTATTTCTCATGTCGGTCGATTTCGATTTCGAATAATTGTAAGGTTTCCTGTAATTTCTGGAAGACTTCCTATACGAGTTGTGACACCAGCACCAGTCGGGGTTATCAATCTCTCGTCGTCTAGAGACAGATCGCTTACGTGAAGTGCTTCTTCGCGGGGTATGTGACCGTTTACGGTCATTACGAAATCGAAGATAACGTGTATCACATTATTCCGTGATGTCATTCTGTGCCGTTTGAGGTTTCTCCTTTACTGAAAAAACCTCGGCATTAGAAGATTTCTAAGATGCGGTCGGCAAATGCAGCCAGCCGGTCTACAGCGTTGTTTCGTAACGAGACCAGCACAGCTTGCACGTGTTGAGGAAATTCAGACAAGAAACATTGTTTGATTAGGCCATCACCAAAAGTTGTTGTCTGGCCAAAGGGCATAGTCTTCAACTTAGGTACCTTGGGTGTCTGTTCCGTCATGGTGAAATATCAAGTAGGAGGATGAACGAGGAAAAAAATCCAAAAACTACAAAATATGTCACAATATATAAAAATTGAAATAAAGTGATGATTTATGAAATCTTACAGTTTGTATGATGGTGTACCAGATCACGTTAGGTTCACTTATGAAGACGCCACAAGTAACACCCTCTATTATGAATCCTACACATTTGGTGAAGTTAGAAGACATAAGCGATGAGGTTCGAATATATAATAGATAGAATATCAATATATCGAGATGTGACCTATTTAAACTGGTTGGAGGTTTTAGAAGTTGAGCACAGAGTTCTCACTCGTAATGTGATTCTGACGCGTGACCTAACGCATTCAGCTAGACGAATCCACTAAAACTAATGTGGTCAGCATCCAATGTCGAAGATTTGCAGAGCCATTGATTTTTGGGATTTATTTACCGCTACAGCCTTTAAACCCACACGAAGGTATTACACTTTGTAATCCGAATCAGTTGAGAATTATGTATGTAGGAATCATCATTACAAAGAAGCAGTACTTAAAACCAGTGTATTAAAGCATTATTTCTAAGCTCATTAAGATCGCCTCCTTCCCTCTTAGACTCAATAAAGACTTTCCTCAAAATCCGACTGAGTATGTCATGGTTTACTTAAACAAAATAAAGTTTAAAAACTTCTCAAATGCTAAGACTGCTTGCTTTGAGATTGGGAAGTAGTTAATACCGGCTCTATGTACGTAAATGACCTCCCTCATCTACTATCATCATCGGTCTTACTCTATGCTAATGATGTCAAGATACGGAGAGCGATACAAAGCAAGGGCGATAGCTTAGAACTTCAAAATGACCTAGAGAGATTATCTGAATGGTCCCAAACCTGACAATTGCCGATAAACACTTCCAAGTGTATTGTGATGCATATTGTCCACCAGGGTACAGATACATACACGATGAATAACACTGAGTTACCTATTGTTCAGGCACACAATGACTTAGGCGTCATCGTCAGTCAAGACTTAAAGACTACTGCACACTGCCGTGCAATAGCCTCCAAAGGTTTTAGGACTTTATGGTCCATACGCAGGGCTTTTAGGCATCTCGACGCCAAAACGTTTCTGACTTTGTATACAGTGTTCGTACGCCCTAAACTAGAGTACTGTATACAAGCAGCTAGCCCTTGCCTAAAAAAAGACAGTGAACTCTTGGAAAGGGTTCAGAGAACAGCAACTAGGCTGATTCCCGGAATAGCGAAGCTCCCGTATGGTACTAGACTGACCAAGCTAAACCTATTTCCGCTGTCATATAGAAGAATCAGGGTCGACTTGATTACAGTTTTCAAATTGCTTAATGACAAATTTGCACCTGATATGCCCTCATTTTTCTTGTCTTCCAAAACAGAAAATCTACTAGGACACTCCAAAAAAGTTCACAAGCCCAGAACGAATTACTTGTCAGCTGACTACCGACTTTCCCATCGAATAATCAACTAGTGGAATTCATTGCCTCAGCACGTGGTTGAGGCTCCATCCGTCGACTCCTTCAAAAGAAAGTTGGATCAGCTGAGAGACCATCATTGCCAGGACTAACACAGGCCATCAAGCCTCCCGTCCTTTCCAAACTGAAACTGAAACTGAAACTATTAAAAATTGTCACTTGGTTTCACCGTCTAAAGTCTTCATAAAAAAGTTAGATCTTCGAAAATAATATTTCTAGTCAGAATCAACTCTGGGAAACTGTCGGAATACTCGTCACTTTGTGACCAAAGTGTTACCTAGTGCAGTCGCGCGCATGAATTATTAAGGTCACCTGAGGTGGCGCAACTTTCGAATTCTCTAGTCCTTATCGTATGTGGCCAATTACGGCCTTCAATGCATGTTGGGATTTGCGAGATATGTAGAGGGATCAGCAATATCTTATCAAATTTTCTTGGTATTTGGAATTCTACCATGTGTTATCTCTAGCGAGGCTTTAAATGGATTGTTATCATCAGGTTCATCGAAAGATAACAAGTAATTTAATTGTCTTTCATGACTACGGGCAGATTTTCTATTTGAATGCAAAGAAAAATTGTAGTATTAGTGTTATATTGATATGTCATATAACTCAACTTCTTCAGTAACATGTCGCATAATATAATATGTATATACACTGGTGATTTTTCTCCGGGGTTTAGGTAGGCAGTATAAATCAGTAGGCTTGGAATCCATACTTTGTTTAATGGGAGTCTATATATTACACTAAGACAACAGTGCCGACTGATCCGGCATCTAGAACTATCAGGGTTGTAAGGTCAGTGATTGTCATTACGTCATTAAGTTTAACCAAAGATTGAGCTTAGAAAGTTTTCTTTCAACCCAAAACTTTGAAAAATTCTTGTAAACTTATCTGAAGTTTTAAGGTGACCACTTTGTCGTTTGTTCTGTCTTTTCTAAGTCCAAACGAACAGCAGCTTTGTTCAGTTTGCCAAGTGGTACTTTTTATCATCATAACATGCGCAAATTAATTGAACTTGCCAATCTTAATTCATAAATGATTAATCTAGCTTCTATGTTCTCTTCATGAGGTATTTTCTATACGTACGAATATTGCCTATTTATTAAGATTGGTTTATTGAAGTATCAAGGGTTTCTGAACCTCCGGTATGTATTTTTGGAAGTAGACTTTTTGTCATCCACCACTAACTAAAATTTCATATTCGGCTAACCTGTCTTTATGTAACCTCTGATCTCTCGTAACTATATTTCCATTTTCTAAGTCGGGTAGTCCAAACGTTTTATGAACTAAGATAACACCTAAAACATTAAGTTGGAAGATTATATATAGGAGGACCAGTTTCAGTTTTCAGACCACAAAATCCCAATAAGAGTACATGAAGGATATCGAAGAAAAACATGAATAAAAAAATTAAGTAATAGCGGTAAAAAGTAGATGGAAATTATTAAGACATTCACGACCTAAAGGAGAAAGAATATTGATTAATGTATCATTTTAATAAATTTTGTATCAGATCCCTTGTTACTGACATTTGTTGTTTCGTTGATCCCACATATAAGATTCGCACTTACTTAGGGATCAGTAACAATCAGAAAATTTATGGACAGTAGGCGTGTCTTTATCTAACCGTCATTAGCTTCAAATTTGCTTCGGTTTGAGCGCTCAGGTAGTATTCCAGCCCTCATACAAATCGAATGATGTGTGTGGCCCATATATATTTTTTGTCTCATTGTACCAATGTTTACGTGTTCAAATAAATGAATACAGGGCAAAGGTTACTCTTACTGAGTAGTAATCTAATGTGCTTAATACAACTCTAATACCTCAGTCATCACAGATAAGTTGAGTTTCTTGCAAAACGTTCGCTCAATTGTGCAGCTCCATTAGCTTTATGGTATAGAGATATACAACATTTTATCTACTAAATACTTACATTTTTATCACTTCTGCTTGCTTTTTAGCGAAAAGTGTACATTGGCTACCTCTCATTGTGCCCCAATCGCTCTTCATCTCAATCGTACATGCTTAGGTAATCATTTGCCTTACAAGCTGACAGCCCCAATACCACTTGGCGAGGATGTGACTTTTTACAGTCTAGAGTTTTGGACAGCCCTACAGTCTATTCCAACATGTTGGGATAAATTACAAGTAAACCTTATTTTTTTGCAGAAATTATTTCGAGTGGAATTCCTTCATTTTACAATAGTATTATTAATAGCTTACTGGGCTTTATCTCTTCTACAACATAGTTATCATTGCGACAGCATTCATTAACTAAAGACGTCTCGGGATAAGTGGCTTGAGACTATATTTTATCTACCTTTTTCAATGTAAACTATTTCTTGTGTAGTTTTAAGGTTATTATAGATCTGTCTTCGTTGTTTAGACTTAACAGGATTTCAAACATTCATAATTGCCTATAAATAGTACTTTCTAACTTTTGCACTCATTAGAATAGCTCAGTGTCCTGATTTCATGAATAGTATTGTTGTATACTTGACAATATATATATATATATATATATATATATATATATATACATCGACCCTAGGATCAAGTCCACTGTGTTGACTTATCCCTTTATTCCTTGTAGCCATCCACTTCTGTATTATCGTTTGGTTGGCTATGAAAAGCAATTGTTTCTTGTAATACTTTCTGTATGATTACTGAAAATTTCATTAACGAGATAGTGGGTATTGATTCTATCAAATAACCTATGATTTAATGATATATAGTTGTGTAAATAATTCTTAAGGTTATGCCTTATATTTTTAAGTTAATAGTTATAGGACTATTCAAAAACATCAATCTGGTAGTCGTTTGTTTGAAGCATGAAATTTTCACCGCGAAAATTTTCAATTTTCTATTCAATGCATTTAAGCAGTAGTTTCTGGATTAAAGCATCCAGCTTTCAACCAACAGGGTTCAAATTACAGTTCGCCTACGTAGGTATGAGTAGCCATGTAGTATCATTAACCGTCACACTTAAACTTTGACTTGTAGTCTAATAAGTCAGTTTATGTTCAGAAAACTGGCTGCATTAATTTCAACTTAGTTAATCCATCAGTCAGTGTTACGGTTTTCAGTAACTATTCCTGTAGCCTTCACAAATTCAAAGATACCACTGACTTTATAAGTAGATGCGGTGTTTTGCTAGGTAGTTCGCATTGAAATAAGGCATTTTAAGTAAGTGATCGGATCTCTTATCTAGTGTTGCTTTTACGAGACCAAGTAACTTCAAACCTAACAAATCATTTCACTTCTGGTGTATTGTTATATCACTTTCTTGAGTAATCACAGGATCATATCCACTTACAACATAAGCATATCTGATGATATTGCATTGCCTAGACCATTACAATTATAGCTAACTTGGAGTAAACCGAAATGCATAAATTCAGTTTCTTATGTTTAGCGATTCACATGTAATCACATGTTATATCGTTTAAACACTTGATACAAAGTTACACGAATCTGGAATGACAAAATACTTTTAATCCAGATGATTTGCGTTGTTGAGTTCTGTTAACCGTTAATTAATGTTGTGTGTTTGAAGTCGTTTCATACAGAGTTAAATAATGAAGAACATGGTTTCAAAGAATCTACAAGTTTCACTAATTATCTTATCAGTAATTTGTTATAGTCATTTTGCAAGTTACTTTGAAAATAAGTGGCCAGAAACTCCATATATCTGTTTCGTTACTTCAAAGGTGGCTAGGTATCTTAATTATGTCACTAATTAAATCCTTTTCATTATCCGAATAGACACATTGTAATACAGTATTCGAAGTTGAATAGATCAAGGGATTAATACATTTGAAGCGTACTTTTAAGGATACTCAGATATCGATATTATGCTGCCCTGTAGATTTCTAACATACATATATATCCCTGTCATCTGTAAGTAATGAGATGTCCAACCATAGGTTCTCATCGATCGATCTAAATTTTAACGTAGGAGTCAGTGGCTAAAATTCAAATGCCTTAATCACTAAATTATCGCTCCTCATACTAATGTGAAGTTTATTTATTGTAGTTAATATGTTGATGCAATTATAAAGTTGAAATATTGAATCCTGACTAATTTGCAACTATTAATTTGGCTTTTTTTGTGTACTGTATGTGCTTGTGATTTTCTCAGTAGTTTAATTTACTATCATTCAGTGTATCTTATTCATATTTTTTTCCACAACTTCATGCTTCTTTTACATTTGTGGGCAAATAGTTCTTTTTATGCTCCGTTTATATTCCTGAATGTGTTGTTATTCAAACTTCAAAATCCGTTAATGTGGATAGTTCGTATTCATCTGTTACTTATGGAAATAATCAATCTGATCTGAATAATCATTCAAATAATGTAACTAATAATCAGGAATTCTTCAATAAAAACATTTCAGTTGATAACTTTCCATCATCATCGACAAATGTTCATCGAATTGTTTTACCAGAGGCTGAAATGTGTGAAGCCGTACATAAAGCATGTCCACTTCTTTTTTCAATTATTCACTCAATGAATAATAATAATAATGTGAAGAAGAAATCTACAGAAAGCAACAACACTGGCTCTGGTCACAGTATTAATAATAATGGTAGTGGTAAAGATATTGGCGATGATACCAGTACTAGTAAACAGTATAATCATTTATATCCGAAATTCTTGGATTGTTCATTGTATACACCAGGATGTCGACAGGTATATTTATTTATATATTTTTCCATAATTATTTGGTAAATAATTCTCGTCACTTTTACATATTAGGCTAGTGATTTTGGTAGTTGGAACGTATAATGACTCATTAAAGTTCAAATCAGCTGTCTTTGATTATTTGATCTACTTCTGGTTGGTACATTTGCTTAAACATTCAGCCTCCAAATATGGCTCATACATCGATACAATGAATTGGATTGAAAGGAGGTATAGAGACGGGATTAGTCAATAAATTCATCGACTATTGGTTTTAGTCATGTTGGCAGATGTAGATTACTACTACCTGGTTGACGTCTGCTTTTTAACCATGATCAGTGGTTGGAGATATTAAGTGATGAAACGACCCAAAACCGTTCACAATAGCGCAGGTGCATTAGAGAAATGTGACTCAAAACGAGAAGATAAATTTAAAAAATAAGTACGAAATATCAGCGGATTCGTGTACAATATGCTCACCCTCTGATAGGCAGATAGATATTTTGTCTATTTATTGACTTTTTAGTTCTCGCCGTCATTGGGATGGAGATCCGTAAGGTTCAAGGTGAAGTTTGCTAATTTTAGCGTCTACCTTTTCTAACTCTTACTGTCCGTTACTAGAGGACAGCGTCTCTACAGATAGTAGTCTGTGAGAAATATCCTACTGCTGTCGTTCTGTAGTACAATTAGCAAAATAACTTCCCTTTTATACCCTAAGTTTACCACTTGTTTAGTCTCTAACCCTAACCTGTTTGATATTAGTAGTAGGACCTAGAAAAGGGATATTCTAATCAGTTGCTGAAGTAACATAAAATATGACACCACATTGTCCTTATTTTTCTTTTCAGTTTCCTGAAGTGAAAGTAAGTTTTAAAGGAGTCATTCAACAAGAAATTGTTTATTTATGGATAAATCCACTTTTTAAATACCACTCAAATTTATACGCAGATTCGTAAATATTTGAACAAATATTTTGACAGAAACTGAGTGCCATATATCTCAGCGATTGAAATCTATGCAATTGCAACGTTTTGTTCAGTATCTTAATAGTTGAAACCGTGAGTCAATTGGAGCTAGACCATTATGGAAAACCTGGAAGCACTGGACGGCCGTTTCGTCCTATTATTGGACTCCTCAGTAGTGCGCATCCACGATCCCGCCTTGCGAGCGAGATTCGAACCCAGGACCTACCAGTCTCCCGCGCCGGCTCAGTGGTCTATCGGTTGAGTGCTCTGGCGCGAGACTGTTAGGTCGTGGGTTCGAATCTCGCTCGCAAGGCGGGATCGTGGATGCGCCCTGTTGAGGAGTCCCATAATAGGACGAAACGGCCGTCCAGTGCTTCCAGGTTTTCCATAATGGTCTAGCTTCAATTGACTCATGATTTCAACTATTAAAATACCGAAATCTCCACAAAACCCCTTCTGTTTTGTTCAGTTTTATAATCCTTCGTATCTGAAATTTCAGATTATAAAATTTCATAAGTATCATTGTTAAATCTCAATAATATATATGAGCAAACTATCGGTCAATTGAACGCCTCATCTTTAATAGATATGTATACATTATTATCATTCCTTTGACATTGTTTTGATTGTTTGTAGAACAAAGATGACTTTTACAGAAATTTTTCACTCAACATTATCCTATTAATCTAGAGTGGTAAAATCAAGATATCTGAAATTTTGGGTTAGATTAGAACCTGATCAATCAGTATCTTTTTTAAAATATATGGATTAGTATAGAAGTTTGATTTTTAAGTCCTATGCATAAATCTCTTTCTATCCTGTTTGTCTAGACTGGAGACAAAGTATGTTCCACTTTATCTTGGCTATCTATTTTGTTTATCAAACCTGCTTATTCTCACGTTTCAAGGTGAAAGTCAATGTCAATTGAAATAAATAATCTATCCAATATTTATTTGCTTATTGACAGGCTTTTAGTTTAGCCATTAAGTTTTTGTCTGATTGACCGACTAATTCTATGTGTGTTGGGAAGCTTGGATGAGAGGGGGACTAGAGTGAGAGAGAGTTACGTTGATTAAAATTCAAAAATTTACTTTTATTTCATCCTGTCCCGTGTATGGCATTATTAGTTGATGTTTTTTAACTGTTGCAAATAATCAACTGAAGTTTATTCACTGTTCATTTTGTTAATTTTATCGCGTTATGGTAATGTAATGTACTAACTTAAACCGATACACATCAGTAGTATTAAGCTCCATCAATTATAAGCGACTGGATCAATAAGGAGACTCTGAAGTAAATTGTTGTTAGCACAGACTAACCAGTTTTTCTGTCATAGAAAATTTTGTCCACTGTTTGAGATTTTATTTTATCTAACTAAATGCATTGTGTTGTTCATTTAGTTTACTTGGATTTATTACTGCTTCTCACAAATTGAAGAGTAGATTTTTGTTAGCGAAACTTTGATATAATCGTCATTGTGTGTGTGTGTGTTTCGGGCCACTATTGTGGAGGAGATTTTTGATAATACGAAATTTGTTTGAAGGAAATCGCATTGTAGGTCACTCATCCTCCAATCATTTGGAATCTGATTGTTAAGCTCAATCTTTGGGTATCATATTACCTCCCCATAAAATGATGTGGGATGCTTCTGTGGCAACATTGGTGAAGTGGTACTTTTACTCCGCTCCAAATATTCAATTTTATTGCGAATCATGTTTTCGTTTATTTTTCAATTACAACCTCACCAATTATATGAAATATACGATACTTTATTTCTCTTCCTCTCCTTCCTCCCTCTCTTGGCACTTTCCGCATGATTTGGTTTGTAACAGTCTGCGCACCTGAAACACTTTTGTTATGTGACTGAAAAAGTCAACGATTCTCATGAGATTGTTTGCTGCTTGACTTGTGGGGACTAACCTAGCGTATGTTCCTTAGACTCATCTTAGTTTTGTGTAACCGAAATTCAAGATTCAAAGCTTAAAGTCATAGAATTTCCGGGTAAATTCTGACTGTGATTTAATCGTGATTTCGAGGCTATTCATTGATTTAGTTATGTCATTGCTTCCAACCATTCCATTGTTACATGAACTGAAATTTAGATTTGTCATGCATTCTTTTTGAATTGATAGTATGTGAAAGAAGTTTAGGTTTTAACTCATTTAGTAACGTCTGGATAAATTCTACCTTCAACTACATTAACTAAAATAAACGATAAATTTCACCTATCTTTAACAACTGACGTTTTGGAAAAAAAATCGAGTTTTATTTCTATCATCATTGTCATAGAGATGGTTTTCTGATAATTTGATGATGAATATGAAACGCGAAAAAAAGAGTGGTTGATGGTAATCAACTTGTAGGTTGCTTATTCTCCAATCAATTAAAACCTGACTTTTAAGCGTAATCTTTGAACAGATGGTTTTCTCAGAGGGCCACTCCCCAAGCCTTTGACCTAAAGGTCTAATCCACAAGATAGTCGAGCAACGTTAGAAGATGCAGTCACATGGTGGCCGGTAACCGACAACAGGTTCCTACGCCTTTTGTCCCCTCAAGATCCTGGAGCTCATGTACACCATTGGTTTGGAATCAGGGTTTTCCAACTCTCTTAGATGAATCCTCCATATCCACCAACCCGGTTAAAGCGTCGGACATTCGCATTTCGTCTTTTCAATTTCGTAAACAACACCCTAGCCGTGAGAAGGCAGTGAACAGAACTTTCCTGACAGTAGCTGAATACTCTTGGCCATGTGAAAGCATTTCATTCATTTTACAAATGATGGTTAACAGTGCTCATGATTCCCTAATGGTTGTTTACCTTTAAAAAAATTTAGTGCTACAAGATTTAAATCCACATTTTTAAGTACTTTAATTGGAAGAACCTTTAACTCAGTAACTGGACTCTCTTGATGAAGGAATGAATTAGAATAGACTAATCATTGGAAAGTAACATCTGTTTCATTGTTGACTTTAGATGAATAACTAAAGTATTAATTATTTATCAGAAGGGGGTTTTGTGGAGATTTTAGTAATTTTATAAAGTTGAGATCATGAGTCAATTGAAGCTAGACCACCATGGAAAACCCGGAAGCACTGGATAGCCGTTTCGATCTATTGTGGGATTCCTCAGCAGTGCATATCCACGAGGAGTCCTACAATAGGACGAAACGACCGTCCAATGCTTCCGGGTTTTCCATGGTGACCTAGCTTCAATTGACTCATGATCTCAACTATTTAGAATTATTAATTAATTGGTTGATCTCAAAAATTTCTTCATTTATTTTACTTTCATTTTATTGTTGTTTTCTTTTAATTGAACCAAAGAATAAATTAACTGCTCGTTTATTTCAAAGTAATGGCGGTGGATGTCAGTCTCCTCTTGTTACAACATCATTAAGACGAAATTGGTAAGTATTCTTTCTTCTAGTTATTTAAATTCTGTTTACACTGTCAGTCATTTATCTTGATAATATTTCGTTATATATGTTCTACTTTCTTTGTTTAACTTTTCAAGTCTCATCAACCGTTGTGTGTTAGCATCTAATGAAATCTCTGTATGAATTTAAAAATCTCGATTAACTTTTGCTAACTTATGTCACATATAAATTAGGCGACATATCTATCTACCAACCAGAAAGCAAGTATACCATGCAGCGATCCGTTTTGTATTACTCTACGGCTGTAAAGTATGGTCTTTGAAAGTAGAAGATATGCATAGACCAGATTTTTTCTCCATAGGTGTCTTTGAAACATTACTCGCGTATCGTAAATTAACTCAGTGAGCAGTGTTGAGGTTAACCATAGGGTATCAGATAAGAATATAATATCGGTTGATGGGGTTGTAATTCATCGTCAACTGAGTTGGTTGGGTCATATTTCACTTATGCCTAACCACCGCGTACCTTGGCACAGGATGTTTGCTCATGTAGGAGTTATTCGGGAAGTTGCTAAAGGCGCTCGAACTAAAACGTGATATTATTTGATGAAGTCACTGATTGTTGGCTGAGTCATGTTAGTAGATACAAACTATCTAGTTTTAGTTCGTCCAATAATTGCGATCAGTTTATTGGAGACTCTGGGTAACATAGCTCATAATTGATCACATTAGCCAAAATACACAAATGTTGTCCGGTATTTCAGCACTTATACCCTTTTATTCGTTTTTTTCGAACCATTTAGACTCATTACCATTACTATTACATTATTTCAGTTCTTTTAGTATTCATCGTGTTATTTTAATCTATTTATGCTAATCCAATATTAGCAACTTGAGCTGACGCACATGTGTTAGGCTGTATGCCAACTATGAATAACTGATATTATAAAATTGGTCAGTAGTACTTATCCAGATGGTTTCACATAATTGATTATCACAAAGATCAATGTATCATTTAACTGCAGGCAAACATGAAACATGTTCCATGAGATCAAATAAACATAGTTTGTAGAGTTTCCAACTATCGATCTCAACATTGTGAAGAGTATCATAGGCTACTGTACTTTTAATATTCGTATCGATTATATATTAGTCAATATTTTAATGTACCAAATCATTCCGTATCTCCTGTAAACGTAATTTTTGTGTTAAAGTGAAACTTTTTTTTCTAAATGTGAAATAGTTTACACTTCTACATAACTTATTGTGGGTTTAAATTCACTTAGTATTGTTTGTTTGAATCTTCCCATCGATGTTTAGGACTGCAACTGGTCAGTCTCTATTTGGCATATATGCATACTGTGCGTATTGCCTCGATATAGCCTTAATTCACAAGCATTGTACAAGCAAGTGGCTATCAGAACTCAGTAGCTGAGTGGATAACGTGATGGCGTTTGAAGCGAAAGGTACTGGGTTCGAGTCCCAGAGTGTACATCAACTCTGAGATGTAGGTACATCCAGCTAACGAGTCCCAAATAGGACGAAACACACGTCATGGTTTCCACTGCTAGCCACTATCCATCTTTGCTTATTGTGGGTTTGTTTAATTAGTTGGTGTGTAGTTAAATAGGATCGTCTTTCAGAAACAAACTAGTGGATAAAAATGTTTTATTCAAGTTTGCCTTCCTTTCGGATAATAATTTGTGTTTAAACGTTAGGGGTATTGTTGACTCATTATTACTAATGTCATACGCAACATGGAACCTGATACATATGTTCATCAGTTCAAATTACTGTAACACATTGGCATAGTGAGATAAAATTATTTCAAGACAAATCTCTGGGTAGTATGAGTGGTATGAATATCAGTAGTGGTAGAAAAATTATTAGGTCTATAAAACGAAAAACAAAGCAGTATGAAATTTCGGGACTTAGATTCTAAGTGAAGATAAAGAGTCAATCTACTTGCACCATCGTATACGATACTGAACCATCTTACTCAAAATCTTTAACCGTTGGTTGTGACAACAATTTGAACCCCAACGAGGTAGTCCACATCTGTGAATAGAGCTAAGTCCAATTTCCAATGATTTCATAGACTGATGTCATGTTTTGTTTTGGCCACCCCTAGCTTTCTTCCAACTTACTCTCCTACACCGGACAAGGTGGTTCATCGAGAAGAAAGAAACTATAAAATTGTATGTATGGAGGAATACTTATTTGTCTTTAACAAAGGTATAACATCAATTTAAAAAAGTTCTGTCCACTGCATTCAGGTGGTATATGTTCATTAGAGCGAAAGAGGGATGAAAACAAGTGAACTTTAGTGAAACTTGATCAGTTGGGATGGCTGGGACACGTGTTACGTATGCCCAACCACCGACTGCCCCGACGTGCAATGCTTTATAGTGTAGGAGCAGGTTGTAAGAAAGCTAGGGGCGGCCAGACCAAAACGTGGCATAAATCCGTGAAGTCACAAACAATTGGACTGAGCCATGTTGGTAGGTGTAGACTACCTGGTTGGGATCCACGAGATGATAGCAACCGATGTTTAGAGACCTTGAATGACATGGCTCAAAATCGTTTGGAATGGCGAAGGTGCATCCAATCTGTGTGTTCTACCAAGTTCTAATCTTCTGAATTCTTCATGTCTCTATCTTTTTTCTCTTTCCAAATTTATTTCACTGAATGATACTCCTTCGATAACATCTTCAAACCCTAATCTTTCACATTAACGCTTATAGTCTTACTACTTCTACCACTATGGGATTTGAATCGACAACTGAATCCCTGTCCTAATGTGGTATGGCAACTCGAACTGATGTACGTACGTACGAAGTTCTACATTGTGACTGACTGACTGATTTAATTCTGTCACAGAGTTTTTAGTAGAATCATTTTGAATAACGCATTTCCATAGTTTTCAACGCTTTTTCAATTATAACTTGTTTAGTGCATATATTTGTTTTGCCTTTTTATCATTTGTTTATAGGATTCCTGGCATAGAAAGATGTAGTTTTCCATGTCAACGTCCTCATTTCGATCCTGAACATTATAAATTAGCTAGATGGATTACAGGTTGTGCTGCTTTGTTCTGTTTATGTACTAATATTTTTACATTGGTAAGAGATGTTCTTTTACTTAATCTTTTTTTGTGGAATATTTTTCAAGCTATTCACTTTTGTTATGATCTATACTGATATATAAATGATTATCATAGAGAGAGGTGTTAGATCTTAGTAAAATACGATTATTTATTGCGAGATCCCGGTTGATCTACAGTAATTGTTATTTACAAACAGTTAAGGATCATTCTAATATGAACAGTTCTATTACGGACTCGATAACGGGAACTAGCACACAACACATTTATAATAAGCCGCTAACACAGGAAGAGGACAAAGTGTAGGAAGAAACTAATTTCTAAGGGGAACTTGAAATAATACATATCTCTCTCTCTCTCTCTCTCTCTATATATATATATATATATATATATATATATATATATATATATATATATAACCGTAGTTGTGTGCTGACTGGGATGCTCGAAGTCGACGATTTTATTAGGGGTCCACTTGTGTTTTTGACTTCAAGGTCCCTAACGCACAAGGCAGTAGAACAACATCAGGAGATGCAATCTGGTGGTTACCAGTAATTAAAATAGGTTGATGAGACTATAATTAACGAACGACTCGTGAGTGATACTTTATTGACCTTGAGAATATTCACCTACTTACCAGGATTAAAAGATTATACATTAATGTAAAGAATTAGGATTAGGACTTAGAGTTGGACGTTAAGGTTAGGAATTCGAGTTAGGGTTTTCATCGCAAATTCACATCAGCTATAGTGCCAAAATGCTATTTAGCCATATTAATGAGTAGATTTTTTCTTAATATCTAAGATTTGCTTTCTTTAATCTGATTGGTTCGTCCATAAGTTACTGTCTCGCTAATAGGTTAATATTCTATTTGTCCCTTTAGGATCTTGGGGCTTATTTCTATCAGTAAACAGGGCTTACATAATAGAGGCTACAAACTCATGGGTGTATGATAGCACTTGAAGCTCGCAATCAGGATTTTTCTATCCTTGGGAGCTTTTGTTAATCACCATAAAAAAGATAAAGCAAATAATTCTGAATGAAAGCAATATACATCGTTCCCGATTGTCATCACGTCCAATTTGTTAGTATACTCGTACCATCCGGTTTATCAGTCCTTACACAAACTGTGAAATTTTTCTGACGTGTAAGGATCTCTATGTTTATATATGTTTCTCTGTTCACCTAAATAGATAGGCATATCTCTTTTATTTAGTCTCGGTGGTTAGACAGACCTAGTATTGTATAACAGAAGTGTAATTCTTTGTTTTTCATATTCAATTTTTGTCCATTATGATAGACAAAGAAAAATATTCTCCATTACCTACCCTTATTACTGTCAAAGAATGAATTTGTTTTAACAAGGTTTATCATTAAATTCATTAAAACAGGTATAAACAAGAAATTTAGGATCTAAAAAAAGTATAGTTGAAAATCAGCTTAACTATTGTCTATACAAAAACACACACACACAATATATATCTATGAATTCTAATTGGTAACATGGTATTAAAACAAAGAGTGTAGGCAACAAGAACATGGGCGGGGACAATCGAATGTAATTAAGCACAAATTACAGACTATCTCACTAAATTCTGATAATCATACAGTACAAAGTTAATTTGCAAAATAACAATCAATTGTCTCAATCTTCACTGTTCCTTCTGCAAATATCAGTCCGTCTTCTCTGATTTCATTGTTTATGCATTTTCATTCGGATTGCGCTTCATTCCTGTTCTTTTCTCATCGATCTTCTGCCGAAATACATTTCTGCCCCAAAGAGAGTTGGGAGAGTCCGCTCTCCCTCTCGAAATACTCTCACATGGACACGTATATATAACCTCTACCATGGAAGTCCTACTCACTTCCTTCTTGCACAACGGGTGTTGTTTACGAAATCGATAACACGAAAAGCGAATGTCTGGCGCTTTAACCGGGTTGGTGGACACGGAAAGTTCACCCAGGGGAGTTGGAAAACCCTCATTCCAAACCAATGGTGCACATGGGCTGGCTCCAGTATCCTGAACGAACAAATGGCGTATGAATCAATCGTTGGTCAGCAGCTACCATGGGACTGCATCTACTTACGATGCTCCACTGCCTTGTAGATCAGACCTTTAGGTCAAAGGCTCTGGGTGTGGCTCTCTAAGAAAACCACCTGCTTCAGTTTGGGCACCTAAGCAGTATCACAGCCCTCACATAAATCAAATGAAATTTGTGCGGCGCATATGTATCTGGTGCTTCCTTGTACCAATATTTATGTATTTAAATAAATAAATAAAATACATTCTCTGCCTAACCATCATCATATACTACTTATATGGATATAAGTAAACCACACCACCTGAGTAGTCTGATCATTGAAACTTGGTATTTACCTCAGACCATAAAAAATGAAGGAAATTAATGCCTACTTAATACAATGTAGTGTAAAGTATAGTGAGACAATTTCCAAATATGATAAAATTTAATGAAATGCTAATAAATAAGCAGTTTTAACATGTTTATTGAACCATTATACGAATTTTTATATATAGTTAAAATCATGAGTCAATTGTAGCTAAACCACTATGGAAAACCGGAAAGCACTGGACGTCTGTTTCGTCCTATTGTGGGACTTCGTTGGATGCCGGCTCAGTGATCTATCGGTCAAGTGCTCGTGCACGAGACTATTAAATCCTGGGTTCGAATCTCACGAGACGAGATCGTGGATGCGCACTGTTGAGTAGTGTTATTATAGGACAAAACGGCCGTCCAGTGCTTCCAGGTTTTTCATGGTGGTCTAGCTTCAATTGACTCATGATTTCAACTATACATAAAAATTACTAAAAATCTCCACAAATAACCGCATATACGAATTTTTATCGTAAACAAAAAAAGAGGCTCTAGGGTTAAAAATAGAAATTGGGGTTAAGATCATTGTAAGAGAATACTTTTAAGCCACGATATTGAAGTTTTATTCAGGTAATTCGTTAAAAGTATATACTAACGACCTTGAATCAATCAGTCAGATAAGATCATGTGTATGAACTTGTTGTTGATGACCGACTACCATGAGACTGCAACTCCTAACGTTGCCTTAATGTCTTGTGCATTGAACCTGTATCAAACGTTATGAAGTGCCCCCTCTAAGAAAACTACCCGCTTCTGTTTGGCCACTCGGGAAATATTTTAGCCCACGTACAAATCTAATTGTTTTTGTGGTGTATACATATTTTGGTGCCCTTTTGCTTCAATCTCTATATGTTTGTATAAATAGATAAAACTTGGTAGAATATAAACAATACAACGCTACATCTCGAATTTCTCGAGAAACTCCAAAAGTCACTATGTTAAATTTGATTGATACTTTCGTACAGCATAGTTTTACCAGCTTTTTGGAGATTTCCTAGCTTTTGATGTTTTCGTACCCTTTTTTTTTCTACATCTATTGTGACGAAATATTTAAAATCCTAGAATTATTCTAAGATACATTTCTCATTCTTACCTACTAGATATGTCTAAATATAAATCAGTTCAGACAATAAAATTCAATCTCTTTAGAAATCTGAATTAAGTTCACTTCATTGTTCTTGTGGCTTAGTATAGTCTACATTTTGTTGTACGAAACAATTAATCATGAACTCACATACATTTCGTATGGTTCATATGTTTATATATGTATAATTTTCAAAAATCACAGGTCTCCATGTACTCCTGTTTAAGCGATCGCGTTGTGTCACTAGCCCTCACACAATTAGAGTTTGATTCAAAGTGAAATAAATCACTTATTATACAGTGATCCGAGCTAGACAGTGGAGCACTTCTGCGAGTCATATATATACCCACATCATTAATGAAAATCAAGTCTAGATGAGCATTCAGATGAGTAGGAAAATCCACTACATTTTGGTGACCTAGTGATGTAAGGAAGCTACAGTCACATGAATTGAAATCATCACATACAATTGAAAGTTAATCACTGAAGGCAGCAACGGCGTATTCAGTAAATTTATCAGCGAAGACATATAGCGCAGATGATGTGCATTCTGGAGTCATGTAGATGTTGGTAACATAAATATATTTGTATTTATTCAGGTGTTTTGGACGGCACCTTAAAGTTAGACAATCGATAAAGTCATTTGAAAACTTGAAACAAGCAGAAGTAAATCGACACCAGTTAACGTTTATAAACGTATCTACTCCGCCTCCACATGTCTTTTTATTCTTTGATCGATCCTGACGATAGATATTGAAATAACGTAGTGATACTAAGCAATCGTCCTATAAGTCAGTTAACCAAAGTTCTTGAATTGTGACGACACCACAATTACGATACATGTTTTGACTTAACAGAGATTGCAGATAGTCCATCTTGTTAATTAATGATCGACAGTTAGAATTAAGCAGCTCGGGAATCAACATTTAATTGATGTTTATTCTCTTTAAAGCATATTGCCAACCACCACGATGTCTCTTATTGTGCTTGTTTGTAATTTTTGCAGTGAAAGGACGTAAGCTTTTTATAAACGCCCCTGTATAGGTTATGCGATTAATAGATATAATGAGGTGTTAAAAAAAACAACAACAGATAACTTGTTGAAATATTTAAATGACAGAAACCGGTAGCCCAAGTATTCAAGCAGGCCGCGTCAAAAAAAACTTAAACAAGATACCTTTTATACAAGCATCATATGTATGATAATTATGTTTAGTAATTATTTAATTTATTACATAATTTTTATAATTTTAGTTTACTATTCGTTTACAATTAGCTGAACGTATGGAGATAACATTACAACTTTCAGTTTATATTCATCGTCTTATTGATTCATTACATTTGCCAACATTTTCAACAAATCGAAAATCTCATCTTATCTACAATGGTAAATCATCCAAATCATCAGCGACAACAGTAGCCACTTCTTTAACAGGAACAAAAACGAATACAACAACTACAACATCTAATGATACAGTTTATAATCCATCTTGGCGTTTATTACATACATCATTATTTTATATACATTTATTTTTAATATTTGGTTGCTTTGGTTGGTTATTACCTTTATTACCAAGTATTGGTGAATATGTTGCTTGTCGGGAAGATGGTAGTCTTCGTGTTGGTGAACCACAAATCAGGTAAACATATATGTCATAGTTCACATTACGATCTAATGTTAGGCAACTGTTGAAAAAGTAGAATGAATTTTCTTAGCAGTGTTTGTCCACGATATCATCAGTGATTGAACTCTTTAGCATATTGAAAGATACGTAACATAACGAGTTGATTAGAGTTCGAAATATGTAAGCCATTAGATGTCACTTTGGTAGTCTAAAGGTTAGGGGCTTACCATGAGACCTGAAAGTCTTGGAATCAACCTCTGCTGGGGTCATGGATTCATACTCCTAAGGAGATCTATACTAGGACAAGGAAGCTTTTAAATGAGTGCTCCTTGATTTTTAATTTTTATCTAACCAATACCAGTCCATTATTTGAATTATATATAAATATATCATCTTTGTAGCATGAAACTTTGGACTAGTTTAAAATGCATTTCATCTGGAAAGAACTTTCACTATCGACGTGATGTCGAATGGGTTGAAGAGTGAAGCTATTCACAAAATGAGACTGAAAAGATTACTTTATGTCAAAGTTAATTGGTATTAGCTATGTAATTTTGAAAATTGTTTGAGCGAACTTGAGACTTAGGGAGGTTATTTTTTTTCGTTGGTGATCATAAATGTTTGTGTATGCATGGATCATGTTCAGAGTCCTAAATCAAAGGAAATGTTTTTCTTAGTGGGCCACCTAGAAGTTTAAGTGATAAAATAGTGGAGGAACTTCAAGAAATCTCGTCCCTTGGAAGCTCGTGATAAAAATAAGTTCATATCCCATTCATTCTCCTAGGATACTGAAGTTTGTGTACATTATTGGTTTGTAATTAAAGTTTTCCAACTTCTCCACTAACCCAGTTGAAGCCCTTGGTGTTCGCTTTTCGTCCTCTTGTTTTAACAAAAAAACATTCCTCACTTTATGAGGCCAATCAGTAGCAATTCAATGGTAAGCAACTACAAATACATGGTCGTCCATGTGCATTTAAAGCGCAGAAGTAAACTGTCTTAACTCTCAGTTTTACCAAGGTATTTAGGAGCAGTTCATCTATTTTAGAATCGAATTCTTTCTGTGTGATCAGTCATTCACTTTGACTTATTATTCTTTTTTCTCTTCACTCTCCCTTCTATCTAATCGTCCTTATCATCATTATGTCCTTCACGTCATTATAGTTCCGGGAAATCATATCTATGTATTATCGATTTCATTTTATTGTATTTCTCCTCTATGGTTGCTGCAATTTGGTCAAATATTTTTGATTATGCATTATTATATCAAATGAAAAAAATTAATTATAATCTAACTAATCAACTATCTCATCATCAACAATTCCCTCCTAAACATCATCATCGTTACCATCACTACAAGGGTAAACTACATCGACAACAATCACAACATCGTAATCATCGTCATCGCCAACGACATCATCATCATCATGAACATCAACAACAACAACAACAACCATCTCAACAATACCATACCGATGTTGAAATGAAACATTTTCATTCATATATAACAAAATTCAGTGAGAATTTATCTAAAAAATATAATAAATCATTAGATCGTTCTATACCAAAACGAATATCTGATGAACCATTATCAGAGATAACAAATTCAGTCAACTTAACTAATGAAAAATCATCTGAATTTGAATTAATTAATGAAGAACATTTTATTCCAATTAATGATACTACTACTAGTGATACTACTACTAATAATAAAAACAATAATACTACTACTGCTACAATCACTAATGAAACAATCATTGAACCATTAAATGTATCCATTTCAAAAGATTGTACAAATAATATGAATATGATTAAGAAAGAATGCAAATTATCTTGTTCATTTTTATCATCAACGTCGTCGTCATCGTCGTCTTCTTCTAGTTCTACTTCATCACCTTCATCATTGACGTCGTCATCTTCTTCATTATTGTTATTATCTAGTCAAAATGTTAATAATATAGAAAAAACGGATGATACACCACAATTGTCTAATAATAATACTGATAATAGTCTTAAAACTAGTAAATTTCACAATTCTATGCATAAATTCCATAAACAAAAAATAAAAGGTTCAAAGAATTATTATGTTGGTGATGATTATCATAGTAAGCTAAACTGGTATCTGTTTATTTTTTAAATGTTGCAATGTATGAATTTTTGTTCCCATCAACTCGATCTCTCTTTTTCTTTTTACTGCTGTTAGTTTATTAGAGTTATAGTGTAGGTGGTAAACGTATTCTATGTCAGGTAAGTCCTACTCACTGCCTTCTTGAACAACGGGTGTTGTTTACGAAATTGAGAAGACGAAAAGCGAATGTTCGGCGCTTTAGCCGGGTTAGTGGACACGGAAAGTTCACTTAAAGGAGTTAGGAAACCTTGATTCCAAACCAATGGTGCACATGGGCTGGTTCCAGTAACCTGAGGGAACAAATGACGTATGAATCAATCGTTGGTCACCGGCTACCATGGGACTGCATCTACTTACGATGCTCCACTGCCTTGTAGATCAGACCTTTAGGTCAAATACTCTGGATGTGACCCTGTGATAAAACCACCTGCTTCAGTTTGGGCACCTTGGCATTATCACAGTCCTCACACAAATCAAATAAGATTTGTGTAGCGCATATGTATCTGGTGCCTCCTTGTACCAATATTTATGTGTTTAAATAAATAAATAAATAAATAATGCTGAATAGCCAATCAGATTCTAGATAGCGCCTATTGTATTTTTGTGCATAATTCAAAATTCAATGATCTTGTCAAAACTAACTGAATACTATCAGTATAGGAAGACTAAAGAATATGAACTATGACTTATGAATTAGTGAAGGTAGTTCTAAGTTCCTAGATATTTACTATCATAGAAATCTTTGATTATGTATTCATCCTTATGTAGTTATAAAGCATTCATCTACTGAACTCTTAATCATTATTCCTATCCTCTAATGCTAGATTCTAAACATAATCCTAATTTTAAAATGAACTCAACTCCATCTACTTCGGTATGAGCAATCGGGTAGTATCATTAGGCTTTGCACTTAAACTATAACTCATATCCAAGTACCTGGTGAATGAGTTAATTTAAATTAAGTTAAACCCCAAATCCTAATTCTCAGTCTCAACTTCTAATCTTAACCTTAAATAAAACTAGACTTTTTTTTGTGAGTTTTTAAGTAACAAATCATCGATTAATATATACTTGTATTCTTATTGCCTGAAAGTTAGCTTCATCTCACAGTTATATTAAAGTCACCGAAGATCTTCAGTATGATGTATTTGTACTGTTTAGCTATTTAATTTCATAGTTTCTAAAAAATGTTATCTGTTCTAGTCTTATAATGACTGATTAATTTATTAGAACAATATCAAACAGCCTAACACAACATTAGATGAGTTCTTATTTATTTATTATTTATTTAAAAACATAAATATTGATACAAAGGGGGACCTGATATATATACGCCACACAAATCTCATTCAATTTGTATTAGGGATGTGATACTGCCCAGGTGCTCAAGCTGAAACAGGTGGTTTTCCTAGGGGCCACACCCAGAGTCTTCGACCTAAAGGTCTGATCCACAAGGCATTGGAGCATCGTGAGGAGATGTAGTGCCATAGTAGACGGTGACCAATGATTGATTCATACGCCATTTGTTCGTTCAGGATACTGGAGCCAGCCCATGTGCACTATTGGTTTGGAATCAAGGTTTCCTAACTCCTTTAAGTGAACTTTCCGTGTCCACTAATCCGGCTAAAGCGCCGAACATTCGCTTTTCGTCTTCTCAATTTTGTTAACAACAGTAATGCCACGAGAAGGCAGTGAATAGGACTTCCTTGACAGAGGCTTTATACGCGTGACCATATGAGAGCATTTGTAGAGGGAGAGCGGACTCTCCCTAGTCACGGCCGTACCAGAGAATTCGGGGGACATAAATAAAGGTTATTGAAAATTGATAATCTATGTAATATACCTGTAAGACTAAGTGTCTTGTATTGTATGTTGTTGTTCAGATAAACTTTCTCTGTTTAATGAAAAAGAAACAACATACAGATTTATAGCAAATGCAAAGACAATGACAGAATATAAGTTCTTTAACATTATTATGACTATAATTATTAATATCAGTAGTATTTATTCCATACATATATGTATACCTTATTTTATACATGAAAAGTTTAGTAATCCTTTGGGATTAGAGTCTTATACTTTCTCCAATGAAATTGATTTTTCTTCTCTACCTTCTTCTTGTGGGTGTATATACGTACGTAAAAAGGAAGTGTGAGACAATTTCCAACTCAATATGAAATGCATAATGATCAAAAAATCATAGTCAACCAACTAATGATATAGTAGTAAGAAAGTGAGGCCAAAAAATATAACTCACCGATGACAATAACATTAAATATGTATGTGAGGTCTTATCAAGGGAATTATTATTTCATTGTATTCATTTGGTATGGATTTGGATGATTTCACAGATAGCTAACATCTTGAATATACATTGTTTAATCAAAACGAAAACACTATATATGCATAATTAACAAAGACAGAAGAAGAAGAAGAGAGTACAACAAACACCGACAATCGGTGTAGAAACCTGGTGTATAAGATCAACATAATACAATTGAGTAGATTACATATGTGTTTCATCATATTTGTCTTTAAAGTATTCCTTTCAACCATAATGAAATTGTTATACAATAAGAAGATTCAATGATTGTTAGAATGAAAGAAGACTATTACTTACCAATCGATAGATGATATGAAGTGATATAATGTGGCTAAATAAAATATCTGCTCATGACGCCAAATTATTGCTGCTATCTTGACGTGGTGGTCGGGCTTGGCTATCGTGATGAACCAATCGAGCTATACTGGCTGGAACAATCGTTCCTCAAGGTCTACCATGTCAGACAGGTCGGTTGAAGAGCGGTTAGACTGAAAGCAGCAAACCCAAGGTCGAAAGGCGAAGTCGTACTAGTGACTGTAGAGAGGTGCGACGACAGTAAGGTGTTTCCTTCAGACAACCAGCATAACAGAGATACTGTCTTCCCACAAGGAGGGTTGGGGTTAGAAAAGGTCGACCCTAAAAATGCACACCTCACCTTATCCCACAGATATCCATCTCCGGGGGTAAGGCTTCAACAATTACGGAGCTAACACAAAAAGTACCCACAAAAAGATCGTGTGTGACCGACCTCAAGCAGTTGTCCCTTGGCACTGCGATCACGCTCTCAGGTCATTAAGACCACTTCTAACCCAATTTCCTTTTCAGTTGCCTCTAGAAGAACCCTTCCACGATGTGGGCAACCGGGAAGTGATAACTGCCCTCATGCCTCTAACAGCACTCAAAATCACTGACTGTATCATATGTTATGTATATCTAACCATTGCCTACTCTAATGACGAACAAAGCTGGTATAGATTTAAGTAGACTAAGAAGAAAGTTATGGTTGACAAAATAGATGTGAAATGTCACCAGCTAATGCAACTATTGACTTTCGGATCTACACCATTTTACAAATGGTTACCTATAATCGAATGCTCAATTCATTTTCCTTGTGATTTCCATTTTGTAACCAAACATCAACTCACTGTTAAAAGTTATTTCCATGTTAATCTATTCCTTGAAATTGTAAATATTTTATTCCTCTATTTTGTACTTATTTTTCCGTTATAACCATTTTTTTCTCTGCAGAATTACATTCTTCTCCTTCCAGTCATAACCATAGTCTTGTATGCTTGGAGTCGATTCCTCAACATTCACCAGGAATAGATAGTATTTGTTTAAATCCATATCATAATTATCATGATCGTCAACATCATCCACATCAACACCACCTTCATCATCGTTGTCGTACTGGTAGTCATAATTACCATCAACAGTATAAATTTGGATCATTTACTGGAATCCCACTAAATTCACTTGTCGACTTATTATCGTCTGATTGTATAAACTCATGTTTTCATTCATCCTCGTGTTTTCCAATTTCTAAACCATTAATCTCACAAATATTATGGATTCAACTATTTACTAGTGACAAATATCTTTTTATCCATAACATTGATACAATTGGAACTGTTGATGATGAGACTACTAAACATGGTCATCATGGTGAAGAGGATGTTAATGATGATGCTGTTGATCATGATGACAGGATTAATGGTCATTTTGTAAATACAAAAACTACCGCTAATACTACCACAACTTGTTCTCATATGAGATCACTTATGCTGAATCAAGGTGTTATCATTTCATCTCCAGTCAATAATCAGTCAATAAATACTCAACCGCAAACCACCTGTTTACATTTCTTAGCACTTGCCATCCCTTTAGTGTTTACATTGATTATTTTGACAGCTGCAGAAGTAAGTTTAATGATGTGTGTTTTGTTTTAATATACTTTACGAACACGCTTAACAATAAATATTTGGTGGTTGAAGGTAGTCGACAGCAGGAAACCTTGATCAACATAGATGTCGTGTTAGTTGGCACTTGTCATCAAGGCGTACTTTAAACTTTCTTGAACTAATAGTCCCTATGAGATGTGAATCTAGATTGCCACTCTAATGTTTGGGTGACGACCTATCTATAAAGTTGTGATGTTTACAATTGATTAATCATTGAGTTGTGACCAATATAATGTTTTTCTAGCTCTTATTGCTGAACAAAGTCTATCAACAACGATGTGTTTTAGTCACCAATCTAAATAACGCGATATCTCTCACACTACCGAAATATTGATCTGTTGGAAGTAATCGACTGGAAATCCTGAGTCTAAGTTTCGGGCTAGCTAGGAATCATCAGCATGGCTTTGATGTATTACTTTTATTTACTCCTGAACTGTGGCACATCTATTTCAAATAAATATAATCATTTAGGAATTCATCAAGTTACTTTTGAGTAGTATTCAAACCGTTACACTATTCTGTATCATTTAAATGCCGTCTAGTTTTTATAAAATTCACAAATTCGAAGTGAAATAATTCACCAGAAATTAAATCTTCTTATGGTTTATATCACAGATCATTAAATTTATTTATTTCAACACATAAATATTGGAACAAGGAAGCACCGGATACATATACTTACTACTACTTACTTTCGCCTGTTACTCCCAATGGAGCATAGGCCGCCGACCAGCTCTCTCCAACCCACTCTGTCCTGGGCCTTCTTTTCTAGTTCTTTCCAGTTCTTGTTCATTCTTCTCATGTCTGTCTCTATTTCTCGGCGTAATGTGTTCTTTGGTCTTCCTCTTCTCCTTCGACCTTCAGGATTCCATGTGAGGGCTTGTCTTGTGACACAATTGGGTGATTTCCTCAAAGTGTGCCCAATCCACTTCCAGCGCTTCTTCCTGATTTCTTCCTCCGCTGGAATCTGGTTTGTTGTCTCCCACAGTAACTTGTTGCTGATAGTGTCTGGCCATCGGATCCGAAGTATCTTGCGTAGACAGCTGTTAATAAACACTTGTATCTTCTGGATAATGGCTTTCGTAGTTCTCCACGTCTCTGCCCCATACAGAAGAACTGTCTTGACATTTGTATTGAAAATTCTAACCTTGGTGTTGGTTGACAATTGTTTTGAGCTCCAGATGTTTTTCAGCTGTAGGTATGCTGCTCTTGCTTTGCCGATCCTCGCCCTCACATCTGCATCTGATCCACCGTGTTCATCAATGATGCTGCCCAGATATGTAAAGGTTTCCACATCCTCCAAAGCTTCTCCATCAAGTGTAATTTGATTGGTGCATATTGTGTTGTATCGGAGAGTCTTGCTTTTCCCTTTGTTTATATTGAGACCTACTGCTGCTGAGGCTGCTGCCACACTGGTCGTTTTCTCCTGCATTTGTTGTTGCGTTTGTGATAGAAGAGCCAGATCATCCGCGAAGTCTAAATCGTCAAGCTGCATCCTGCCTGTCCACTGTATCCCGTGCATTCCTCCAGATGTTGACGTCTTCATAATCCAGTCGATCACCAGGAGAAAGAGAAAGGGTGAGAGTAAGCAACCTTGCCTTACACCGGTCTTTACCTCGAACGAGTCGGTGAGTTGTCCTCCGTGGACTATTTGGCAGTTTAGTCCATCATAGGAGTTCCGTATGATATTGACTATCTTCTCAGGCACGCCGTAGTGTCGAAGAAGCCTCCATAGTGTCGTCCTGTCCATGCTATCAAATGCCTTCTCGTAGTCGATGAAGTTGATGTAGAGTGATGAATTCCATTCGATTGATTGTTCCACAATGATCCGCAGAGTTGCGATTTGATCTGTGCACGATCTATCCTTACGAAATCCAGCTTGTTGATCTCGAAGTTGGGCGTCCACGGAATCCTTCATCCTGTTTAACAATACTCGGTTGAAGACTTTTCCTGGTATTGAGAGAAGAGTGATGCCCCTGTAGTTGTCGCATTTGCTCAGATCACCTTTCTTTGGTATCTTGATCAGAAGTTCTTTTTTCCAGTCTGTTGGTACTTGTTCTTCGTCCCAAATCTTACTGAAGAGGATGTGGAGTATCTTGGCAGTTACTGCTACATTTGCTTTCAGTGCCTCTGCCGGGATGTTGTCTGGTCCTGCTGCTTTGTCGCTCTTGATTTGTCTAATGGCCATGCTGATCTCTTCAATTGTTGGTGCTGATCTCTTCAATTGTTGACCGGATACATATGCGCCACACAAATCTCATTTGATATGTGTGAGCGATGTGACACTGCCCAGATGCCCAAACTGAAGCAGGTGGTTTTCCTAGGGGGCCACACCCAGAGCCTTCGACCTAAAGGTCTGATCCACAAGGCAGTGGAGCATCGTGAGGAGATGCAGTTCCATGGTAGCCGTTGATCAACAATAAGTTCATACGTCATTTGTTCCCTCAGGATACTGGAGCCATCCCATGTGCACTATTGGTTTGGAATCAAGGTTTTCCAACTCCGTGTCCACTAACCCGGTTAAAGCGCCGGATATTCTCTTTTCTTCCCCTCACCTTCGTAAAGAAACACCCCCACCACGACAAGTCAGTGAGTAGAACTTTCCTGGTAGTGGTTGTATACGCGTGGTCATGTGAGAGCATTTGGAGAGGGGAGCTGACTCTCCCCACTCTCGGCCGTACCAAGGCATTTGGGAGCCTGACCATTAAAAATCCTGAAGCATTGTGAAGATGCTTCTTTCAAGCATGTGGCTTCTCGATAATATACACTGACGACCCCATCAATGATCTGATCTGTGACTTTCAGATCTTGTGGCGAGCTCTTAAGCTTTCTACATCACTGAGCTGACATCCAATAATCTATATGTTTAACTTCAATCAATTCACTGTTTCATTCAACCATCTTTTAATCCTATTAGTAAGTAACTAATCATTCCTCTTGACATGCTTAAACTCTACTGATGAAAACTTCTCAGTAAAACTAGGAAAATACCTTTAGAAATTTTACATTTATTTATTTGTACTGTTTTTTTTGCTGTATATCTTTATAGATTGATGGTAATTCATTAAGTGGAATCTGTTCTGTTGGTTTAATCAATATATGGGCACGTGTTGGACTCTTATTAATCCCATTCACATTATGTTTAATGATAAAATTTTATTATTTTATTCAATTAATGCAACAATTTATAAAATTACGTCATAAATTCCTGTTATCATCATTTCATGTGGATCATGAAATAGCTCAACGTTTAATACGTTATTGTTTATTTTATGGTAAGTTTTGTGTTTATTTAAACACATAAATATTGATACAAAGAGGCACCAGATATATGTGCGCCACACAAATCTCATTTGATATGTGTGAGCGATGTGATGCTGCCCAGATGCCCAAACCGAAGCAGGTGGTCTTCTTAGTGGACCACACCCGGAGCTATTGACCTGAAGGTCTGATTCAAAAGGGAGTGGAGCATCGTGAGCAAATGCAGTCCCAGTAGCCGGTAGCCGGTGACCAACGGTTGATTCATATGCCATTTGTTCCCTCAGGATGCTGGAGTTAGCCCATGTGCACCATTGGTTTGAAATCAGGGTTTCCCAACTCCCCTAGATGGACTTTTCGTGTCCACTGGGCCGGTTAAATCGCCGAACATTCACTTTTCGTCCTCTCAATTTCGTTAACAACAGTAATGCCACGAGAAGGCAGTGAGTATGACTTCCCTTACAGAGGCTATGTACACGTGGCCATATGAGAGCATTTGGAAAGGGAGAGCGGACTCTCTCCACTCTCGGCTGTACCAGGGCATTTGGGGGCAACAATACAACTTGCACTAGTTCTACATTAATAACTGAAGAAGTTTTGGATATCTGACGGAAGTTTTTCACAATTCCTGCAGTCGGATATATTAGAATGTGGTAAGTGATTGGAGGTAATTGGTAGAAAATCCTACTCGATCTAGGTTTTGTGGAGCTTGACATTTGTTAGTGCAAGGTTAGCATCCAATCGTGAGCAAATCAATATCTTTTTAGTATATTCGAACCGAGTTTTCTCAGGTATACAGAGAAGTTACCGCTGAGTTATTCGAGCTGTGATTGACCTAATGTAGGACAGATATATGTATAAATGATTGTTCATTTAGTAGTGACCATTGTTAAATCTATCTAATTCTTGAGTTCTTATCCAATTCTATCGATCAACTAGTATGGGTATAGTATTTGATATGAGAATTCAAGAAATCAAAGTGTCAAACGCTTATAAACTTGATATTCAGTGTTCTCACTCGATTGTTCGTCGCCTACTGTTTGTTCATGAATTTTATCCCTTTATAAACTTTTATTTTGTAACGCTTAACCAAGTTTAATTATTTGTTTGACTATCTATTCTCCCAGTAGTATGTTTTGTAACTTAGCTTCTTATGTTATATAAAGTGGCAGTTAGAAGTTGTCGATATTGAATCACTTAGACTATAGGTAGTAGTATAACTTGATCAATAGAATTCAATCAGTACTAAAGAAAAAAGACTTGACATACGTAACCATTGACCAGTCATCACTGTATAATCAATCCAGTGCTTTAAGGTTTTCCATAGTGATCTAGTTTTAATTGACTCATGAATTTTAGCTATCAAATTGTACAAACATTGAACTTTATATATATACAATTAAATATTAACATTATGTAATTTTCATAGTTGAAAGCGTGAGTCAATTGAAGCTAGACTACCATGGAAAACCTGGAAGCACTGGACGGCCGTGTCGTCCTATTGTGAGACTCCTCAGTAGTGTTCATCCACGACCTCACCTCGCGAGATTCGAACTCAGGACCTATCAAACTCGCGCCAGAGCACTTAACCGATAGACGATAGAGGCGAGGTCGTGGATGCGCACTGCTGAGGAGTTCCACAATAAGACGAAATGGCCGTCCAGTGTTTCCAGGTTTTCCCTGGTGGTCTAGCTTCAATTGACTCACGCTTTTAACTATAAAAATACTAAATCTCCACAAAAAATACCCCTTCTGATAATTATGTAATTTTATTTATTTATTTATTATTTACAAACCAGGTGTATTTCTGATGTTTCTACTAAGTTTATGGTTATATTCAATTTGTATTCATACTTATGTGTATTTAAATGAACCAGTCTGGCTGGAATCACAACGTCGTTTATTCTTGTAAGTATGATCATTTTATTTTATTTATGTTATAAAGGAGGGGAAAAAATGTTAATTTTTATCTATTACAGATTGATTTTCATTCATAAATAAAGTTTCGTTTCCAGTTGTCACCTGTCATTGTTCCTTCGTTTCCTTAGAAACTATTCCCTGTTCTCGTTATCTTTTCTTCGATCTTCTTAACCTTCTGTCGCTAGGCCTTTGACTTTCAATTGATGATGCATACTACTTATATCTGTCAATATCAGTAGCACACACCACACTATGAGATTATCATAATAAATCATAGAGTAGTAGAAGTTGTTAAAAGTATCAGCAGTTGTGGAAAAGATTGGATCGATTCGAGGAGAAAGAATGAATTTATGGAGTAGAAATGGAGAGATTATAATTTATCGGCGAATCAATCAGATATAAGATAACAGGTCTTAAATTTTGGCGCGAAATGCATCTATCCATTTGGCTATATAACGTTTAGGCAATTCAGCTGATGTCAGTTCGTGATGAAAACTCTAAATTTAATTCCTAATCCTAACCATCAGCTGTCAATCATAATTCTAATTAATCACTTTGCCTTATAACCCTTATTTAACCCTAGTAAGTAGGTGGACACACTCAAGGTCATTTTAGAGTCGCTCAAAGGTCGTCCATAAATTATAGCCTCACTATATATGAGACAATTTGAAAAATTAGGATTGGAAAGAAGCATAGGGAGTGAATGCAGGTTTGCAATTGGATTATATCATCCAGCGTCTCTAATCATAAATTACAATAATCATGTGGACACTAATCAGATTATCTGAATCTACGAAGATCGCTTATTGTAACAATCAGTGATTCTATGAACTAATGTTAAGTTTCGGATTGGCTTTCTCTAGATCTCCTCCAGCTTGCTATTACACTAATCAATAATACACGTCGAGGTAGGGAATGTTTGGGTACATCATCAACCAATCAAAGTAACCGAAAACTAGCAATTCATTTGCATATAATTCCATAGGAAAGAGTACTGTTATACTTAGTAGTGCTTCTTTTGTGAAATTATTCTTCATTTTTGATATATTCGGTATTATTCGGATAAAAATTGACAAGCCTAAAGTATAATTTAGTATTCTTTGTTTATTTGACATAAAATGACTTTAATTAGTTTCCATAATTGATGAGTAACATAATTCTACTAGTTTCCACTTCTATTCACAATCCATCCAGTCTAGTTAATTCATATTTACGCTAACAAAGATTCATCTAAATTCATTCCTAAACATCAGTAACTGGATAACTGAAACCCTTATTAATAAGAACATAGGTATCATACCTGTTGAAAATGTGTAGTGACTATCGGGACTAGATTGCTCAGTGAATAATGCATTGAGTGTTTAGGGCGGAAGGTCTATGGTTCAAATTACAATTTGAGCATCAGCATTGAGCTGTGACAGGTACATCCAGTTGATGAGTCCTAAATACGATTAAACACTTACTGGACTTTACTGTTAACTACAATTCACCTATTCTAAATTATTGCACTCAATTATAAAGCTCATTAAGAGTTGGAAATAACTCACTATCATCAACTGTAAATACGTTAGATATGTATTCTGTTGGGGAATTAAAGAGTATACGTTAGAAAAGTCCACAGTGATCCAGATAATGTTTAGAAATGCCTTATCCAATAAGCGTTGAATAAAAGCTCTTCTGAAACATTTAAAAAGTAAAGAGTTTCATGCCAAATTCCTGATTGGATATTTACTTATACTGCTACTATATTTATTGTGGTTTTATAAACTTCCAGAAGGCTAAGGCTGTGTGTAAATCTATTAATAACATCGTTTTTGTGTACATAAATGAACCTTGAAGTAAAGTGGGTTTTTTTCACACTTCGCACGTTTTCTCTAGTGCCCAAGTTACCGTCTCGATTCAGCGTGAGGCTATCAAAAGCGGCTAAAAAATCTGACCGACCGTTCATTTTATAGACTTACCATACTCAATGCTTATGAATAATTTACCAAGGCAGTCTATTATTATTATTATTATTATTATTATTATTATTATTATTTAGGCACATTAACATTGGTACAAATAGGTAAGATATATATATGCGCCACACAAATCACTTGATTTTTGTGAGGGCTAGAATACTACCCAGATGTTCAGACCGAAGCAAGTGGTTTTCTTAGGGGGCCACACGCCGAGCATTTGACTTAGAGAGCTAATCCACAAGACAGTGGAGCAACTCCAGGAGATGCAGTCCCATGATAGCCAGTATTTTTTATTTATTTATTTAAACACATATATATTGGTACAAAAGGGCACCAGGTACATATGCGCCACACAAAATAATGAAAGTAGGTAGATAAAGGATGAAAAGATAAGGCGGGCTGAAATGTACAACCAGAAGATTCTTTCAGTTAGGAAAGTTAGAACCATTCTTTATGTAGAAAGTAAAAGAAGGTTGCAGCAGGATCGCCACTGGCTTCGATTCTGAGCCATATCCGATAACGTCTCTAGCCACTGTGTTGCACTATCTCTCGGACCCCAACCAGGGAGTCGTGAAGGACCAACGGAAGCTAGCCCTTTGCAGCTCTCTTTCATGCCACGACACCATGTCATACACTGACCTCCTCTCCGCTTTCTCCAACCAGTCCCAGGGTCGGCAAATAATGCACGACGCGGAAGTCTCTGGGACGACATTCGTAAAACATGTCCGAGCCACCGAAGTCGGTGTTTCAAGATGGTGACACCAATTGAATTATCGTCTCTGCGCCCGAACACACGATGCCGAACCTCTGCATTACTAACATGGTGTTGCCACTGGATGTCAGCAATCCTTCGGAGACAACGATGATCGAACACAGAGAGACGTCTAACATCCTCAACTCGGAGAGGCCAGGTTTCACAAGCATAGAGCAAAACTGCTCTCACCGACGCGTTGTAGATCCGACCTTTTACAGCCAGACTAACATCACGAAGGCGCCAAAGATGGCCCAGATTGGCATAAGCCGCTCTGGCTTTCATTAAACGTGCATCAATCTCATCACTCACGCCACCACCAGCACTTATATAGCTACCTAGATACACGAACTTCTCAACTACTTCGATCTCCTCACCATCCAGGGTGAGTACAGGATGAGAATCCTGCCAGTCTTGTAGAAGTACTTTGCACTTGGAGGGTGCAAAGCACATGCCGTACCTGCGGACACTGATTGCCAACTGATTAAGTGCTGATTGCATGCCTTGGGCATTATCGCACAGTAAGACAATATCATCCGCATACTCGAGGTCGAGAAGTCGTTCTCCAGGCAACATATCCACACCGCCATTACTTACATCCATCAGAGCTGTTTCTAGGATGTCGTCGATGGCAAAGTTGAAGAGGAATGGGGAGATCGGGCAACCCTGCCTAACCCCACTGCTCGAATGGAACAAGGGAGAAAGGTGGTTGTATGCCCTCACTCTGCCTGAGGTGTTCGTATACAGGGCTTTTAAGATGTTAATGAACTTCTCAGGCACACCCTTCTTCAATAGACAATCCCAGAGAACAGTCCTGTCCAACGAATCGAAGGCAGCCCTGATATCAAGAAACACCACGATTGTTGGCCTGCGATAAGTATGACGGTGTTCTAACATTTGGCGGAGGGTGAAGATGTGATCAATGCATCCTCGACCAGAACGAAAACCAGCCTGCTCCTCGCGAGTCAATCGTTCTCGGGTTTTAAACAACCTACGAAGAATGATAGAAGCCAATAGTTTGGACGCGATCGAAAGTAGACTTATCCCCCGATAGTTGCTACAGGAACAACGTGAACCCTTTTTAAAGATAGGGACGACTATTGACTCATTCCAAGATGTTGGAACACTTTCTTGCTCCCAAACCTTTCCAAACAACGCAGTCAGTTCCTTAGCCAGAATGTCACCACCATCTTTAACCAACAATAGGTTCATACGCTATTTGTTGTCTCAGGATCGTGGAGCTCATGTGAACCATTGGTTAGAAATCAAGGTTTTTCAACTCCTCTAGATAAATCCTCCATATCCACCAACCCGGTTAAAGCACTAGACATTCGCTTTTCGTCTTCTCAATTTCGTAAACAAAATCCTAGCCGTGAGAAGGCAGTGAGTAGGACTTCCCTGGTAGTGGTTGTATACGCGTGGTCATGTGAAAGCATTTCGAGGGAGAGAGCCGACTCTCCCCACTCTCAGCCGTACCAGGGCATTTAGGGTACTTTTCCTAAATAATCTATCATAATTCCTTTTATGCTTCATTCATTCATGGGTTACACTGGCGTGAAAATCCATGAATCAACCAGGGATTAAACCTAGGATTTTGACGTCTTAGGTGAAGTACTTAATAAACTGTAGTCGCGATATTACGCAACCATTCATTCATTTTTCATTCCCTCAATATTATCGAACTCTTTAAATGTGTACAGTAACTGTTTATATGTGTTCCGTTGGAATCGTTAAACATCATTACCATGATTTTTTCTACAAGATTATTTTGTTTGTTTCCCTTTTCTTGTTTATCAGATGTCGAATACGTTATCGTTTATTGGGACTTGATGAATTAGCGTCAATGAATGTTTGTGTAAATACAGCTTTTTCGTATGAAACTGTTGATACATCACCGTCTTCAATATCGTCATCATCGGCAGCAACAGTGGATGCATTCAGTCCGTCATTGAATATTCATTCAAATCATATTAATCCAACATTTCCAACGAAAACTCATATCTCAGTAGATGATTCCTTGATGTTAAACAATATAGCTGATTTACAATCATCATCTACACAATCAATATCTGATTTATTAACGATGAAATCATCTGATCTACAAACACACCACCAACAACAACAACAGCAAATTTGGAAACAACAGCGACAAACAGAACAATCAATTCAACAGAATGACGGGAAAGCATCATCATCGTCATTAACAGCAACACGAATGTCAACTTATCTGCCTATTGATGATGATAATGAGGTGGTATTAATTCGAAAACCATCTGTTGGTCCATTACTTTTACATTTAATCATTTATTTCGCTATAAATCTTTTGTATAATTCAATGTGTTTACTAGATCCGTCAGTGAAACGAACTTGGTGTTATTTGTTTAAACGGTAAGATTGTTTAACTGTTTCTTTTTCTATACTATATTTGTTTGTAAGGAAACATGGATAGTGGATAGCAGTGAAATCCAGAACGCGCGTTTCGTCCTATTTGGGATTCTTCAGCTGGATGTACCTGCATCTCAGAGTTTGTGTTCACTCTCGGACTCGAACCCAGTACCTTTCGCTTTAAACGCCATCGCGTTATCCACTTAGCTACTGAGTCCTGGTAGCCACTTGCTTGTGCAATGGGGTGAAGTTTAAATTCACATAGTATTGTTTATTTGAATCTTCCTATCGATGTTTAGGACTGCAATTGATCAGTCTCTAATTGGCGGACTGACCAGTTGCAGCCCTAAACATCAATGGGAATATTCAAACAAACAATACTATGTGAATTTGTGTTTGTTTGTTTTAATTGACTTTGTATTTATGTGAATTTTTGTGATTTATTTTATTCAATTTTACTATGATTAGAGTTATGTATACTACAGTTGGCCTTTTTGGTGTTTAGATCATTAACTAGAATGCTGTTAATGGTTTAAAGATAGTTTTCACTTTCAGGTTTCTGACACTGTGGAAGAATGCATCTTGTTGAGATGCCTGTAAAGGTAACTGGATTATATGTGGTAGTTTGGACGATCTCAGAGCGTGACCACAATGTTCAAAGGGCAACTGTTAAAAGCTAATCACCGACAGGCTTTCTATAAGTAGTTTTAGGCTGGATAGCTCCATACTTTTCATGCCTTACTGCCGGAGATAGAGGTTTATACGGCAACATAAGAGTGCTATTTTTAAGGTTTTTATTTTCTAATCGCTCCTGTCCGTCACAAGAAGGCAACATCGCTCTACATATGCTGGGTGTTTGTATTATTTATTATTTATTTGAATACATAAATATTGGTACAAAGGGGCACCAGATACATATCCGCCACACAAATCTTATTTGATTTGTGTGAAGGCTGTGATACTGCCCAGGTGCCTAAACTGAAACAGGTGGTTTTCTCAGGTGGCCACACCCGAAGGCTCTGACCTAAATATCTGATCCACAAGGAAGTGGAGCATCGTGAGGAGATGCATTCGCATGGTAGCCGTTGACCAGCGATTGATTCATACGCCATTTGTTCCCTCATGATACTGGAGCCAGCCCATGTGCACCATTGAATTTGAATTAATCTTTAGCGAATGTCTGTTTAATCTGTTATCTTGTACCCTTTTTTTGTCTTCTTCTTGTTAATTTCCAGTTGTATGATGATGAATATATATTTTATTTTTCATTCTATGCTATATGTATATTATTACAGGATTGTATTTTGGTTTCAACGTAAAAAGAAACATTTATTCCAACATCATCTACAACAACGTCCACGTAACCGGCATCGTTATCAACAACGACATTATCATTCGCCTTATTCACATGATTATAGTGACAATGATCATAATAATAATGATAAGCATAATGAGAATAATCTTGGCATCTTAAATGATAATGATGACTTCATTAAGTCCTATTTAAATCATTTAATCATTGGATTCAGTTGGTGGGATCCTGGTTTCTTTACAATTCCTACACCAATTTTATCAAATAATGATTTATGGAAAAAATCTGGCCTATTTTATTCACATGGAAACAATAATTCTAAGAAATTACAAGATTTTGAATTAGTTAAATGTAAATCAGTACATCGTTTTAATGGTCATGATAATCATTATTCTACTACCAATAGTAATACTACTAAAATGATAAATAGTAGTATGTTGAATTGTACTGATAATGATGATAATGATGGCAATCGTCATCATGAACATCAACATCATCGTCATAAACTTGTCAATAAAATTAATCATCATACAGATCATGATATTGTGGATTTGAATGCGGATAATAATAATAATAATATTAACATCCTAGAGCAGTTGGATCATGTGGTCGGTCCATTGGAATCATTATTACTATTGTTACAATCAAACACATCAAATCCTCAACATTTATCAACTTTATTATCAAAATTACTACTTTTGTCAGTGAATAATAATAATAACAATAATAATAATAATAATAATAATAATAATAATTCGAATGGTTTATTAGAACGGTCAGTTTTAAATCATCATCATCATCATCAGCAGCAACAAAATTCACAATTATCTTCGACATCATCTTCATCACCGCCGTCTTCAGTTCATGATAATAATAATAATCATAATAATAATAATTTGGAAACTGTATTATTGTTCATTTTACGTCAGTTGTATCAATTATCGTCTACAAATGGGTTGACAGGTATATCTAATGATAATGCTCCTGTTAAACATCAGAATAATGTTAGTACTACTAGTTCTACAACAAACCCTACTATTACTACTAATGATAGTAGTATTTGTCGTAGCCAAGACACTAATCATAATTTAACTGGCAATACAATGGTCAATGAAGCAATAGAATTGATCCCGACTACTTTGATTCGTAATAATAGTAATGTTAATTTGACTGGGAGTAATCATCATCATCATCATTCCAATCATTCTTTGTCCCATCAGTCAGATTTAGCAGCTACTACCTATGAACATTATCAAAAACAGTTGTCGGATTTAACAGCAGTAAGTTGATTTGATTGTATAAGAAGTGGTTTTTGCCGATAACTTTCATAACAGACTGATATCAGCTGAAGATTTACAAAAAAACCAAGGACTATTGAATAACTCCAACATTAAGATTCTTCAGGTTGTATGTAAAATTTATGTCCTTGTGGAATTCAGTCATGTCGACAGTTGCACATTTATCGCCAATTATACTAAGTGACCGTTGCATTATTTTATAAATATACCATTAGATTGCAAATTAGTGTTTTGAACATATTGTGCTGGTCACTTAACCTAAAGGTCTCTATGCATGATACCCTACGAGATCATAGGTGAACACTGCTGAGGAGTCACAAATTGGGGCAAAAGCAGTTGTTTATCGCTCACTAGTGGTTATCTATTGTTCTATCTCTGATTTCGATCTATAAAAAGCTCATTAAGTTGAATCAATCTTATCAGGACTACTCAATTAAACAATCATTATTTCTACTTATGTTTTTCATTTTAGAGCATCACACAACGTCGAAGCAGGCATAAACGATTATTATCTGGACGTTCGTCAAGTAAATTACTTTTTCGATGTATATAAGTGTATATCATATTTGAACTACTCATGTGTCTTCGAATATAAATGTGTAGAAACTTTAAGTAGTAAACCTGTCATAACAACCACCCCGTATGTGATCAACATCCAAACAAAGTGGTTTTCCTAAGGGACTGATCTCCGATCTTTTGACCCATAGGTTTAATCTATAAGGCGATTGGTGCACACCGTTCGTTCCCTCAAGATTTTGAAGCTTAAGCAATACATTGGTTTAGGATTGGGACACTCCAGCTTCCCTAGGCTAGAACGTCCATGTCCATCGACGCTGTCTAATCTACGAATGCTTGCTTTCCATCCTCTCACTTTCGTGTAAATCACCTGCCACATAATGGCAGCTGATTTAACTTACCTTCCTGAGGCTATTAATCCATCCCCATACGAGAGCATATTCTAAAGTAGGGTAAACTCTCTCCACCCTCGGTGCCTTTGGGGCCAATAATTGAATACAGCCATGTAGGGTATTTTGGAATGGATGTAATTGTGTATTTACCAGAAGTGTATTGTAAGAGGTCATATAGGGGGTAATATGTTAATGAATAGTTATATGTTGCATAAAATGTCAGCTTGATACATTATACTGGAATTACTAGAATGTAGATGGATAAATACCTATGGTCTGTTGGATAAATGATTCGATATCTCTCTAATGAGTTCTCTATGTTTTGTGATGATCTAGGTAACATATGGTAGAAATGTGAAAAAAATATATAGTTATATCCACAAATGACTAATCACTGAATGGAATGACAAGTGTCACGGATGTCAGGTCTTTTTTATTGCTGATCGAATTCTATCTATCAAGTTGTAATGTGGCCACTAATCTAAGTGACTCGATATCGCGTGTGCTATGTTGAGGTCCAAAGTGGTGGTCGGAGGTCGTCAACCGGAAACTCTGAAGCTGGTTTTTATCCTATTCAGCACTCGTCAGCAAGGTGTATCCTCCAGGGAACATCGTTCTCCTTAAGATAACAGATACGTCCGACTGACAAGTGTCAAATGATATGAAATCTTGGTTCAGGGTTGCCTGTCGACTACCTTCAACCACTACGTTACACAATTATATTCACCATGATTATGGTTGTAAATAGTCAAGCAACTTAATGGTACATTTCAACTTCATATCAATATTTATATTCAGTCAACCAAAACATGGCATCAGAGCGTGAAGCCACTAACTTCTAATTTGAGCCATGTTGGTAGATACAGACTACTTGGTTGTAGTCCGTGTGACTGTCTTAGCCAATGGTTGGAGACTTCGGATGAGGGCTCAGAATCGATTACAATGGCGTAGGTGTATACAATCTTTATCTTCCCTTAAACCTTGAGATTAAAATTGCTTCATAACTTTCTTCCTACCTATATACAGCCTTTATTTTATATACTACCACCACAACTTAATAAACTACTTCTATGAATTCGGCTTTCATCTTGTTGTGCTAACGAGGTATGGCAACTTGGACCGGTGCATACATGTGCCTGGTCCTAGGTTGTAGCTGAATGAGATATATCTTAACATTTATTCACTCAGCATGAATTTAAAGATAATAATGTAATTAGAATCTGTAAATTGTCATGTTAATGCTTATCAGTTTGTTGATTTTTTTATTTATTTATCTGGGTATACTTTATTTGTTTATTCGGGTCTTTTTTCTTTTTTGTTTTTTAAACATCATTATTTATTCAGTTCGTCGTCGTAGTCAATCGCATAGTCTACCTACAAATGGTTTAATTTTACCTAATTTAACTACATCAATGAATGTTACCAGTAATAGAATAAATTCTTCATTATATTCTACAGAATCCAAATCAATTGAACAACCATTTATATCAATAGGAACAGCAAATGGAACGACAACAACAACAACAGCGTCAGTATCATGTTTACCACTTGGAAGAAGAAGTTCATTCAATGTATTACAAGCTGCAGCTTCTATGTTTGCTGCTGCAGCTGTCGCTTCTACAAAAATGAATAATACTAGTAATAATTCTTTTAATAATCGACGCCGATTAAGTCAATCTGGTTTAAGTGGAATTGATACATTTTCTACACATCATTTGGATAGTTCTAGTGGTACAGCTTCAGGTTAGAATGATTTATTTTTCTGTGTAAAACAGTTTCTAAACAAATTTTTTGTTATTAATATAGGGTTGTGAAGATTGTTGTGTTTCATTTAAATCATGAACCGTACAATTTTAGACCATGACTGAAAATCTGGAAGCACTAAACAGAACTTTCTTCCTGGTATGTTACTACTCAGCAGTGTACACTTACGATCCTCCTGCACACGGGAATTGAATTCAGGACCTTCGATCTCGCGTGCAAACTCCGAACGTTTAGACCACTAAGCCAGCATTCAATAGTGTACACGTTTAACTTCAATCAATTCACAGTATTGCGTGATTATATTTCATTGTCTTCAGTGAGTAACTGCCTCACACATGACACGGCTGAAATTCACTGGTCACAGGTCAATAGAACTCTGTGAGTTTTTTAAATGAAATATTTACAAAAGATAGATTGTGGCCAGCAGAAATGGACCCAGGATGCATGTTTCATCCTACGTAAGAATCCGTCGGTTAGATATTTATCTGAAACATCTTGATGTTGATGATTAACCTTGAAACTCGAACCTAGTACCTTTCACTTTAAATGCCAATTCGTCGTCCCACTGATCTACTCTATCCAGAAAATTGCTGATTTTCTCAACGGATATAATGTTTAGATAATTATCATGAAGGACTTAAAGTTGTCAACAGTGATGATATTCAGGACTGAATTTTCATTGATATGTATCCTGTTTGAATTCCCTTGGTATAGCTATTTCTACCACATGTTTTACAAAATAGATTGATTGTGGCTAACAGTGCAATCTAGTTAGCGCATTTCATCCTATTCGAGGCTTGTCAACTGAATGTAGAGCTGATCTCGAGTTTAGAACCTCCTAGTAATTGAAATTAAAACTCATTACCCACTAAACAAGCGCTCTACATTGATTTACACACCAGTCTTGCAAATTACCACTTCAAATTTATTATATCAATTACGTATAGTTTTTGTGATCATGCAGTACGCACTAATATCAGTCGTATAATAATTAAAAACCAGGAAAGACTGTCTGCGAGACAGAAGATCTCTCGTCCGATCCTTAGTGGAGTCATAAATACTCACTGCTGAGGAGTCCCATAGAAGGACGGAATACCTGTCCAGTGCTTCCTGGTTTTTGATGGTTATCTAACTAAAATCATTCCATGATGTAAACTGAAAATCCCATGATTCCCTTGAAATCTCCCATACTAATAATTAAACAATATTTTAATATTCATAACTCACTTATTCATTAGTTCTGACCCTGCTTATAGAAACTCAACTTAGATTAGTTCATGATGTCAATGAAATTCAACAATCCCCACAATCTGATATTGAAAAAAAACACTATAAGTATTACAACCTTTAGTCTATTTATCCTCATCATTTCTCATGATGCCATTGTTACTTTTTGGGATACTGGTGAGTTGAGATATATCTGTATGATGTATTTGACCCTTCAAAAACACAAAAAGTACAGATTGAGGATAAAATTCAATCAGAGCGCTGCGATATGCATTTAAAAACCTAGTAGCTTGATTTCATTTCATTTATAGCTTTTGGTGGAAGTCAAATCTCGTCAACATCCATACGAAGTGCTTTAACTAGTGTCGGCCTATCTCATCGTCATCACCGCCATCATCATCGTCGGCGGCGGCAAAACTATCATACTCGACCATCTTCAACATCTGAAGCTCCATTAATTAATAGTATCAATAATCATAATAATAGCACTCTGAATAATATACAATCTAATACCGTTGGTGTATCGACCACTACAAAGTATAATAATAGTAATAATAATAATATGCATAGTATGGGCAGTCGAATGTCATCATTACGATCAATATCATGTGCTTCTTCGTCAGGCGCTGAATCATACAACTCGTATCGATTATTGATTAACCAAGCTGGTGCAAGTTGGCGTGAATTATGGCGTACACGAATGTTATTAATGCACGTGTTACGTTGGGCTGAAAACGTTACATCATTTATGCAACCGAACACTAACACTACTACTACTACTACTAGTAATAATAATAGTAGTAACAATATAAATTCTAGTGTACTTAATGATGAATTTAGTAAATCACAAATTAGCCTATCAAACTATTTTGATGCACCTAAAAATAGCAATATCGACTGTGTGAAAACACCGACAACAAGTATTACTACTACTATGATGACGGTGACGACGACCACATCAGCTATTGTTACCACTTGTAATTGTGACGATTTTGGCAATAGAAGTAAAAGCAGTCCATCCAATATTAATCAGCAATTACCGGCATTCATGTCTAAACCTACCGATTGTATAAATGATTTCAATGGACAACTAATTCAATTGATAATGTCATTGATTGGACAACAAAATCAGAATCAATCTGTCAATCCTGAAATTAGATCCCAATCAAAACTGGACATAAATACACGATTATCAACTAATCCATTAAATAATTCACATATTGAATCATCTTTACAAACAGTCATTACTACAATGACAACAACAACTACTGCTATAAGTAGTATGAATCATTTCGTTGGACAAACTCATCAGTTGGCGATTATGGATCCTATGATGGCAGCAGCATTTGCTGCGGCGACAGCGGCAGCTACTGTAGCTCTACAACAACAACAACAACAAGCTTTACGCCAGTCGTCGCCATCAAATTCAGCATCATCTCCTGCTGCTATTGGTGCTGTTACTTTTGGCACACAGACATCTGATATTAATAATTGCAACAATAATATTAAAATCCCCCAACAGAATCTTAGTACTAGTAATGCAAATATTAACAGCCAATCCTATCAAGATGTATATCATCCAGTTATGACACATTGGACTACCGGATCATGTTCACTAGGACAGATGGTTTGTTGTTTATCCTTTAAATGTTTTTTATTTACTATTCCAATGACTTTGTGTTCCTCTATCTAGACGGTTTATAATTTAATTTAATTTATAATTATTCTGAACTTAACATCTTCAGCTCCTACCTCGTACTGTAGAATTAAGCTTTCTAGCTATTCCATAGGTGTTATATCGGTTCATTTCGCTTACTTTACTTGTGATCAGCTGTCTTCGTAGATTTTGTGATCTATGTTTATCTTCGCATTTACAAAAACTGTATCGGTTGACCTCTTCCGTATGAATCTATAGATTAAATCGATGTCGATATATTTGTTGATCGTTAGTTAATTCGAATGTCATATTTCTAGAAATTCTCTGACATTCTTGAAGTTCCTCCAATCGAATTAGTGTCCATGATTCTCCACATGTATCGATATCAGTAATAATGCTTCATGTCACCTCACTATTATTTATTTATCTAAAAACACAAATATTGGTACAAGGAGGCACCGAAACATGAATGCACCACACACATACCATTGGATTTGTATGTGGGCTAAAATATTTCCCTGGTATCCAAACAAAAGCGAGTAGTTTTCTTAGGGGGCCACTCCCCGAACCTTTGACCTAGAGGTCTAATCCGCAAGGTATTCAAGCAACGTTAGAAGATGCATTCCCATGGTATCCGGTCACCAACAACAGGTTGATACGCCGTCTGTTCGGTTAGGATTCTGTAGCCCATGTGCACCGCTGGTTTGAAATGAGAGTTTTCCAACTCCTCTAGGTGGATCATCTGCACTCTTTCCATCCTCCACCGTATCACGATATTTTGAGGCAGCATCATCATTATAAACTTCAGGTAGAGATGAGCTATTTAAATTTCTTCACATACGAATGATAGATTACCTTGTCGACCTTCGTCTTGATTAGTTATTGTTAACGTTCATCTCATAACTGTCAAAATAAGTATGCAAACATTGACTCTTAGGCAATACAATCTGAAAAATGTGACAGATAATGACAGGTTAATGATCAACTATAACCAATCAAGAACAATGTCAACTGACAAAGCCTGATTCGTATGTATGTGAAAAAATCCGAGTGGTCCACCCCTACCTGAAGTTCATGCTGATGATGTTTTCTAGAACGATAATAAATACTTCATGACCAAAATATTCAGTTCTATGAACGAATCTCCACCAAAATCATTCACTTCAGCTACAAATCCTTTCCATCATTTCGTGATTATAAACTACCGAAAATAAGACAAATAATTGTAGAAATTATAATTCCTACACCCGGAGCCTTTGATCTGCAGATTTGATCCGCAAGGCAGTGGAGCATCGTAAGGAGATGGAGTCCCATAGTAGCCAGTGACCAACGATTGATTCATACGCCATTTGTTCTCTGAGGATACTGGAGTCCATGCGCACCATTGGTTTGAAATGAGGATTTTCCAACTTCCCTAGGTTGACTTTCCGTGTCCACTGACCCGGTTAAAGCGCCGGATATTTGCTTTTCATCCTCTCAATTTCATAAAAAACACCGGTACCACGAGAAAGCAGTGATTAGGACTTCCCTGTCAGAGGCTATATATTCGCTTGGCCATGTGAAAGCATTTGGAGAGGGAGAGATGACTCTCCCCACTCTCGGCCGTACCAGGGCATTTTGGGGAAACCTGTCTTAAGGTTATGTTTTGTTGTTTTATACGCAGAGTTGTTCTAATTCAGATTTGTCTTCATAAATGTCAAGCCTCTTCTCATCTCATGATTTGTCTTTGTTTTCCATTTCGTTGGTGATTATTATTGAAGTGTCATATGGCAGTCATTCGGTTTATCGAATTCTCGTATAACCAGTTTCGTCTTAAAAGAATATTCCAGTAACTCGTAGTTACGCACTACCTAAGGCTAAAGCTAAACTTTAACAGGCCTATAGTATTCTTTGAAACTCATTGTTATTTGAATATATTGCTAGTCTACACTGTTTTTACTAGTGATAGATTGACATTAGGCATAGAATGTTAATCGAAAACCTTCAAACATGATGTTAATTTTTAGTTCATTATTTACTACTGTTATGTATTGTGTTGTTCAGTGTTCGATTCTGATACTATAACACACAAGCTTCCTATACACTATCTTAATCGTTTACACAAGTGAGAAGGAAGCTTCTTTCGGCTAACTGAATAGAAAGTACATGGAAACTCGTGCATATGTATATACCAAGCTACCAATGGTGTAATGTCTCGTTACTTAAAAATCCAAGCCATTTCTTGGCACTTATCATTCACCTGATCACCCCAATTTATCTTTATGAAATTCTGGATTCAGTCATTTATAATTAACATAAAGCCTGGAAAAAATGTACGTTAGTCAAAGTTTGCATAGCATTTCACCTCAACGAGATGGAATCAACTCAGTAACCGAAATCATTATTCTGTACAAATAGTAATGAAAAAGACAAAACATTGAAAATATTTCTACAAAAACAGATTATAACGTTGCGTATGAAGGAATAATGTTACTCAAGATCAAAATGAAGATAAAAAGCGTAGAAAAAATATCCGTTCTATTGTGATCAGTTATGAACCATGTCACCGAATGTCTCGAAGTAGTCAGTCAGTCAACTACAACGTAGGACTAGGCACATGTATGCATCGGTCCAAGTTGCCATACCTCATTAGCCCAACAAGATGAAAGCCGAATTCATAGAAGTAGTTTATTTAGTTGTGGTAATATATAAAAGAAAATTTGTATATTAGGATATAGTAAAGAAGGAAACACAGCTGTGAAGCAATTTTAATCTCAAGGTTTAAGGGAAGATAAAGATTGTATACACCTACGCCATTGTAATCGATTCTGAGCCCTCACCCGAAGTCTCCAACCATTGGCTAAGACAGTCACACGGACTACAACCAAGTAGTCTGCATCTACCATCAACATGGCTCATACTAGAAGTTAGTGACTTCAAGCACTGATGCCACGTTTTGGTTTGGCCGCCCCTAACTCTCTTCCAACCATCTCCTGCACTAGTCAGCATAGCACTTCGTGGTAATCGGTGTTCAGGCTTACGTAACAAGGGGCTCAACTGCTTCAGTCGATGAAGATTCATAACCATCATTCCTTAATACCCTGCATCTAACCTCACTATTACTTACCTGGTGATCCCAACAGATACAAGCAATATTTCTAGTGGTAGTTTGCATCTATCAACATAAATCATTCCTAAAGTCCAGCATCTTAGATTAGAATACATATGCTTGTCTATTATCAATATCTCAGAAGGGGTTTTTGTGGATATTTCAATATTTTAATAGTTGAAATCATGTATCAATTGAAGCTAGACCACCATGAAAAACCTGGTGCTGTGAAGTCCCATAATAGGACGAAACGGCCGTTCAGTGCTTCCAGGTTTTCCATGGTTGTCTAGCTTCAATTGATTCATGATTTCAACTATGAAAATATTAATAATATGTAGCTCTTAATCATTGTTTACTGACTCCTTCAATTTTTAATCAATCTACTTTATTGTTTATTCTTACTTATTTTTCAGCCACAAGATATATATCACTCCTCAAGTAGTCAGCATTTAACATCACCACCACATAATCCTCTCAAGAATGGTGATACTAATAATATCTCACATATGAAACCAATCGTAAATATTTCACCATATTCACAAAGTGTTAACAACTGGTTCGCTGATATGCCATCAACCTCTGATCGTCACGATCATCATCATCATCATCGTTCGCCTTATGATCCAAATTCATTGAGAACTATTCACATGTCAAACAATAATACATCTAACAATCAAATGAATAATAACGATATGAATACAATAGGACCATATCATAATTATTTTATACAACCAAATTCTACGCATTTGACTAATATATCTTCTAATGAAAATCATCATTTTTATCAATGTACTACTGCACCAGATCTACTTTTAGATCATGAACAACTTATTATAACAGAAGGATCTAGAAATATGATTAATCCATCACCAAGTTATTCATCATCACAATTATTAACTCAACATCACCACAACCAACAACAACTGCCTGTAAACTATCCAATAGATAATTGTAACCATTCTGTAATTCATTTAACTAATTCAATTCATTCACCTTCTAACAATACTATTATTAATGTTTCACAAATTCCATTATTACCTTTCTCTTCTACATTGTCCTCTGTTTCGAATTCACAACAAAATGAGTATACATTATGTCCTAATGTAAGTTACTCTATTTTATGTCGTATTAGTTAGTATTATTATTTTTAGTATGGGGTTCTAGAGATTGTTGAATTTTATTGAAATCATAGAACTGATATAAATTAGACATAAGGTCCTTGGTTCGAGTCCTGCACCCAGGGTCCTGAATGAGAAGTCCCATACATACTAAGACTATTTCCACTATTTCCAGATTTGCCATATTGATCTAATTTGGATTGATTTATGATTCCAATGAAGTATGATTATATTTACTTTCCAGTATCTAATCAAAAGTTCTAATGTAAAACTATTCAAACTATATAATTCCTTGAAAAAGCTTGGACCAGATTGCCAGGCGAAACGTTGGATTTAATTTAAAAAAATTCATTCGCTGAGATTTTACAAATATATTATTCCTATTTAATGTCTTACTTCAACTCGGCGCTCAAATACTGTGAAACTATTCGTTCTAATTTAGACGAGAGTTCTTATATTCAGTTATTTTTCTGTGGAAGTGAGTAAACCCTGCCAGTTGTTTACAATTGATTGATTATTTATTAGATTGTAGATATACATCTTGTTGTTAGCCAGTTTCAGTAAACATGAAACATGAGTTCAGGGTTACCTATCGACTACTTCTAATGATATAACATACTAGATATCGTCCATTCAATTTATCTGGTTTCTTATTAATATCTTCTTAGAGTCAAATTTATCGGTTTATCATTATCGAAGTGTCAACTCTTCACAGAATGAGTTCTCTGATTTTATATTCTTTAAATATTTAAACAGGCATTCATGGATAATATCAGTTAGTCAGTCAGCTACAACACATGACAAAGCACATATATGCATCAGTCCAAGTTGCTACATCTCATTAGCACAACAAGATGAACACCACATTCAACTTTAGGACTTGCCATAATTGTGTATCAGTCTATAAAGAACGTATACAAATTTAAATCTGGCCAGTTTTTTCTCTGGCTTCGTTTCGACTTTTAAGATACCCATTTAGGTAACTGACTTCGAGTTATGTTAAGTGTGAGAGGTAGTAATACTAATTACTTACTCAAATCAAATTAGGTTTATTAGTAGTTCGAACCTGCAAGTTATTTCAAAGGAAAACAACTAAAAAATTTTTTCCTATGGGTTGGGTTGTATTAGAGCCTGTGTGATTTGATGGTAGTGACAGGTAAACAGTTGTATTACCTCCCTTTCTGTCTAGTGCGATTATCGTTAATTCTCTTGTTTTGCCAGTAGGACCGGTAACCTTCTAAGTACCAATTAACACATTGACCAATAAAAAACAGTCAAGACGTTAAGGTTTCTTGGTCCTTCAGCTCGTTCTAATCCTGTGGCCAATCAGAGGACGAGGGTAGGAAACAGAATAGTTCTCTGTGATAATTGATTCAATCACGACTCAAAACCTCATATAAAGTGAAGCTCTGTCCACACATCGATATGATTAAGCAATTACAATAACAGTTTTGCGGTGATCCTGACAATTTCTCGCAATAGACAAGAAATACTCAGGAAACATTATGAAGCATTTTATCCATTCAGCGTTTGACTAGAAGTTTTGCTAGAAACATCACGAAAATGGAGTCACAATTGAAGTTTCTGATTGACTGATTCCTATACTGCTACTAGGTTTAGTAGTATTCCAGAATTTCCAGGAAAACCCAAGGACTTTTAAAATACTATAAAAACCCTATATTTTCTGTACATAAATGAACCTTTGGAGTAAAGTGCTTCTCGCATATTTTGCCGCCTTTCCTCTCATGTCCAACTCGTTGTGTAGTTCTAGCGTGGGGGTTACGAGACTAGCTTAGAATCCGAGTATAGCGTTCAATAAGCAAGACTTATCAAACGGCGTAACTAAACCATAAGTAAAAAAGAACTTAGAAATATTTACAACACACACCAACAGTTTGTGTGTCACAGAAATTCATAGAAGCAGAAGGATACAAACAGACAGTAATTTAAACGTTTAAAAATTAAAGAAGAAAGTTTGAAACAATAACTCCAAGTAGAAGACAATTCTGAAATTTCCGTCTTCAATACTCGTCCCGTTATAATATAGTTGAAAGGTGATTGAATTTCTTCCTGACTTAGTACTGCTTTATTAAGTTTAGTGTGAGGAGTGGGATTCGAACCCATATCCACACAGTTGAGTTTTTATAAATAGTAATATTTCATTCTAGATATTATTATTTTGATACTTTTGTATCCCATTATATGTATAGACATGTACAAATCCATATATTGTAACTGGTAGTCCATTTATTATCAATGAACAAGATCCCAATGTAAAAGTATTACGCAATCCATCTGATAAAGTTATCCTCACCAGTCCTGATAATCATAATAATGACTCAGATGCATTTGATAGTGAAGATGAAATTGTTTCAGTAAATGAAGATGATGGTGACGTCGACGGTGATGACATTAACAATAACAATAATCATGAACATAATGTTCAACACCAAAGTCAACAACATACAAATTTATTATTTACACATATCCCTTATGTTGTAACAAATCAAATTTATCCTAATAATTATGAACCAATGATTGAATTGAATACAAATTCAAGTGAATATTTTATGCCTGGTTTCGTAAGTCCAACTTACCATCATTATCATCAACATCATTTGACTACAATTGACCCAAGTAAAGTCACTACAACAATAACAACAGCGATAACAACAACAACGACAACTCATTGTCTTCCATCTCATCCATTGTCAGTTTATTCAAATATCTTAATGCAAAGTAAATGTTCAACATATATTAGTCCAGATGATGGTGAAATATCTAGTGTTAGTCAAAGTGCTAGTCAAGTTGTTCCATGTGCATCATCTCCATCATCTTCATGTACAGACTCATCATCTTCTTCATCATCCTCTTCCTCATCATCATCATTTTCAAAGTCTAAATTAAATTCATGTAATGATCAATTAACTTATAATCCTGTTATTGTTACTTGTACACAACTTGATCATATCATCACTGATCCTTCACCATTATCTTCTTCTTCTTTATCTCAGCCTATTGATCAACATAATGATTCTATTGCCAATGTACATCATATCATACCACTTGATGATAAACAATCAAATTTAAATGAAACAAAAATTATTGACGACACAACCACCACCACCACAACAACAACAATATAGATTCATTTTTATGTTCCCTTTTTTTAATTCCCCTCGGTAACAATCTTGTCTCCTTTTTTTGTTATTGTTCTTTTTCCTTAACTTTATTCTTTTCTTTTTATACAAGTAATCGGAATAAATTGTGTTTTTGTTGTTTACTTTTAAAATTTTACTATCAAGAGATAAGTTTGTTTAGTTACTTACTTACTTACTTACTTACACTCGTTCTCTCTCTCTCGCTTTCTTTTGTCACTTCACTTCACTCCATGTAACCCTCTCCCTTTTTAACAAAGGTCTAAGATTCATTCTGTTCTATTTACTTTTCAATTTGATACGTTATTATTGTACATTGAATAGTAGTAGATTTGGGAATTGTTGAAAATTATTACATTTTAAACAAATATACTTATAATATACATAGAAAGAGGTAAGACTTCCTTCCTTCCTTCCCTCCTTCTTTTTCCTTTCAACTTATTCAATACACTTCATTATCAATGAATAGAACACCACCACCACCACCACCACTACCAACACCAACAAGAAACTATCAAGCGCCTACCTAAACTTTTTTTTATTTCTATTTTTACTCATTTTATGTAATATGTAATGTAAAAAAAAACAACTAAGGATTGAATAATGAAATTAGTTTAACTATAAAAAGGTTTATATATTACTTATATAATACACTTTATAGTTTCTTTTATATTCTTTATCTAGTTCATGTGTTATTTCTTTTTGTGATTCATTATCCAAATATATTGTATGTATAAAAAATGGGTGAGTTATATTGTTGTATCCAAGTTGACGACTGTATCTAGGTGCGTATGTATGTATGTATGTATGTATGTATGTATGTGTATATGTGTGTTTTATTGGTGACTTACTCATTGCTCTTTCCCCCCCCTCTCTCTCTTTGGCATTCTATTCATGTAATATGTGCTATTCGACCGATGTGTCCCAATTTAATGTAAACAAAACAATACTAAGTGAATTTAAACTTCACCCCATTGCACAAGCAAGTGGCTATCAGGACTCAGTGGCCGAATGGATAACGCGATGGCGTTTGAAGCGAATGATACTGAGTTCGAGTCCCAGAATGAGCATCAACAAGTCTGAGATGCAGATACATCCAACCGACGAGTCCCAAATAGGACGAAACGCGCGTCAAACTGGATTCCACTACTAGCCACTGTCCACCTTTGCTTGATAATATTTATTGTCTACAGTTCATGATTTTATTCAACTTATTTGATTTGATCTTCTTATTTTGAAATCTGTTTAGTCCTCATAGGTTCATGGTTCGAACTCACAGACTACATAGTTTAATGTTAATAAGTCAACCACTAATAGACCAAAGATGAATTTTTCGAATAATAATGAATAATTTTAAATTAGCGATAAATAGCTACTGCAAGTTATGTGTTATTCAGCATATCGATAGGATTTGATCAACACTAAAGGATTAGATAAACATAACACTAATTACTATTATTCATCGACTAGTCGGTTATAAATACACATCAATTCTATGAGAGATCATTCAAAAACTGAATATCCCAGTGATAATGTCTTTTATTGTGTGTGGTTGTGTGACTTTGGTTCGAATCTCACAAAGAGTATTGATTGCTTCAGGTGTACAAGTATCTCTTTATGATGAATGCCAAATAGCACGAAACCTAGTCGGATACAGAGTCTTGTCAATTATCCCCAAGGCACTTACATGTTCAGTAGATATTTGAATTTCAAAATCAACATTAAAATAAATATTTTTGTTGCTTAAAATCTATCTTGATGAAATTCAATGATGATCGTTCTCTAGACATATTATTTACGTACTGTCAATGCAATGCTCAAGAATTACACCTAACAATTGAGTCCTAATTGATTGACTTACCTCAATCGCCTATGATTTTTTTCTTACTAATTATGATCCCATGTTTGATTTCGAATCATCCAGGGGTTTGCATCACTAGTTTGATCTAGTGGGTAGCCGTGATTCTGTTACTTCGTATCATTCTACATCGTCGATCGTTCGCCATTTGTTTCGTTTCATCAAATTTTCCATAACAATTATATTACTCTGACTGCTTGACTTGACCACTTGGATGTTATGAGGTTGTAATCAAGAAAGGTTCTTGAAATCTACTCAGTCAACTATACAGTACAGGTACAGATTCGTATTCTTGGCTTTAAGCTACACACTAAGTGTATGAAGGCTAGTTACAGTACCTGGATATCTAAAGTGAAGTAGATGGAGCAGAGTACAAGCTTGCAGCTTGGTGACTGGCAGTCGAACTCCTTAAGGAATGAGCCTCGGTTTCACAAAATATACCCAAGTTATTTGACAACTTAGCAATAATTCATAATAATATTTGTTAACCATCCACAATTATGTTCGATAAGGTTAGTTTGAATATATTTGGAAGCACGTACTTTTTTCTTGAACGTTGTCTGTACTATAACACCGTTTGTGTCTGACATTAAAATATGAAATATTAAGAAGGACGATGTAGTATCTTCCTTTAATCCCAACCTCTCCAAATGGCCAGAGTTTTCTAAAGTACAGTTAAGGACGAGCATATGACAGGTGGCTTGTACTGAGCCTTATAATATAAACGCGTACAAACATTTACTTTGGATTGTTCGGAAATATCAGTTACAAAACTTCCGTACATGATAAACTTCTGACTCTCATTCTATGCTGACATTAGATTTCGTAGCCAAAATTTATGAATATGTTAATTACAAGACATTTGATTTCACTACAATATTCACGATCTCCCATTTCATCATCTTCCGATTACTATCTAGGTTCATCCTTTCTTATACAGGATAAACAGTTCTGGAATGTAGCAATTAGCTTTAATTCTAAGAAATAATATACATCCCAATCACTTACAGTTTAAAACTTAAGCTTATTGATAACAAAAGTTTTAACTTTATAGTTTACATCACGGAATAACGCTAGTATGAAGACCAGCAAGTATTGTGTGATTGTTTCATTTCAGTATGGGATTCCTTATTAACAGCGAACAACTAATACTCCATCAGGGACCGAAATCAGGATCCCTTACTGTTATGATGAGCACTTAACCTTTAGGTTACTGAACCGGTATCCGATGGTTTTCATTTTTAACTTCAGTCAACTTGAGATTGAATTTAAGAGTATTAATACGTTAGAGAAATTTCCATTCTTTACTGAAGAACATTGAAATATCTAGATGCCTAATCACAATCCCTCTATAGTTCAAGAGAATAATGATAAAAATATGGGTTTCTTTAGATTTAATAATTGGCTGGTTGTTGTTTTTGAATGACGAAAAACGCATTAAAGAAATTGGTCAGTCCCATCGGTAAAAGGTACCGTAGGAAATGTAAAAGCGTGAGGGCTAATAATACTACCCTGTTGCTGTTTTTAAACCCCGCCTGTAGCTCTTCCAGATTTACTGACGGTCTCAAGCCCGGATAAAGGAGGATGGCCAATGAGGTCATCAACCCCATCCCATAGAAAACGAATTTTCACAAAATAATCGCCAAGCAGAAAAAATAATTTAAACCATTGAAGATCTTCCCTGGAAGTTGAAAGATCTTCGTTTAGAAGAATTATGAAGTCTCATGGTGGAAGCTGAACTTTTTAAGAAACCACTACGCCGATGTCTTTTCTAACAATCAGAGCAACAATTAGTATAGGTACATAGAGTGTCCAGATAATGTGGGAGACCGGCAGGACTAAGTTAAATGGCTATGGAAATGAGGAAATACAACTTGGCGGTTCTTGAAATAAGTGAAAGTCTTTGGATTCAAGCTGGATAAAAAAGATTAGGTTCGAGAGAGACGCTGTTGTACTCTGGTCATGAAGAAAACGCTTTGCACACATTGGGAGTTGCACTGATGCTGTTCAAAGAAGCACTTATAATATGGGAACCTCATGTATCCAGAATCATCAACAACGGGTATAAGCTTATCGTGGGACGACATGAAATGACTGGGAGAATGGAACGAAAATGGTAAGAGATTTGTAAATTTGTGTGCGTTCAATAAAATGGTTATATGCGGCATAGTATTCCCCCACAAACGCATACACAAAGCTACATGGATCTCGCCAGATCACACCACAGAGAACCAGATAGATCATATTTGTATCAACAAATGTTCCGAAGAACAATGGAGGATGTGAGAACGAGGAGAGGAGCTGACATAGCTTCAGATCACCACCTGGTTTTGGCCAAGATGTAACCGAAGCTAAAGAAACACTGGACAAACAGCACTACAAAGGTTCAATACAGCCTTCCTTCAAAATGCTAACAAACTCAATGAATTCAAGATAACTCTCGACAATAGGTTCCAAGCCGTACACGATCTACTGCAAGAAGAAGAAACCACGATGGAAGACAACTGAAAAGGGATCGAAGAAGCACTAACTTCAACATGTCAAGATGTGCTAGGCCGAGAGAAGCATCATCATAAGGAAGGGATCGCTATGGAAACCCCTGGCAAGATTCAAGAAATGAAAAACAAAAAGACAGCAATTACCAACAGCCGAACAAGACCAGTGGAAGTCAAGACACAAGCTGAATACAAAGAAGCCAACAAGTAAGTGAAGAGAAGCATTAAAGCCGACAAGCAGAAATACATGGAAAAACTAGCAACGACGGCGGAAAAAGCTGCATGAGAAGGAAATATGAGACAACTATATGACACAACGAAGAAGCTGGAGAGGAAATCTAATAAACCAGAGAGATCAGTCAAGGACAAAGAAGGAAAGACTATCACGGAGATTGAAGAACAGGAGAAAAGATGGGTAGAGTACTTCGGGGAACTCTTGAACAAACCAGTCCCATTGAATCAACTGGATATCGAAGTGTCACACACAACCCTTTCTATAGATGTCACTCCATAAACGATCGAAAAATTCAAGATGGCCATCAGACAAATCAAGAGTGGGAAAGCAGCAGGACCTGACAATATATCAGCTAAAGCGCTGAAGTCAGATGTTGAGGTAACTGCAAGTATACTTCATGTTCTATTCAGAAAGATTAGGAAGGAACGACAAGTGCCAACAGACTGGAAAGAAGGAAACCTCATTGAGATACCAAAGAAAGGAGATCTGAATAAATGGGAAAACTACAGAAGCATCACACTACTGTCAGTACCAGGAAAAGTTTTCAACAGTCTGTAGACGTACTGAATGACAGATTCAGTAGACACCGAACTTTGAGACCAACAAGCTGGCTTTCGTAAGGATCAATCATGTACCGACCAAGTCGCGACACTACGGATCATTGTTGAGCAAACAAATGAATGAACTTCGTCACTATACATCAACTTTCTTGACTACGAGAAGGCGTTTGACAGCATGGATAGGATGATGCTGTGGAATATCGCTCGACACTATGGTGTACCTGAAAAGGTCATCAAAATCATCCGGAATTCATACATTGGACTACACTGTAAAGTCGTGCAAGGAGGACAGATGTATTTCAAGTGAGGACCGGGTAAAACCGAGACCAACACGGAGATGGCTCAGCACATTAAAATGTTAGAATTGAAATGAAATGTAATTAGGAGGATCATAGAAACAGAAATAAACCAGTTGAGGGTAAAAGGTCTGTAGACATGATAATAGGGAAGCAGATGGCTGTGAAGGAACAAAAGTATGAAGAAGAATGAGAATTATGGGACATTAAGTCTATGTTAAAAGAAGAAGTTGTACCAATTTATTTTAGATACATAAATCTGGTTATGCCAGTTGTACAGTTATTGCTTCAGCATTGTTTACAAGATGCAGTCTTCTCCTTACTCTTTAGATGACTTTGAACTCATAGTCCGCTTTGAATGAGTAACGTGTGTTTGATTAGGGAGCTTGTTTTGAGACGTTTCCGCCTCTTTTCAGACAGGCCGAGTAATGTCCTTAAATTCTTATGGAAATGTACGCATCAACTGACCCATGTACCTGACTTTACATGAGCAGGCAAATTGATAAATGCGCATAGAGATGAGATAATTTTTCCCTAAGATTATTGATGAACGAGTTACTGAAGAACACGAAGTTGCTGCGAAGAATGTTCTTTTGAAAAACTCGGAGATATTCCTCTTTAGGATATCTGTGGCTCTATCATCCTTAAAATGGATATCCACGTTGTGTTTTCTTTCCAATCGAGGTTATTTGTGTTTTAGGCGGTTTGGGTTTTACATTCTTATAAATAAATATCCAACGATACCCGTTTTCCATAAGTATTTCCTTCAAGAGGATCAATTCGTTATCTATGACCTCGGAACTACAAATTCTTCGTATTCACATAGAGAGTGATATTGATTAAGTTTCTCTTCCTATTAATGGGGATTCAACTGCAAAAACTTGATATTCAGTCATTTGATAAGGGTTTCCTGTAGGCAAATGTTAGAGTTCAATCATGTTTTCTTGTCAACTTATCCTTATTACCAATCGTAGTCTAATAATTAAGCATCAATTCCCTCAATATTATAGGTATAACTTGCTGATAAATACCAAACAACATGAAACCTAAGTCGAGCAATATCTTCTGTTGACTACCTTCAACCATCTTACATTATAACGTTTATCATTTAATCTAAATAGCTGATCTATCACTTATAATTCGACTGACTATTATACAAATTGTTTTGAATTTGAACATGATATCCCTTTTAATTTATATACAAGATCGAGTGAACATAAATATACATTTATAGTTATATTACATAATTTCAACTATATAAAATTACTAAAATCTCTACAAAACCCCCTTCTAATAATGATCATATTTCCTAGAGAAGCAGTGACCAGTGGACCTCAACCGGATCTGTTGTGAGATAGTAACTGACTGAAGACAATGGTTGACGGTTGTTCAATTTCGTGGATTGGTTAAAGTTAAACAGTAACACCGTTGGATGTCGGCTCAGTGGTTAAGTACTCACGCGCATGACTGATAGATTTTGAGTTCGGATCTCACAAGGCGGGATCGTTGATGAGCACTGTTGAGAAGACTCACATTAGGATAGGATGGTCGTCAAGTATACCTAAGTTTTCCATAGTAGTCTAGCTTCAATTGACTCCACAAAACCCCTTCTAATATTACATAATTCTCTTTACCGATTCCTATCACATCCATAAACTATTTTCATATTCATACACTTTACCAAATTCATTTATTTGTATATTACATTAAAAGTTATATGACATATGTATTCCTAATCAACCAACCAATCTACCTACCCACCCATCTATTAATCTATTTTAACCTACCTATGTACCGATTTACCTACCTACCACATTGGGTATTCATAGCTATTACTATGAATAGTTGCTAAATACTTTTTTATTTTGTTCATTGTCGATATCACCTTCCTTTGATTTTCTTTTTCTCTCATGTACTTCATAATTTATGTTTCCCTCTTTATCATATTCAAGTGTGTAGCAACAAACGACCATATATCTCTCTTTGTGTGTGTGTGTGTATGTGTTCACTTTGTGACTAGTAATGTATGTTCAATATTAAAGAAACATAACTAAAGAATAAACTAATCAATAATTTTTAGTTGTCAAGACTAAATTGTTTTCATTTTAGTTGATTAACTGTTGAAAACCAAAAAGAAAAGCACTGGATAGTTGTTTTGTCATAATATCGAATTCAGTAGTATCCATTTGTGATTTCTATAGATAATTGATCTTTAGATTCATTTAATATTGTTTGTTTGAATCTTCTTATTAATGTGTTAGAACTGCAACTGGTCAGTCTCTAATTGGCATATGTGTATACTGTATGTGTTGCCTCGATTATAGCCTTATTTCACAAGCATTGTAATCAAAGATGGAAGCAAAAGGTACTGGGTTTGAGTCCCAGAATGAACATCAACCAGTCAGAGATGCAGGTACACCCAGCTGACGAGTCTCAAATAGGACGAAACGCGCGTCTAACTGGATTCCACTGCTAGCCACTATCCAGCTTTGTTTACAAATGATCTTTAGCTTGAATGGGTAAATCATTATTGGGATAAGGGTTAGATGCTCGTCAAGATATATTAAGATCCTTGGTCCAATCAACAGTGGGGTTATAGATATGAGTCTTTGAAGGGTCCCATACTAGGGTGAAACAGTAGTTTATTGTTTTTCAGCTTTCAATGTTTAGCTAACTAGGATCAATCCATGATGTTGATTATAAAAATGAATGATCCTCATAAACCCGAAATTCATAAACATGTTTTCAATTTTTTTTCTAATTTATACAGTCATTTTATAAATACTTATTCACGATGTAAAATTCAAATACTGTATACCCGAGTATTCAGTTGATGAAGTCATGAATCTTTATCTACTGAGATGGTTAGGCCACGTGTCACGTATGTCTGAGCACTGATTGCCACGACGCGCTATGCTGACTAGTATTGCGGACGGTTGAAGGGAAGTTAGGGGCGGCCAAACCAAAACATGGCATCAGTGCTTGAAGTCACCAACATCTCGTTTGAGCCATGTTGGTAGATACAGAGTACTTGGTTGGGGTCCACGTGACTATCGTAAACAATGGTTGGAGACTGTGTGACGGCTCAGAATTGATCACAATGGCATAGGTGTATACACTCTTTATCTTCCTTTAAACCATGAGATTAAAATCGCTTCATATCTTTCTTTCTTCCTGCACTATATCCTTATATACAACCTTTCTTTTATATATTACCGCCACTAAATTAACTACTTCTATGAATGTGGTATTGATCTTGTTGTGCTAACGAGGTATGGCAATCTGGGCCGATTCATAAATGTGCCTGGTTCAACGTTGTAGCTGATTGACTGATGCTAGCAACTAAAAAGTAGGTGAAACCTACAAAAACTTTTATAAACATGTATTATTCAAATTCTGGAACCTACATCAATAAAGTTTGTAACCGGTAAGTTCGGTAAGTCGATATTAACCCTCTCTCTGTAAATCAATCACAGTCTCATAATAAAAGTCATACTATCTTGTTTACTGTGCTAATTAACATAAATCAATCAAGTTTGAAGTCAGTTAAACTAATAAACACACTGCAACGTGATCGATTGAATTTGATAAATACTAGGTTGCTTTAGGGCCTTTGGAGACTACGTCGTAGTTCCCGATAGCCGTCCCAACACTTACAATCCTGTTCATACCATTCAGCGAAAACTAATTGATCTCATAATGCCTAGGCAATGCTTATTGAACCTCATCTATCTAGTTACAATACTACTATTCGGCTAATAAACTTGATATAACGGTATAGATCTGTTAATGTCAAAAAATTAATCTTAGTAACCTAGAATTCAAATTTTAAAAGTGACCGGTAAAATTAAACTAATACTTTAGAATATGTAATGCAGATACAAATCTCTAAATGAGTATGAAGTTGAAAATCTACGAATAAATATTATTGATATTCAGTTTACCAAATAGACTTCATTCACGTACAACACGTACATCAAGAGTTTGAACACAAATCGTGGATTAAATATTTAGTAAAATAAATTGTTCTACTTATAAGTAGTTTATATTTTATAATAAAATATACAAATCTACGTATAATCCATAGAAAGGATATAACTCACAAGTAGTATCACAGTTTATTATTGTCAATAATGACAAATTATTGTAGGGAAACAAAATAACTGCTACGATTAAAATTTAGAAGTGAACCAACCGGATCCATTTGATAATGAGAGTAAAGAATCTTTTGCTTTTACTAATATTTTGAATGCTTCTTCACTTCCTGGTGTATTATTTTTATCAGGATGTAGAATAAAAGCTAAACGACGAAATGCTTTTTGAATTTCTTCGCTTAAGATTAATAAATAAGTAAAGAAAAAAGATTTCTGATAAGTATCTGCTCTAGTTCTTTATTAATTGACCTCTAATGTAACATAATATATATATTTACAACATTTTATTTTAGGCAAAGATGGATGGTGTGGGTACCAGTGCTATCCAAGGAGTGCGTCCCGTCAGCTGGATCTACCCATATTCCATTGTTAAAGCTCACTCAGGGACTCGAATCTAGTACGGTCTGCTTCAAACGCCATTGCTTAATTCACTTAGCTACTGAGTCCAGATTACTATTCGCTTGTGCAATGGTATAAAGTTGTAATCCAACCGACGAGTCCTAAATAGGAAGAAACGTATGTCCTAGATTCTATTGCTAGCCACCATACATCTTTACTTATAATGCTTGTGAATTAAGGGAATATCGAGGTAATGTGCTCAGGATGCACATATGTCAGTAAGAAATTGATCAATTTCGGTGATAAACATCAATGGGAATATCCAAATAAACAAGAAAATGAACTAACATTTTATTTTCTTAATGGAATCTGACTGAATATATCTTAGTACGTTGCTTTTTTGATAAAGAGAAGTACATCAATTCCAACAGACAAGTTGGTGATTGAATCTTGCTATATACATGAGCATTGTGTTTTACGTTTGATAATCTACACTAATTATCAGTACTAATTATATCACCAAACTATTGTACATAGTTTTGATAAAGGTAAATATCCTAACATGCTCTTAGACTTCACAATCTAGCCACTGAAAGTTAATCAAATCAAAATGGTAAAATGTATTCAGTGGAAGACATCTTTAAAAAAAGCTTAGTTTTTCACAGATGATAGACTGAGTGAATCCAAACATTCAGTTCCTGTGTTCATACACTATCATCAAAGCCAAACAGAAGATGAAAGTATACAAACAAGGGACTTTATTAGATTAAACCGATTTTACACTGAGTTAAAGTCTTGGTCTTCATGTCCTTTTGTGGATCAGAGAGGTATATGTATATCAGACAACTATAACGTCCAAGTTGACACCCCTCACTAGTACAACAAGATGAACACCACATTCATAGATACAGTTACTTCAATGGTATTAATATATAAAAGAAAGATTGTTTACAAGGATATGACACAGGGTGAAAGAATTGATATATAGAAAGAAAGGTATAAAGTAATTGTAATCTCACAGTTTGGGAGAAGACAGAGGTTATATATACCTACACCATTGTGATCGATTCTGAGCTATGTCACCCAGAGTCTCCAACCATTGGTTACGATAGTCACACGGACCCCAACCAAGTAGTCTGCATCTACCATCAACATGTCTCACACCTGAAGTTAGTGTTTTTATGGACTGATGCCACGCTTTGGTTTGGCCGCCCCAACTTTCTTCCAACCATCCTGAATACTAGTTAGCATTGCTCGTCGTGCTAATTGGTGTTCAGGCATACGTTATATATCTAATGTGCCGTGTGTTAAACTTTCACTGTAAATAATCTGTCTGTCAGTTAGTCAGAGACCACTTGAAACGCAGCGAATATCTAGATTGGCCCAAGTTACTAAACTGTAACACGACAATTTAACAAAAACATCAGTGTCAAAAGTAGTTTTGTTTTTACTAGAAATCATTCAGAAAAACTAGTTAATCCTCACACCTTAACGACATTCAATAAAAATACTTAGAAACCACTAAATTATTTTCTTATCAAACTCACCAATTATAAGCCAGCACAAATCTATCCTATGAAACTGAATAGTTTCAAATAGTCAACTGAGCATTAAAGATTACAGAATAAGAATTGATAAAATATATGATTATTTAATCAACAATATTACAGGATCTTTTCAGCGGAGAGAGAAATCAGGTAGAAGCGCTGGAGGTGGATAGGACACACATTGAGGAAATCATCCAACTGTGTCACAAGGTAAGACCTTACATAGAATCCTCAAAGCAAAAGAGAAGAGGAAGACCAAAAAAACACATTACTTTGAGAAATGGAGACAGACATGAGAAAAATTAACAAAAATAAGATAAAACTAAAAAGGAAGACCCAGGACAGAGTGGGTTAAAGAATGCTAGTCGGCAACCTATGCTCCATTAGGGGTAACAGGCATAAGTAAGTAAGTAAATAAGCATTACAGGATCACTCTCTCCTGCTAAGCAACCCATTTTATGTAAATAGTTGAAGTGAAAATTAAATACAAAAGATAATCAATCGTTAATACAATTTACTTACCTACTAGCTGTTATACTAATCCCTAATCGTTCATAATTATTTTTAGCATTTTTAATTCGATTTATTTCTAAAAGATTTTGATATGTCACTTTAAATTGTTCATTTTTATTTGATTTCAATGAAGAATTTGATGATAATGAAGAAGGTATGTTGGATTGTTTAGGGTAGTTATTCAATTTCATTTGATTTGATATACAAGATTGATATACGTCTGGATTAATGATACTTTCAAACAAAGTCTAAAAAAGTGGATAAATAAATAGATTATGCGCATATTTTAAATATCATGTAAACAATACTGAGATTAGGGATAGTGGTGTGGTGTGGTCCACCTATATCCACATAAGTAGTACATGATGATAGTCAGACATAGAATGCATTTTATCAGAAGATCGATAAGGAACGAACAGGAACGAAGCACAATCGGTATGACAATGCATGAACAATGAAATAAAAGAAAACGAACTGATATTTGCAAAATCAATAGTTAAGATTGTTTGTTACTTTGCAAATTCACTTTTTACTGTATGGTTGTCAGATTTTAGTGATGTAGTCTGTAATTTGTGCTTAAATACATTCTATCGTCCCCACTCGTGTTCTTGTTCACAACAGGGGTACTAGGTAAAGATGACAAATTCACTGGTGACATAGTAGATCATCAGCAAATGAGATATATGTTACATACGTTCAACCACTGAATAAGTTAGTAGGTGATATTTTATAATGTAGGATTAGGTTGGAAGAAAGCTAAGTTGAAAATATCAAAATGTATCACTTATCCATAAAGTTATTGACCATTAGACTGACCTATGTTAATCGGTATAGACTACCTCGTTGGGGTCCACAAGATTGTTGTAATCAGTGGTTCATATGAATCGAAACTGTTCTCAACGATCCGTGTGAATTCACTTTGTCTTCCGTTAAACCCTGAGTCCTGAAATCTTTCAGTACTATTTTTTCTTCGTCCTATATTTAATGTTTTCTACTGCTAGTAATACTGAAGCTTCTTTTAATACTATGACATTTGTTTTGATAGCTTTATCTCCTTGTGTTAATATTGTGCGTCAATTTGAGTCGATGCACATTTATGTCAGCTTCTACGTTCCATATAACTGGGTAACTAAATAGTAGATTCCTATTGTTTATATTTTTATTCTCTGTCAGAACACAGACCTTTCTTAAACAAACTACTTCGATATAATCTACGTTTTTATTCCTCTTAGATAGCTAATACCAGTCAGCAAAATTATTAGCTAATCGAATCAAGAGTATTTGAACAACTAACTAATATAAATATATATTTGTCTTCTTTAAAAAATTAAGTCGAATTCGCAAGCAATAGTCCACATGTATTTCCTATGAAATTTAAGTTGAACCCTAATCAATAGCACACACCTGATATGAATTATTATTACTCCTTGGCCCAAAGTATCTGTTCGACCTAGTCGACTGTGGTTACGTAACTGATTATATTAATTCTTCTTAAAGGTTTGTATTTTCATGCTGTTGATGTGCAGGGTTAAATTATAATTAGTCCCTGTTGGGATGTGTACATCTTAAGTGGATCCTTTGAATAAGTATCAAACCTATTGAGCAAGGTGGCAAAGGTGTGTGCTTACTTGTTTAGGAAATGAAGTGTTAAAATTTCAACAAACAGATTCTCATTTCAAGTCTGAGGATGAAAATTAATTCTTGGACTCAGGTAACTCTAGTTAATAAGTCATCAATTAAATGAAATGCTCATTCTGGATTTCACTGATAGTTGCAATTCAAATATATGATTGCGTTGAGTACATTAACAGTTATGGTGGGCTAAAGTTATTACTCCTTAGACATTGTTATTACTTTTAAAGAAGGAATAAAACTCTGCCTTCCATTTTTACACATGAATCATTTTGTTTAATACATTCCTAACCAAAATGCTCTGGTTCGGCCGAGAGTGGGGAGGGTTCGCCCTCTCTCTAGAAATGCTCTCACAGGGCCACGCGTATACAGCCTCTGCAGGGGAATCCTAATCACTGCCTTTTTTGGCGGGAATGCTGTTCACAAAATTGAGAAAAAAAGTGAATATCTTGCAGCGGCTTTCATCGGGTCGGTGAAAACGGAGGATCAACTTAGAGGAGTTGGACAACCCCCATTCCAAACCAATGATGAGCATGGGCTTCAGTATCCTGAGGTAACAAATGGCGTATGAACCAATCGTTAGTCACCGGCTACCATGGGACTGAATCTCCTTACGATCCTCTAATACCTTGTGGATTGAGTTTCTAGGTCAAAGGCTCGGGGTGTGGTCCCCTAAGAAAACCACCTGCTTCAGTTTGGGCAGCTGGTTAGGATCACAGCCCTCACTCAAATGAAATGAGTTTTGTATGGCGAATATGTATCTGGTGTCCCCTTGTACCAATAATTATATGTTCAAATAAATAAATAAATTATGACTTAAGCCACTCTATCTTACCATTCTTAATTCTTATCCAATTCTAACAATATTACATGTTGGAATAATAAGTGGTTTATTTTGCGGTAAGTCGCAATACGAACTACTGGATGACTGATCTGTATGTAGCCAATATAAACACAAAAAGACTCAGCTTAGTAATTTTTCAAAATGATGCTTACATTAAAGGCTTCTGTGACTCCGTGACCAGTAAGTGCTGATGTTTCAAAGTATGGATACTGATGTACTGCTGCCCATTCAGAAACTTCATAATACGTCACCGATCTGTGCGCTTTATCAACCTGTGGAGTACAATTACATGCAAATCCAACAAACCTTTATAAACTTGTTGAAAATAGTTAACAAAATTACATTCAAAATAATTCTATTCTAGTAATTCAACCAGCGATCATTTTTTCTATAATTATAAGAGTTGATGTTAAAACAATTTGGAAATTGCACTACTCCTCACGATAAATAACTAGACTATATGAGTAAGTGAGTTTCAAATTTTTAACTGACTGCTTCTTTTATTTATACCTTAAGACAAACTTAGTGAAAATAAGTGAGTAAAATATGTCCGAAAGAATTAAGATGCCTATAGCAAGCGTGTAGAAATGTAGATAAGCATTCTGAGAATATCTAATTACTAGCAAAATTAATAGGATTACGTTATATAATAGCTATTTTAAGTATTAGTGAGCTGAAACTCACCAATCCACACTGAATTCCTTGAGAAGGAAGGCCAAGACAGTTACATTGTGATGTGAGGAGATATTTAAAAGTTAAGAAAACAGAGAGAAATTGATAAAGCGTAGAAACTTCCCGAAAATTTGATCTGATCATTCTTTTATGTAAGCCGAACCCAGAACGCCTTCCAACTTTAGATATCACATAATAAATGTAAGATCGTCTACCTAAAAACCAAGACATACATTTGCGCTCGAATAGGGTAAAGTACGCTTAATCTATGAAGATACTAGCTCGATAAATTTAAGTAAACATGTTAATGGAGAAATATAGCATTACCTTGTTACCACAGACAATTATGACTGGAGATGTAACCGAATTAGCTTCACCGGATTCGAAATGCAACTCGCGAACCCAGCGAATCAGATTTTCAAAAGTTTTCCTATTGGTTACGTCAAAAGTTAAAATAACACCATTTGTATCTTTATAAAACTCATTTCGAATGTCGTAAAATGAAGGATTTCCAGACATGTCAAATATATCAACGCGCAGCTCTTTGTTTTCTACCTTGGTTCTGCTATATAAGCTTATGTTATAATATTACCTGAATACACCGTAGTCTATACCGATGGTTGGTAAGTACTTTGAAACAAAACGTTTCTCACAGAACCGTTTGATCAGACAGGACTGGATGGTAACAGAAGTGATAACTTACCTTCCCCGTCTCTTCATCCCCCATGCTTATAATTTTAACTTTTATCGGTTTATTTTCTTCAGGCATTACTAAACGATATTTTACCGAATTATCACGCTATTTTAAATTGGTACGTTACTTGAGACTCTAACGTTACATTGGCTACGTCAAATAAAACAAATATTTAAGAAAATGCAAGTGTTCTTCATTTTTACTCTAGCTTATGGAATGGTTGTCACTATGAGAGTTCCGAGAATACTGGTGGACTATACGAAGGAGCGGCCAAGTGATCTAACTAAAGGGTCTGACACGACGACGAACATGATAAGCTTTCAATATCTAATAGTTCAGTGGTGAGCTTGTACTAACTGATTTATTTCCTTGCATTCGCTTTCCATTGTCTCAGTACGGTATTAGGTATTTGGTCATGTCCGATGGGCGATAGTCTAGCCACTGGATTGCACTAATTCCAGTCAGTTTGATAGTTGTTTGAGGTTGTGTATTGCAGTGTCTGTACAGTAAACCAAATTATTGTCTTTGCGAAGCACAAAATCTATGCATTAGATACATCACATGTACATCTTTCAAATGTCCTCCACTTACTCTAACATTCTAATTCGGTTGATAGTCAGACTGCTTTACAATTTCTATCCTGTTCTCTCCATTTCAATTTTCTTCTGGTAAACATTTTAGAGCCTTTTCTTGCTAATTACCACTTGGATATTTTCGTTAATAAAAATTCGACACTAGAGTATACGCTGCAGATTCATTTTGTGCGTTTTTCTCAAGGAAGAAGGGATTCTCAATTCCATCGGTTATCACATTACCAGGCAGGATAGTTGTTTGCAATGTGAAAATGATAAAATGATAATTCAAAATCTAAGAGAAGACCATTGTTTCAACATCAAATAAATGATCAGATTAATCTGGGATTTATAAGAAGACGGAAGTAATTTAACTAGAGGAGAATGGAGATGAATAAAAAAGAGATAAAAAGTAGTTACTGATAATACGTCAATAATAAGAGTAATTGGTTCAGAGAATTCATTTCCAAAGCTTCACAATAGCAAATACATACAATTATTTTTCATGATGATAACAATTACAATAATAATGATAATAAATCTTCCGTCAGGCATGGTGACAGTGAGTAGAATAAAGAAAGGTGTTTAAAAGAATTTTTAAACAGAGAAACCAATAATAGTCAGTGGATTGAATATTTATCACATGATGGATAGGTAAATTATATTTGGGAAAAAATGGTTCAACATGATAAGAGATATTGAAATTGAGATGAAATGTAATCAGGAATATCATAGAGACTGAAATAAAGCTGTTGGAGGTAGAATGTTTAGGGAGAAGATGGAAGAGGAAGCAGGAAGAAAAATATGAAGAAACAGGAGAAAAAAATTCCAAGACCTTAGGTCCATGTTAGAAAGAGAGGGTGTATCAATCTCTTCTCTACACACAAATACCGTTTACCCAGATGTATGACTATTGCTACGGCAATGCGAAGAAGATGCAATATAAATAATTTTGAAAGTCTTCCACATACTTTGTAGATGACTTTGACTTAATTGAGTGATCTGTGTTCACAATGTGTTTGATTATCTAACTTCTTATTGAGCAAATCACTCTTCTTCTTAGCCACTCCGGTTAATGTTCAAAGTATTCATTCAACGACCTATATACCTGGCTCTATATGAGCAGATAAATCGGTAAATGTGTAGGATTATGATCTACGTCGTTAATAGCACTACTCTAAAAATCGACCTAATCCTAATATCGTAAATTTATCATGGTGCAACTGCCTAATCTATAAGATCTTACATGGAGTTCACATCATTGTCTACATTGGCTTATCCTATTGTAACAGTCACCAACACATGATAGATAACACATTTTGGTTGAAGATAGAACAATATATTTAATATGAATATAAGTGGTATTGCATAAGTATGACCACGTCTGCAACGCCAAGCCATCCCATCTGATGGATTTGATGCAACTGAATTTATTCTTCCAGTCTTCTACATCATTGGGTGTTTCTCCACGTTAAATGTTGAATATCCATTCTCCCAGTTGTCTCATGTTCAGCTTTGAGGATTATGTGGTTGGGGACGAACGCCACTACAAGGAACCATATGTTTTTGTTAGGCTATATGACAAACAAATCAGTTTTGTCGTCAACAACAGTCATTATTGCTTGATAATTATCCTTATGTTTACTTGGGCGAACCAAAAAAATGTAGTTCCTATAACTAAGCCTGATTTTCAGTGCCACGCCAATGATAACGACAAGCAGAAACATTTGAGTCTCAAACTCTTAAGCACTGAGTGATCATCTTTTGAATTATCGATGCATAGTTTTTCACCAAGTGGAATGAATTGGTCTGTCACAATCAAAATATCTATGTTCAGTGATATACAAATGAATTGTGAATGACGAAGGCCTTATACTTACGCAGGGTTTTCCGGTATCGAAAGCTCGTAGTAGTATTGGTCCCAATTATACGATCCTCGAAACTGAATATGAGATAACTGGGAAAACAGGCTTTCAATATGCAACACTAAGAGATGGTCAATAATGGTGAAGGCGGTAACATTTATTAGCATACAGTTCATCTGACTTTTATCACTTTTGATAACCTTCGCAATTTCTTGTAATCCGTTGAAACACAACTACTTATGGTTTAAGTTGTAACCCAAACATATTTCGTGAAGGGGATGAAGAGCGAAGTCAATGAACATCAGTGTGCGAGGGTTTGCCGATATGACTTCTGCTTTCGTGATCGGCATGAAATATCGTTTGACCGGTAACTTACTGCCATCTTATACCATCTGCATGATATAAAATAAATCGTAAATCCGATAGGCGTTTAATTTGTGTTCATACACTGTGGTGAAGTTAATCTTTTCTTATACAATCGATCATCAAAACTATATTGAAATCATTGTTGCTTTGAAAATAGGACATCCATACCAATGAATGCAATCAACAAATGTCAGTGTAAGGAATAAGCATAAGAAAAATGACTAAGAGCAAAAGAAAGTCTTTAAGAAGAAAGAAACAAGGAAATACATTTCAAAACATTATAATGAGTATTGATTTAACGTAACACAATGTACTCAACATAATGTTACAATGATTTGCTTTCAGAACACAAATACCACACAAACTACGATTCATCCATATCATCAATATCACATTTTAAAGTTAAATGAAATTCTGGCATATTTCCTATGGATCCAAATTGATTGAATGCTGAATTCGACGGAACTAGGAATATAGACAAAACAGTAAATAGCAAATCCGATGTGGCGATTTTTAGAAATAAATTTTCTCTTCACCGTTGAATTCACAAGTCGATCTAAGCTAGATCAAAAGTGGAAACCTGGAAGCAATGGACACCAGTTTCGTCCTTGTATGAGACTTCTCAGGAGTGCACATCCACGATCCCGCTAGCAAGGCTCGCGCTTAAATGCCCAACCTCTAGATCACTGAGGCCTCATCCAATGACGTTAATGCCCAACTTCAACCACTCCACAATATTTCACAACCGTTCACCCATTGTCTGAAATGGGTAACTGTTTCACACACGACACGATTCGGACTCCAATTAGGTCGACTCGTGAAGTCAATGGTGAAAATACTACTGTCTCCACAAATCCTTACACTTATAAAAACTTGTTTTGTGAAATCATGAATTAAAGCAGAATTGTAGAACTATTTAACAACTAATATGAAGTGAACTATAATTCGAGGTATTTCAGTAGTATAATTTTTTTTAAAGAAACGACAAATAACTGAAGCCAAGTTATTTAAGTCTCATGACGACTAAGAAGATTTGATTAAATTTGCTAAATAAATCAACGGACTCTAACTGGTTGTAATTGAAAGTTGCTAACCACAAGACTTTAAAGTAAGAGATTCATTATTAACTTAGTAATGAAAGTAATTGAACCCAATCACTTCAGGTTAGGGAACTGTATTCAATAAATGAGTTGCAGATTCAGACGTTCATGAAGGCAGTAATTACTGGTTACTGATCAGTTTCCAAGTAGAATAAGATCGATCCATTGACCAGTTTTAATATAAAGCACAACCATTATAACAGATAGCAATCTATGTGCTGTAATGATCTTCACACAGTTACTGGTTATTTTAGTTTGAAGAACACAACACACTTCCATTTTGTCAGCTGCATTCGTAGAAATAACAAGAGGTTTAGACAAAAAACCTTTGGCATTGGTAGCTTCATTTTCAAGTACGCCATCATTTCCCTTTTGGCTAACAGCTAACTTGGACTTACGAAGTGGCCAACAGTTATCATTACTTTCATCTTCATCATCATCTTCATAATCATCTGCAAACCTGGGATCTGAAACATCTGCGAACACAGCAGTTTTTAAAACAGCTTTCTTCTCTTTATCGAATGTCAAGATTAAATAGCCTTCAGGAACAGAATCTTTTGAAGTAGATGAAGCCTGGCAGAAAGATGAGCTGCAGTCCGTAGTTTCAGATATATGAGTTAGTAAGATAACATCCACCATGATCCACTCTAACTGAACAGATTCATGTCCAACACTTCCAAAACACCGACTGGTGTTAAAGTAACACGCATAATTTTGTTCAACAGAGTTTGTCAAATGAAACTATTTTTATCAGCTACTTAATTTAATGTTAATAACAGGTGGTCAATTATGATTATTCAATAAAGAATCATCAGGAGGCTCTGTATAGCTGCTCCAGTTGTTCTAATTTGAGACTGTGTGTAAGTGCTCACCCACTACATCGCCAGAAATAGAACCTACGAACATCATATCTCACAGCCAGCGCTTAACCACTAACTCAGCAGGGATAGAATGCTGTACACTTTTAAACTTGAAAACTTGCAATGTCCTTGGTGTGATTGTCTCACTCAAAATTGTTGGACTCTAGGGATCAAGGCACTTCACCAAAACTCTGGGGGTTAATGTCGATTCAAATACTAGTGGATACATGAGATCTAAATGTTATGTCTTCAGTCTTATATTTAATTAAGTTGAAACCCTCGGAGTTATTATTCGAATCAATGTTTTTTGTACTTTTGTTGTGTGATTAGTAGGTAACGTTATCACAGAATTTCTGTCTTTCCCTTGTTGTTAAATCTCAATAGATCTATTGACTATTATTATGCGTTACACCATCCCCTAATTATAACTAGCTAATTATTTACTCTTTGCTCTACCTTATAACACTTGTAATATGATTACATTTAAAGCGTGTGTTTTCTTATTTGGTGTTCTGTCTGATAATACATTTCAAATATATTATTCTATGAGTATTGTGTCATGATTGGTTTAGGTACAGAAGAGGTTTAATCTGACTTCTATGATCATTTTCTGATCGACTACTGGGTTGAAAAGAAACCTAAGGACTGATAATCGTTTAGGCTTTGATTACTGTTTTTTGATCAGTGTGTAAATTTGTCAAATAGCTTACTAGTTTAACTGGCCATGCATCACTAATTTTTATCAGCCATCATGAAAAATAGCTTCACGGATTCCTGCTGACACATTAGAAACACCAAACATTTTCTAGCTCAATCAAAATATTTTCTCAATAACATCAACTGAATAAATGAATTTTAAGTTGTTGAGACTGACATAGCTGGCAGTCTGGTTGAATATTCTCCTACGAATGCTTCCTTAGGGAGAAATTTATTTCAACTCTGTCGCAAACTGAAGACATATTTCAATACTAAATGACATATTAAAATGTTTTCCACCATCTTGTAAAATCTGATCGCTCCCACCTAACAAAGATATTTCAGTCAATCAGTCAGCTACAACGCAGGACCAGGCACATATATGCATCGGTTCAAGTTGCCATACCTCATTAGCACAACAAGATGGACACCAGATTCATAAAAGTAGCTAATTTAGTGGTCTTAATATATAAAAGATAGGTTTTATATAAGGATATAGTGCAGGAAGGAAGAAAGTTATGAAGCAGTTTTAATCTTAAGGTTTAAGGGAAGAAAAAAGTGTATACACCTACGTCATTGTGATCGATTCTCAGCCATGTCACCTATAGTCTCCAACCATTGGTTATGACAGTCACGCGGACCCCAACCAAGTAGTCTGCATCTACCAACATGGCTCAGACTAGAAGTTAGTGACTCCAAGCACTGATGCCAAATTTTGGTTTGGCCTTCCCTAACTCTCTTCCAACAATCCCTTACACTATTCAGCATAGCGCGTCGTGGTAATCGGTGTTCAGGCATACGTAACACATGGCCCAACCATCTCAGTCGATGAAGATTCATCACCTCATCAACTGATTTACCATCATTCCCTAACACCCTGCATCTAACCTCACCATTACTTACCCGGTGTACCTAGCAAATGCGAGCAACAAAGATATCTATCATCAGTCAATATTTAACACAAACATACATTTGGTCAACAGTCAAATGTATCTATCCAGAATATGGGATATCGATTAGTTTGGCTGTCACCGTGATCGATAGGAAACTATACACAGAAAGTAATGTCGATTATGTCATCAAGATGATTGATAATGGTCTCATAGTCAATGCACATGGAATGCATCATCTAGTCGTGACTAAAAGCATTGGAATTAATAATGATAGTTGTTACGTCCTTGAATCTGTCTACCCAATTTCGTGCCGCGTATAACTTGTCTAATGTAGATTAAGACCTTGACGCAACAGGCTGACTGGCTTAATCTTGAGGCTAATATGCGTGAGTTCGAAGCGGGGTAGAGAGACGAAAACTATTCTATCCCTGATTGGCTGAGAAGCACGCTAGAAAGAGAAGACATGCAACTGGAACACTAATCGTTTCATTCCAATCCTGATCTGGCACACGAATTCCGAATTCAGATTAGTGTAAAAAGATACATGAATAAATAGATGAATAACCTGACCACAACGTACAATAATTAGGAAAATACAATTATGTTAAAAATTGAGGTATTATAGTAGAAAATAGAGTACAAAAGGTTGCGTCTAAATCACAATAGCTTTGGAACAGAAAAGTCAGTGAGAGTGAACTATACATCAAACGAAAGCTTATAATCTGTAGAATAGACTAGAGGCAAAAGTAAATATTACAGTTTTACAAGCTTTGAATTAAATGAAATAACGTCCCCAAATATAGCTTCCGTAGTTTGTTAAAGGCTTCTTGTTTCGTGGTTCACATCAATAGCTCCATAGATTGATAAAATGAGGACGTGTAAACTAAATAACTCCATACGGATACTAAACTCATTTTATATAAGATGGTTGTAGTTACAGTGTTTATTAATAGGTGAAGCAAGACCATCTCAGAAATGATGGAAAAACTATTTGTTTTCACTTCATTTTCTCTTTAGAAAGTTAGTCATCCTTATTATAATTATGATTCATATCACGCTTACTACACAATAGAGAATGCCAAGTAGTATAGAATGCCAAGAATATGGTTACAAACAACAGTACCGGTCAACAGACAGATCACAATCTCCGATAAGGTTCACTATGATTATCATTATTGTTACGATTAGAAACTTACTTTTTGTGTGAAAACGTATGTTGAATTGGAAGACATTCGAATAGATGTGACGATTATATTTGATATTCAAATACATATTCCTGACTGAATTCTTAAGTAACAGTTCTCAGTGTGAACAGTTTTGAGAAGACAAAAAAGTAAATTTGCTTAGTATTGTTTGTATTGATATTCCTATTGATGTTTTAGGACTGCAACTTGTCAGACTTTGCACTATAGTCCATCTTATGAGTTTTGGATAATGTTGACAATCTTTTCAGGAACTCCATAGTGTCGAAGTTTCCATAATGTTCTCCTATCCTATTGGATGAAATTCCCGTCCAATCGAATGTATACGAGCGCAAAATTATAGGCCATCACACTAAAATGTGACAACCATACAGTAAACAGTTAATTTGCAAACTATTAATCAATTATTTCAATATTGACCGTTCCTTCTGCAACTATCAGTTCATTGTTTCTGTTTATTATTGTTCATGCATTTTCATACCAATCGCATCGCGTTACCGTTCTCTCCTTATCGATCTTCTGATGAAATACATTCTATGCCCAAAAATCGTTATATACTACTTGTGTGGACATAAGTAACCCATACCACAATTGAATTTCAGTTTTATGGGACACATAGACGGCATAGTTGATGTTGATTATGTTTTTAGTTACCTTGATTTTTCGCAAGTGTTTTGTGAAACTGATTCTAAAAAACGTTTGTCTAAAGATTCCAAAAAATAAACTTTGATCAGTTTTTTTTATATAGTTCAGATCATGAGTCAATTGAAGCTAGACAATCATGGAAAACCTGGAAGCACTGGACGGTCGTTTCGTCCTATTGTGGGACTCCTCAGCAGTGCACATTCACTATCCCGCCTCGCGAAATTTGAACTGAGGACCTATCAGTCTCGCGCGCGAGCGCTTAACCGAATGCCATTATTTGTGGTCTATTAAAATAAACTAACTTAAAATTTGGTTTATGTAGTTTGCCAGCCGTACTTCAAAAAAGGCTGAAGAGCACATCCAGTGAACTAACAGGTGTTAAGGTTTGCAAAGAAGATTTCAGTATTTGTGTTAAGCAGGAAATATTGTTTGACCAGAGACTTATTGCTGTCTTGTGTCATCTGCTTGAGACAAAATATGTCATAAATCAAAGAAGTAGTTCATTGGGTGTATTTGGTTTCGAAAGTCTAGGACATTTTGTTGACGGTTATTATTTTGAGATTGACATAATGCGACTAGCTACATTTGTAGACGCTCTTCAATATCGTTACCGTCTATTTCCGATTCTCCCTAACATTCAACTCCATTTTATGGGTTGCGGGACAAGATTCTAACTTTGTAAATTCACTGAAAATTCTTTAAAGTGATTGCGTACCTTCAACTTATTCACCTACTATACATTCTGGAATTATTACCTTGGATGTTGGTGTGGTTCCGAGGGAATAATCGATATTTTAGGTGTATACCGACGGTTATCAACTAACGCTGAAATTGCAATCTGAAACATGAATTTCCGATCTGTTTTGCTGAGTTTGATTGATTTTTCACAAGTTATAATGTTATGTCGGTTTACGTGATCATGCCGTTATTCCTTCTTTGCTATAAAATTTGTTTTCGACAATCCCTAAAGGGGACATTTTAGTCTTGGGACAAATAAAACTGACAAGCTTCACATTTTGGTGCCGGTGATATATTCAAGCATATGTCACACAGCAAACAATTTTGGAAAATGTCATTATTCGAAAAGTCATCCTTCAAAATAGACTCAATAGCCAGTGTCATTTGAGGCCTGTAAGAGAATTCATTTAAACTGTTGTTGTCCGTTTCTCGACAAATACTACGCACATGTAATCACTGATTATCCAAGGTGACTCGAGTATTTTCTATAATTGATGATTTCTTTTGCATACTATTGCTCGCTGACTGATTTGAATTCCAAATACAATAAATCCAGATATAATAATCATCCATTTTCCTTGATTTTGTACTGGAACATACAGAAC